GGTGGAGTAGTGGATTCATCGCGTTTGGCAAGAAGGACATTTGCCATTTCTCGTACGGTTGCAACTCGGGGGGGCTTTCCTCGCTCATCCATGGATAGTATCCACTGGGTAAGAGTTATTTCTTCAGTAACAGACAGTTTTCGATTCCTTTCCTGCGCATGCTCTCGCGTCGTACGGCCTTTCAATCGATCGTGTAATGTGGAATGGGGAACATCATATAACACAGAAGCTTTTCGCAGACTTGAGACTTGGCCCTTCTTATATGCTTGAAGAGCCAAAAGAATCTTTCCTTCCTGATTGGAAGCTTGTGGGAGTCTTGAGGTAGGCATTTTTGTTGATGGGAGTGGAGGCGCGTAAGCGTGGTGAGAAGTGTCCGACTAGGTCATTTGTCCGACTAGGTTATAGATTACGTTATTAGAATTATATTAGGATTATGTCATAATTGATTGTAGACACGTGATTCATTCTCAGTTTTGCTCCTGCCGGATTCGGATAGCGATGACTGGGCGGGTGACAGTCCCTGATGCCTCCGTTTTTGGAAATGCAGAATCACCGGAAACACAAGAATTGACTCAACCAGAATGTTCTTCGTTAACCAACTTTCTCCTTACACAGTGACATGGATGGAATATCTTAAACGTATCCGTATGTAGACTGGACTTGAAACCTGTAGAATTCTCGTGCCACCGGATGAACGGACCTGTGTCACAAGGCTGATTGCCCTTGGATGACTCTTCAGCAGGTCTGTTTCCCTTTAAACCCCCGAGTCTCTAACTCGCTCAGTACTTCCTAAACTCTCATCTAACTGATTCGATCTTCAGTATTCAACTCATATTCGACATGAATTCCATCATGCAGTCGATTTACGTCCTCGTGTCTATCCTATCAGCCACCAGGCTGACATACGCCGCTCCACTCGAGGTCCGCAGTGACCAGACATTCTTCTTCACGTTGTACGTTTACCCCTAAAGTACTATGACTCTGACCTGACTCTGCAGTGGTAACTCGTACACCTCCACTGGCTTCGATCCGCTGCTCACGCAGCCTTCTGCCACGAACCCAATGGGCAATCCGCCTCTTGGTAAGCATGTCCAGACCGTCCCTGAGATACCTGTTTTCTAACCGTTATCCAGGCCAGGGGACATCCTCTGGAGGAATCAATTGGGTCGGCTATCTCACCACCGTCTTCAACGCCAGTCTCGTGCTCAACTACGATCTGGCTGTCAGCGGCGCCTGCATCAACAATTCCATCGTCAAGGCGCCCGTCCGCGACCTAGTCTCACAGGTGGAATCGACCTTCGAGCCCAACTATGCGGAGAAGCCTGCCTCGACTCCGTGGACGGCTGAAAACGCCGTCTTTGCATTTTGGATCGGGATTAACGAGTGAGTATGTGCTCACAGGCGGATGACGTTTTCTGATCAGTCCAACCTGCAGCATTGGACATTCCTACCAAACTGTGGATCCTGATACAACAGTGCCGCTCCTATTGGATAGCTATTTCGATCTTGTCCAGCAGGTGTATGAAAAAGGTGCTCGACAGTTTTTGTTTCTCACCGTTCCGCCAACAACGAAATCGCCATTGATCGTGTCGCGAGGCTCGACAGACGCCCATGCCGCGTATGTCAGCACGTACAATCTGGAATTGACACTCAGGACCGAAATTTTCAAGGAAACCAATTCTGACGTAAGTAATAATACGGTCCTGGAATAGAACACAGACTCATTTCACATAGGTGACTGTCGTCCTATACGACGCGTGGGACTTTATGACAAAAGTCCTGGATAATCCTCAGGACTATGGCTTCCAGAATGCCACCTGCATTGGAGAGGGATGTGTCTGGTGGAACGCCTATCATCCCACATCGGCCTTCCACAAGCTGATGGCCAACGACATGGCGCCGAAGCTGAAGGCGTTTTGGAGTGGGTGGTGATGCATCCACGTGACGGCCGCAACGAAGCCATCTGCTCCCCGCATTTGCGTAGTAACATGTATGTAGCATGTAGCATGATATGAATCACGAGTCATGATGGGTCACTTCATTACAGCACATACAATGTGCTATCAACGCAGACGAGATAGATGTAAATGAATCGTGGCCAGACTGGAAGCTAGGAGCTAGAACTCTCCTCAACTAGTGGAAAAGTTCTTCTTACCACTGCAGTCACCAGCCCAGCCCAGCGCAGCCAGCTCAACCAATCACATCATACTCTGAGGGGCAGATATCAATCCTTTGTTTCTCTTCCTGGCAACGAACGCGGGGGGTAAAATGGTGGAGCGGTTAGGTCTGCACCTGCAGCAGGACTGGTAAACAGACTGTCAAGCAAAAAAAAAAAAACAAAAACACCCCGCGTTCGATCCCTCTGGGTTCTAAAAACATGAAAATCCCAGTTACCTAACAAGATCCGTGGGGGTGCTGCGGGAGGGACGGCACCCCTTATCAGAAGCTTTTTTTTTCCTTTTCTTTTTTTTATTGCCTTTTAGGGAATTTCATCGTCCTCCATCTTTCAGTGTACTTGCCTATAAACACAACAGAAAAAGTGCATATGGTGCAGTGGTTGATGTCTTGATTCTCTTCCAAGTCCTATGGGTTGTGCCCTAATCAGGACTAGCGTATATGAGTGCTTCTATGTGCTACTTCCAATCTTTTGAACCTCACTCTTACACACCTGTCTTTCCTCTTTGTTCTGCAAACAACAATATTATGCTACCTTGTCAGACATACCCTTCATGAGGTATCCTCGAGAATCAGGATTATTTATTGCCCTGCCGTCTCTGAGTCTGGTCTGCATCTTCCATCGGTGTCGGGCTTATCGGATGCCGATATAAACTAGCGATTGGAGTTCGCCGGCCCTATTTTCATGCGAGTGACGGCCAAAGACAGCGCCATTATCAATATTGACATGAGTACCCCTGTCGCTTTTTTTATCGCAATGATAGGCTCCGTCGATGATATCAAACCTGGTCCAGAAGCAGGGCTTTTTTTTGACAGCTCAAATCAGTTGCAGTTCCGCTGGTCCGTCCATGCAGTCAGTCCATGTAACAATGGACCCCGGCTCTTTTCCATCCAGCCATCGAGCAAAATATCACGTCTTTGAATCTGGACTGGACGTCTTTTTTATCTACCCCGCAAATATATTACGCAGTGGGCCGATGATCTACCTACGTCGGCGTCGGAACTGGGCGATCCCGCGCGAGAAACGGCCGAAAGTCCGTTTCTTTTCTCCGGCCGTTGGATGTACGGAGCATTTTACAGCAATTGTTTTTCTGCGTCAGTCGGGAAATGAATTGATCGTGCCGAGAAATTGCACCGATTAGTCGCCTTCAGTGACATGTTTTCAATATATAATTCATGTTGGACACGGCTCCTGAACAGAACAAAATTGAATTGAATGTAATGTGCAACATCAAACCAACTACGCTACGCAAGCATGGATTCGTTCTTCGAATACCTCTCGCCGGTCATCCTGTTCGGCTGCCTCGTTGCTTTTGTTCTGTTGGTAAGTGAGATCCAATTCTCCTAAGCTGCCTTCTGACGAAGAAAAGCACTTTCGACCGTTCAATCGCCCTCTCTCCGCCATTCCTGGACCTCAACACTCCAAGTGGACAGGTCTGGTTGTTACTTACTACTGGCTCATTGGCAAAAGATCTACCTACGTCCACTCTCTCCATCAAAAATACGGTCAGTACAGTCTCATCCAGAGAGAATGATAGCTGAGTATGCCCAGGACCAATCGTCCGTGTCAGCCCCGATGAGGTGCACATCTGCGACATCGACGCAGCGAGGGAGATCCACAAGGTTGGAGGGCGGTTCTTGAAGTCGGAGTGGTACAAAAAACTTATACCGCGGGGCGTGGAGAACGTCTTCAGCACTACCGACTACAAATTCCACGCTCTTCGCCGTCGTATCCTATCGGCCCCGATGGCTGACGCGTCTCTGAAGCACTTTGAGCCTCTCATTACTGATCGAATCCGCTTGACCATCTCCAGGATGGAGGAAGAATCGAAGATTCGCGGTGCGGCGGATGTGTTCAAGTGGTGGACATTTATGACGACTGATGTCATTGGCGAGTTGAGCTTTGGCGAGTCATTTCGCATGGTAGAATACGGCAAGGTTTGTAATATCACCTTATGCCGCTCTGCTCCTGCTGACCTGTGTAGAAAAACCAGTACGTCTTAGATCTGGAATCGGTCATCTCCTTGCAACCAATCCGAACAACCTTTCCATTCCTCGTCAAACTCTCCGAGTTTGTGCCCATCCCTATATTCCGCAGAGCCGCAGAGGCCGGATGGAGACTCGCCAGCTATAGTGAGCAGTCCATGGCGCGGTATCGGAAGATGCTCGCTGTTGATCCGAAACCGACTCTGCTGACGAAGCTGTTCGATGCGGGAGAGGAGGGGTTGTCAGACCCAGAGATCAGAGACGAGGCGCAGGGCTATATCGTCGCCGGCAGCGACACCACGGCCGTGACGTTGACCTACCTGGTGTATTCCGTGTGTCGCGATGAGAAGATCAGAAATCGACTCGTCGACGAGGTCGCATCTCTCCCGGAGGGCTTCACGGAGAAAGATGCCCGAGAGCTGCCCTATCTCGAGCAGGTCATCAACGAGACCCTCCGCTTGTATTCTGCAATTCCGGCTGCTTTGCCTCGCGAGGTTCCTCCTGAAGGGGCTCATTTGGCGGGATATCAACTCCCGGGCGGAGTGACGGTGTCGACCCAGGCTTATAGTTTCCATCGCGACCAGACGATCTTTCCAGAGCCGGAGAAGTGAGAACTCTCTTCACATTATATTTCTTTCAGTTTTTGATCATTCCACCTTCTAGACCATAAACCTAAGCTGATTTTATCAGATTCGACCCTTCGCGATGGGCTTCCCCGACCATGGAGATGAGACACGCCTTCATGCCGTTTGGGGCTGGTTCCCGCAGTAAGCATTACCTAAATATTACCGCCAGGTACATCTTATAGGAGACATTCTAACAAAACGAATTTAACAGTCTGCCTGGGAATGCATCTCGCGCGAATCGAACTGCGTCTGGGCGCCGCATTCTTCTTTCGAGCCTTCCCCAATGCCAGAATATCCGCTAAGGAGGGGATGAGCGAGGATGACATGAAGCAGAAGATTTTCTTTTTGATGGCTCCTAAGGGACATCGATGTTTGATTGAAGTTGATTAGACTGCAGGATGGACTTAGGTTGTTGCTATTATACCATGCTAAACCATTTTCCTACGAGTTATGATGACCTAGTTTCTGACAGAGTACAGATTGTACCATTGATATGTCATGATGAAATGTCCTCTCACGTCGTTGAATGAATTGACTTTGGAAGGGAATGGTATTTACAAGCCTAATTTGCTTCACACTGTCTTAACAACACCTTTCATTAGATACATGGACAAGATTTATCGTCCTTCTATCACGAGACTCTTCTAGTCAAAAAAATGCATCACCTCGGGCCAGTGCGAGCTGTTGCCATAGGCCGGCCCGCCAAAAGTCAGATAGCCATACGAAGCCGTGCCCGTCTGTCGCACGATCTGCTCCCTGTCGCCAAAGACAAACACCGTCTGCATGCCCATGATCATATGCTGCAGGATGTGGCAGTGCATCATCCACACTCCGGCGTCGTCGACCCGCAGCCGCCACGCCCGCCAGCTCGCGTTGCCCCCCGGCGTCGTCTTCTCGCGGTACCGGTACAGCATCGTCGTGTCGCGCTGCATGGGCGAGCTGCCATTCAGCCGCGCCTCGTTGGCGACAGGGTCGTACGTGCCCTCTCCGCCGCCGAGGTCGAAGAAATGCCGCCCGTGCGCGTGGATCGGGTGCGTCTCGACGTTGCCGCTCGTCGTCGAGCCCTGGTTCTGCCACACGATCTCCAGCACCTCGCCCATCTTGGCCGGGAACGTGCGCGTGACGGCGTCGAAGCCGCCGTTGGCCAGGGCGCGCTCGTACGCTGCGTCCAGGTCGTATCGGCCGGAGTAGATGTCGATCAGGTACGGCGACTTGGGGACATTCTCGGTCCAGGGGTATCCGTTCTCGACCCAGACGATGCCCTCGCTGACGGTCTGATGCACGTTGATGACGATCCGCCGCGTGATCTCCGACAGAGACGGGAAGTCTGGCGCCGGACACAGCGGACGCAGCTGGTCGTCCAGCCATCCGTTCGTCGTCGACGCGACGGGCAGAGGAGGCGTGCTCGGGGCCGTCATGAGATCAACGTCTGCACCGGGATACCGCAGAACGGCGTACGCGGTGCGAACGGCAGGACGGTCGAGCGTCACGAGCTGGATATAAAAGTATCCCTTGCCCTGGCCCTTGCTCTGGGCCAGCTCGCTTTCGGTCTTTGTGCGAAGCAGCGCGCTGAATCGCTGCCCGCTGCCGATCTGGATGTAGCTGGTAGGCACTGGCTGGGTGTACTGGCCGTCTGCTTCGATAATCTCCATCTCGTGGCCCTCGATCTCCAGGCGCAGGAACGAGAGGGCCGTACTACCGATGAAGCGCAGACGATACGTCTTGCCGGGCTCGACGTCGATGGCCGCCATGGAGCAGGAGCTGCCGCCACCTCTGTTGCTGCTGCTGCTGCTGATCGGTAAACCCTGACCATTAACAAGCAGCGCATCCGGCTCACCACTCCAAGTGAAGTTTTTCCCCGTAAGCCCCTCCTCAATATCACGATCCGTCCTGTGAAAGAAATCGCCAAGAGCAATGATCCTCTCTTCATCGTACGAGTAGGGTGCCGGAGAAGAAGGAGCGGCTTCGTCGACAATCAGCGCGCCCGCAGCAGAGACAGCCTGAAAGCCAACACGCGAGTGATAGAAATACGTCCCCGCGTAGCCAACGTCCGGACGGACTTCGTAGTCGAAGAAGTACCCCGGAGGAATAGGCCATTGCGAGGCGAGGGGTGTGCCGTCAGAGAAGGGGGCGACCACCATGCTGAGGCCATGCCAGTGCTAGCGTAGTCGAGAAAAGAAAATTAGCAATGCAGATATACTAATATATGAGGATAGGTAGGATAGGATACTACCATAGTAACGTTCTCAACCTCCATATCATTGTGCACCCTTATCCACGTGGTCCGGCCTTCTTGCAGTCTCAGCTCTGGTCCCGGAGAGGACCCATTGATCAGAACAGAGTAGCGGTCGTGGCATGCTTGGGTGTAGTTCTCTGCTGTTATCCGCAGGACGATGTCGGGGGTGAAGGACTCGTCGTGGATGTGGACGTGGACTGCGACGATGACGGCGGGGAGGTTTGAAAGTAGGTATAGAAGGAGATATGTAGTGATATGTTGCCAGGTAAGTGCTATGCCCATGGTGGGATGATATATATGTACTTTGGCCAGTAAGAGAAGTACCAGCCCTTGACTTATTTTATATTATATAGTATTGTATTTATAGACAAAGAATATGCAATCATACATATTCATATAGAAGTATAGGTACTCCGCACCCTCATTAGCTGAAACAAGAAGCATTTTGAGAATCTTCATCTTCAGCTCGAGTGGGTCTCGACTACTTGCTGGAATATGTATATATGGTTCTGAGCATGCATGAGCTGTATAGTCTGTATGTATGGGGTGGAGTAAGGAGTACTCTAGGCCTAAGTTCACTATACGGAGTAAAGGGTGAATTAATACTAGATGCTAGATGCTAGATATACTAAGTGCATACAGTATGTACCGTGGAAGATAATATTTACATTTTTTTTTATTTATTGTACTGTACAACTTATAAGAGCAATACATTCTTCAACAATCTGCTCTCCTCTCCTCCTCTTATGCTTATTATCATGGTCGATCGATCGATCGCCTTACTCCATACATGTATTTATTGACCTTATTTTGACCAATCATCGAAGGAAGCGTGGATGGATCTCCTCCTTGCAGATCATTGCATATCATTAGTTACCTAGTTACTTACTTAGATAACGTATTCAGCGCGCCACCACCACCTAATTTATCAATAGGTAGTAGTCTTGGCTAGCTAAGGTACCTAATTAGGAGTAGCTAATGTTACGAGGTACGGTTCAGCTGTAGCGAGATAAAATAGTCTGTCTGGATTCTGATGAGGAGAGACGACTTTCGAAGCCCGATGTTCGAAGTTTTTGTCCAGTCCAAGATGGAGATTTATGCGGAGTATGCGGAGTAGGTTAGTTATACAGACTAGTTTTATATAAGCTTTAATCTACTGTAGAGGGTGATCTGCAGGGCACTGCACACCGCTTGTCGTGAACAACACGACAAAACAAACCCATTGTTGGACCGTATGTATGGACAGTCCATACAGAGTAGGTACTCAGACCTCAATCTCATGGTTCCTTCCTTCATCTTAAGGCCATTCACATGGATGGTCCATACATGTATGTATGGAGTCTGAAGCATCTTCTATACTACTGAATGAACACGCCATTGCCTTGCTACAACAATGGTAGCCATGTCTCTTTAACGAAGTCTGGATTATCAAATCTTCCTTCGTCACAATTTGAGTGAGTCTTCGGGTGTCCAGGACTCTTTCCTCCTTTCTAGAACACTGGATTCTTCAATTCTAAAGATTGATTGGGATCTCCATCTTCATCTTCAGGTTCTTCTTCGATTGATCGATCGACTGGAGTAAAGATATTGTCTGTCTTAGGTCTGTGTATACCCTATTATCTATCTACGTGCCTAATTATTGACTGCATAATTTATTTGCAAATACGGAAATCGAGATGTTTGTACATACTTTCTACTATCTATTCCCTACAAACAGTTTCTGAACAGCAAAAAGAGACGATACCAGTGTCTGTATGATTCTGAATGAATACTGATGAGAAGATGTAGTTAGAGGAGATAATAGATACCTATTTATATTACTTGATAAGAATAAATAGATGATATTAATAACTGAAAATTCTCAGATTAGAGGAATGGTTAGCGATAGGGTATAATATCAAGGAAAAGAAGTGGCGGTGCATCCATTTTCTACAAACAGACCATTTCTTTAAATATAAAAATCCAACCACAACGCTTAGGGTGAAACAATCAGTTCTTTTCTTTTCCTTTCTTTTTTTTTTTTTTGTAGAACAGAGCCATACGTCTTTACGATCTACTGTTATATTTATTTACCTACATCGTAAGATTACATTTTAAGAAAGAAGACAATACTCTTCATTCCTAACCCTAACCACTGGGATCACTGTCCAATCTACATATCTGGACTGGATGGTGTTCGTTTTAATTTTCAATCACATGATCATCATGACAGTGTATTGTTCTGTAATGTAATGAAATACATATCCATACAGTTGTACAGAATAGGATAGAGTATTCCCCCACATAGCATAATCATTGCCATTAGACAAGGCAGACAGGCGATTAGACATCAGATTGGTACAGACATAATTTATACCAGTAGACAAATGTGTCGATAATATACCTATCAGTTGCAATATACCCATATCCTCACTTCCACAACGTGACAACCACCATGTCAACCATCACCCTCAACCAGACACTCTCCCTCAAATCTCCCGCTGTCCACCTGCACGCCCTCTCCGCCGGCCATCTCACCCTGCCAGAAAAGTACTTTGTGCATCCCGCATCCGCCACCGCTCGCCGGACAGTGCCATCGCTGGCCTTCCTCATCCAGCACCGCCATCCGACCACAGGAAAACTCACCCGCCTCGTCTTCGACCTGGGCCTGAGGAGAGACATCCAACTGTACGCGGTGCCCATCCAGAAGCATGCGGAAACGCGCCAGCCGCTGTCGACAGACCCGGATGTGGTCAAGAGCTTGGCTAGAGGCGGTCTGACGCCGGGGAATATCGACTATGTGGTGTATTCTCATGTATGCAGTCCTTTACAGTCTGTCTGCTTGGTTCATGTCTGATCTTGATTTCCAGGTCCACTGGGACCACGTCGGCGAGCCGCGCGACTTTCCCACCAGCACGTTTGTCATCGGCCCTGGCGCGAGGGATCTCCTCCGGGGAACGAACCGGTCATTGACGGGCAGCCACTCCTTCTTCGAGCCCGATCTGCTACCGGAGGAGAGGACGATCGAGCTGAGCGATCCCGACAGCAGCAGCAAAGTCGACCGGGCTAGTGATAAGGAAACTTCTGGGCCAGACTTCCATCAGCCCTGGACAACGAATCCGTTCAATCTTCCTTCCATCGACTTGTTTCATGACGGCACGGTGTATATCGTCCATGCGCCCGGGCATCTTCCAGGACACATCAACCTGCTCGTCAAAACCGGACCGGAACCAACAAACTGGGTGTATCTCGCTGGCGACGCCTGCCATGACCGACGGATTGTGCGCCGGGAGAGAGAGATTGGCGAGTGGGTGGACGACGACGGCCGCGTCTGCTGCATCCACGCTGATCGGAAGATGGCTGAGCAGACGATCGAGCGGATCAGGGGGTTGGAGGAGCAGGGCGTAGAAGTGATTTTTGCGCATGATGTGGAGTGGGAGGACGATGCGAGGAATAAGAGTCGGTTTTTCGGTAGTAGTTGATTACTGCTGTTGATTGGAGGAATTATTGCTACAGGAATGACACGGCAGATAGTATCTACGGTTGTAGAGGTAGATGTCGTATCTACGGTTGACAGTACAGCATATACTGAAGATTGGCATAGTTAGGAGGATTGTTCGTAAACAGCCCGATTAGCTATTTCATACCAATACAACAAGAATGGAATACTTATCAATCGTATTGTTACTGTGCAGGTGGGGATACCCCACTGATAACTCCAATACGATGTCACAGGTATATAACATTGTTCTATATACTTATCTATTTTGTGACTGTTGCTAATCTTCCTATCAGCAAAATTATCTTTTTCTTCACAACTCTACAACTGCCATGTCCTCCCCTCCCAAGCAGCATTTCATCGCCGAACTGGGCCCTCACGCCTGGAACGACGGCTGGCAGAGCGTGCTGAACCTCAGCCCAGAACTCTTCCAAGCCAGCCTGGCGCTGCGCAGCGTCCCCAAACGACATGGCCATCTCTCGCCCAAAGTACAGGCCTTCATCGGCCTGGCTGTCGATAGCGCCGCCACCCATCTGCACGTCCCGGGCATCGAGGAGCATGTACGCGCCGCGCTGGCTGCAGGCGCCACAGCGACAGAACTCGTCGAGGTGATCGAGCTGACCAGCACGCTGGGCATACACGCGTGCAACATTGGCGTGCCGCTGCTGGTCGAGGTATTGAAAGAAGAAGGCCATCCAGCTGCAGAAGCGCAACAGCTAGACGCGCGACGCGAACAGCTCAGAGCCGACTTTAAGCAAAACCGCGGCTACTGGCACGCCTTCTGGGAGGACATTTTGCGGCTGGACCCGGACTTTTTCGAGGCGTATTTGGAGTTTTCGTCGGTGCCGTGGGTGCGGAGGCCAGAAAATGGTACGAAGGGGGTGTTGGAGCCGAAGGTAGCATCTGCATCAGTCTATTAACAGAATACATCCTGACGAGTGCAGGTCAAAGAACTCATCTACTGCGCCTTCGACGCCGCTGCCACGCATCTTTACCAGCCCGGGCTGAAGCAGCACATGCGCAATGCGCTGCGGTACGGCGCCACGCCGGAGGAGATCATGGAGGTGCTGGAGATTGCGACGGCGTTGAGTCTGCACACGGCGACGGTGGCGATGCCGATTGTCGAGAGGGAGGTGGCTGCCAGGTAGCCCAGCATGTACTGTACTTTACATACAATACGAGTAATATGAGCGTATCAATCCAGCCCTACTTCTCCAGACTACTTCCCCAGATTTAGTGCCTTCCCCACAAATTGGGGTAAATCCGGATATACCCCGACTTTCGGCATTTGTCCGACAGATAGCCATATTTCCCCACATCTCCCCGCAAAAACATGCATCTGGGGAAATACCAAGCTCCATGTATGTACTTAGGTCGTTAGATAGATATCTTAACTGGAAGACAGAGAAAAGGGGAGACAAAAAGGAAGTCGACTTTGACCATTCATTTGGAGACAGACAGGTAGACAGGACAAGGTTTAGAAAGAAAATGAAGCATTCATTCGAATTAGTTGCCTTGCTGTCTCTCCCTTTACTTCACTCGTATCGATTAAAGACCTGCTCCAATAGATATTACGAATCCACGGAAAGATTCCGTCAAGTCTACTGAATCAGTAGTATTCGTAAAAATCAATGGTAGATTGTAATGATTACGAGTAGCTTACCCCAATCTAACCAAGACCAGGCACATACTATCTCATCTACCGAAGTGTGTCTGCTACCTAGGTAGATGCCTGCACTATTATCCACAATCGCAGGAAAACTATAAGAACAGCACAGATACTATATTATATAGTTCTTGTATCATCGCTAGGATTGCTCTTGCAATACCCTACCTTATCCCTACCTACTTACCTATCTACCTACCTCATTGTTCTGTATAGACATCATTTTTATCACCATGGACAACAATCTCAATTCCAATTCCCTCGACAACGACAAACCCCATACTGGGCTGCACATCGAGGATGCCAACAATTCCTCCGTCTCCTCGACCCGTGATGCCGGCCATCCGGAAGATATTGATGACGACGACTTTGGCAAACGCGAAGCGGCCGTCGTCTTCAAGCTCGACTGCTTCATTGCGCCGGTCATGATGCTGCTGATGCTGATTTCGTATCTGGATCGGGGGAATGTGCGTGCAATACCATATTCCAGGGACATGCTGGATCTTCTCTGCTGCTGTTCTTGGCTAATGCTGTCTGGTTCATGCAGATCGGCTTCGCTGCGACGCAGGGCTTGTCAAAGGATATTGGGTTAAAGGGGTCGGAGTTGAATGTCAGTATATCCTTGCTGATCGGACCTCTCTTTTTACTTGATTTGACTGACGCATTTACACCGCTGTGTGTCTAGATCGCCATATCCGTCTTCTACGTCTTCTACATCCTTGCTGAGGTATGCACCTCCGTACCCGTTCTCTTACTACAATATCCTCCTGTCTATACCGACTGACTGGTATTATATGATAGTTCCCCACCTCCCTCCTCGTCAAACGCCTCCAGTACAACCGCGTCATCCCGTTCATCACGGCATGCTGGGGCCTCGTCTGCCTGTGCACCGGCTTCGTGCAGGGGTTTGCGTCCCTCGTCGTGACGCGTCTGCTGCTGGGTTTCTTTGAAGGGTGTCTGTTCCCGTCTATGACACTGTTCCTGTGCGACTGGTACAAGCGCGAGGAGTTGGCGACGAGGATTTCGTTTCTTTTTGGTTGGTCTTGCCTAACCCAACCCTAACCCTAACACTAACCTCCGGTCTATTCTTTTTTGATTTCTGATCGATCTTCTGAATTGTGTTGTTTGTGTTTATGATGCTGACGATACCAGTGGCATCCGCTCTTTCAGGTGCGTTTGGCGGTCTTCTTGCCTATGCGATTCTCTACATGGATGGCACAGCGGGGTTGCATGGGTGGAGGTGGTATGTTCTATACCCATACCTATACTATGACTATATTGCATGCTGTACTGCATACTGATGATGGTGACTTCAGGCTCTACATCATCGAAGGCCTCATCACCATCGTCTGGGCAGCTATCTGCCTGTTCGTCGTGCCCAAGAACTTCGAGACAGCATACTTCCTGTCCGAGAAGGACAAGGTCGTCATGCGCCGGCGCGCGGAGGTCATGGCCTCGTACAGCGGTGGGCGCGGACACTACAAATGGAAGGATATCAAGATGGCTGCTGTAGATGTCAAGAGCTGGGTTCATGGCGTGATTCAGATCTGTGTCGTGACGATTCTTTACGGTGGGCTTACCTTGCCTTCGGGTGCATCAACCTGGTTGATATTAATAACCATGTTGATGGTATTTAAGACTACTAGACTAACGAGGATGACTTCAGGATTCGGCACCTTCCTCCCCATCATCCTCAAGGATGGATTCCACTATTCGACGATCCAGGCCCAGTATCTCGTTATCCCAGGTACGTAGACGTATAGCTATCCCCCATCTCCATCCATCAATATTGCTGTGCTAACTCTCCAAGTCAACCTCTGGGGCGCCCTCACCTACGCCGTCGGCGCCGTACTCTCCGACCGCTACAAAGCGCGCTTCCTGTCTCTCATCCTTGCCGCGCCCTTCGGTATCGCCGGGTACGCCATCCTGGTCGTGAACGGCCATGACCACGCCGTATCCCCTGGCGTGCGCTACTTCGCTACCTACCTCATCGCCACAGCATGCTACCTCTGCACAGGCACCAACATCGCCTGGCTCTCGTCCAACTGCGCCCCTGACGGGAAACGCGCCGCCAGCGTGGGCATCTTGCTCTCGCTGACGAATATCGGCGGTGTTGTAGCGGGGCAGATCTACCAGACGGCTGCCGCGCCGGCGTTTGTGTTGGGCCACTCGTGGAGTTTGGGCTGTTTGGTTTTCGCATGGTGTGGATGGTGGATCGTCCTGTTTATCTACTGGCGTAGGGAGAGGGGGAAGGATCGAAATATCCTCCTGGGGAAGACGATTCCCCCTGAAGAATGGAGTGATCGGGCGCCGGATTTTCGGTATCAGTTTTAGTATTCTATATATGTCTATTGCTTGCTGGGTGGATGTTTGCTGTCTTGTTTCTTGTCTCTGCCGATGGAGTTGTACAGTATGTTATATATAGTTACGACTGAATAAGACATCTTCTATATCATGTTTTGCGATTTCAATGTCATCAGTTCCTGATGTAGATAGATCACCCCTGCGAACGCGCCCGCTCCTCCAACGCCGCAACCGCATTCTGCAGCTCGCGGATCCGCTGTCCCACCCGTCGCTTGACCTCTTCTCGCACCTCCGGCTTGATCTCCTCTGGGTTGTAGTTGGGCGCAATACCCACCACTCCCTCAGCTTGGCCCTGCATGGGCGGCCCCGCGGCCGGATCACCCGAGAGCAAGGGGTCCGTCCGGCCCTGGGCGATGGCCTCCGCCGGGTTCTGTGCCACGGGTTCTTTCGGAACCGGGGCGACCTCGCCCTCGGGCACCTTGGCCGGCGTGTCCGGCGCCGACGACGTCGTCATCTCCGTGTACAGCGTGTACACGCGGGTCAGATGGTTGAGCGCGTCGCGGGCCGACTCGCGGTCAGACGCGGCGTAGATGGTGGCGGCGTCGGTGCTCTCGGTCGCGATTTCGAACTCGTCTTTGGCGTTGTCGTATCTATCCAGCAATCAGCAGGTAACTCGTCTTATGTGAAGCGGCAAGTCGTACAGCTCCTGCAGCTCCTCCACCAGCAGATCTGCCTCGCTTTTGCCGGACGTCGGCTTCAGATCTGCGTAGCCTCGTCGGGAGGTCCAGGCAGGCGACAGTGAGGTTGGTGTCGGATAGCCCTGTCTGCGCCAGTATCGGTATCTGTGTAGGGATGCTTGTGCTGTGTATCCTCGCGCGAATTGCACCGCTGCACGCGGTAATAACCGACGTGATACTGAAGGGGCCATCATCCCCTCTCTCAAGGCTCGAATCTGAGACGATCGAGACACGGTCCGTGACAACGTCGCCATGACTGACGCAATTGGCGAAGCAATTAAAAGAAAATATCCAGCAGCCTGTCTGTGTAGAAATAGTCAAAGGAGTTCCTAGTGAGGTTGGACATCGCAGCGATGACGTCGCTCGGCCCGTCCAGCTAGCGCGGTCACGGGCCGTCTTATCTAATCTTCACGTGATCAACTCGCCAATTAGAGAAGTACACAAATCCATCACACTTGCCCTAGTCGAAATAGTCGAACAAATCTTTATTTCTGAATTTCCAAGTCTTTTCTGTTGAAAATCTGTCCGGAAGTGATTTCGACCAGTCCAATCGGTCAGATTGCCTCCTGGGAATCCCTCAATGCAGAGGTTGAATAATGCCAAGACAGCGGATGTCACGGGCCTGCAGCGCGGACTATACCTGTTTAGGACTAGTATGCTGTTCCTGTGCACCTTCCATATCAGGCAGGGAGCTGCGTGCACTTGCCATAATTAACATCCTTCACATCCTTCACATTCTTCGTATCCTTCATCTTATCCAATTCAATCTTTCATTTCAATCTTGGTCGGTTGCACAAAATTTGATGCCTTGACTGCATGGCCTGCACATTTGTTTTCATGCAGTGCGATAAATCAACTGAGAAATCGTCAATTCTCGAAGGCTAGGGCATGCTCTGATCGATCTACAGAACGCTGCATGCAAGATCCGCTCACGTGGCAGCACCAGCCAATCCCATCTCGAACCACTTCCGACGGCGTCCTCCCGATTGCTCTCGCATGGGCCTCTTGTATGAGATGATAATATGCTTGGACCTCTGCCTAAATGCCCACCTGCTTCATCATCCTGCTACCACGTGGGAGCGCTCGACAGACGGACACTGGCCTGCATAGAGCAAGGCACGCTGTTTACTCCGGCCAAGCCCATCTTCATTTCGGACTGTTTACTGAAATGATGAGACCGATAGTCTTCAAAGGCTTGGCCTGGGCCGGCCACGATGCTTATATATTGCTGGAAACCGTGGGTGGCGGTGGTAAACGATGACCACCGTCCAGGTCGTTCCTCATCAAGATGCGTGCCCACGGCCTCTTGCTCGCGGCCCTCCTGCTCACCCATGTTGATGCTGGCTACGCGCCAGTCCACACATCATGCCCTACAACCCCCCTGGTCAGACCGGCCAACGGCCTGAGTACCGACGAAGCATCGTTCCGCCAAGCGAGAAAGCAAGTGGCCGACCAGGCTTTGAAGTCATGGCTCGCCAAGACAAACCCCGGGTTTCAGTATACTGACAGCATCCTGCCGACGGTAAGCTCGCCTTTCCAATCCTTCCAGGTCATTCGCTGACTTCTTCCAGCTGGCATTGGCCACCAGCGGTGGAGGCTACCGGTCTCTGCTGGTCGGTGCCGGGCTCATCCAAGGCCTTGACGAACGGAACAGCAACATCTCCACCAGTGGGCTCTATCAGGCCCTTACCTACCACTCCGGTCTCTCGGGCGGTGCCTGGCTCCTCTCGTCCCTGGCTGGCAACAACTGGCCGACCGTCACGGCTCTCAAAGAGGGCCTCTGGGAGCAAGCGTTCCAAAACAGCCTTCTCGTCCCGAGCAACCCTCTCGCTTCTCCAGAATATGGAGAAGTCCTTGCTGATATCACGGCCAAACAAGCGGCTGGATATCCTCCGACCCTGACCGATCCATGGGGTCGTCTGCTCTCGTATCAGATTTTGGAAGCCCCGGAGGGCGGCGTCAACACGACCTTCTCGTCGGTCGCGAGCCTCTCCAACTTCACCAGCCATGCGGCCCCGTTTCCCATCATCCTTGCGCTGGGCGTGAAGACCTTCAATGGCGAGTGTTGGCCGGGCCCCAACGCGACGACCTACGAATTCACGCCCTATGAATTTGGGTCGTGGGACAGCGACATCAGCGCTTTTACGCCGACGGAATACCTGGGCACCTCTCTGTCCAATGGGCAGCCTACCAAGGCCGGCGACTGTGTGGTCAACTACGACAATCTCGGATATGTCCTTGGCACGTCGTCCAGCCTCTTCAACGAGGCTTGCCCCAATATACCGATCGCCGCCAACAGCACCACGAACCTAACTCAGGACCTGGCCGAGATGGTCGTGCAGACGCACTCGCTGACGACGCGCGATGAATTCGCCGTCTACCCGAACCCGTTCTACAACTACAACTCGTCCAGCGGCGTGCCCAACCCGGCGAATCCCATCTGGGAGCAAACGGAGCTGAGGCTCGTTGACGGCGGCGAGGCGATGCAGAACAACCCCATCTGGCCGTTTCTGCAGCCGGCGCGCGGGGTGGATGTGTTGCTGGTCAACGACAACAGCGCGGACGCGAACAACTTCCCGAACGGGTCGGAGATCCTGACGACGTACGTGCAGAGCTTCAACCACAACCTGACGCGCATGCCGTCCATCCCGTCGGTCGACACGTTCATCTCGCAGGGGCTGAACAAGCGGGCGACCTTCTTTGGGTGCAACGAGACGGACAAGCTTACGATTGTGTACATCCCGAATGTCAACCTCACGTACCCGAGCAACACGCCGACAACCAAGGTGCAGTATTCGGCCAGCGAGACGGAGGGGATGATCGGGAACGGGGTGGCGATGGCCAACCAGAACGGCGAGGCTGGATGGGGGACATGTCTGGGATGTGCGATCATGGCGAAGACGGGGAATGCGTTGCCGTCGGAGTGCACGGCGTGTTTTGCGAAGCACTGCTATCAGGGGTGAGAAGATATACAGTATACGAGAGTATGATCGTAGGATGCACGTGAGTACAATCGTAGGATACACGAGGTGGTAAATTATCAAGGCAGTTTAATTCATCTGTTAATCTACCACCTATCCCATGTTACCTTCACACTAGCTAGCTATTTCTTTTAGTGATAGATCGTCGTTGTCCTATTTCTTCTGGAGAACCAGATATGTATGTACATATACCTTGTGGTGGGATTAATCCGGGATGCTCATGGAGTGGACTGGACTATTTCCATATCGGGGGTGTTTGTTCTGTACTGTACTGTTACAATAGAGTTACCCCACGTTTCGGTACTGACTGTGTCATGCATTACAGGTGATTCCATTCCATTTCGTTTCTTTTTTTTTGAAAGAAAAAAAAAGACATATAACTTTCCGGAGAATTTAATCTACTCTAAACACGTCATTCGTCTGCAATCTGTCATTGAGAGAATATTGTCTGATCTGTGCATGCGATTTACCCCAACTCTTTGTAGTGTATCGTACTGTACCGTACCACTCCGCAGTACCGTCCGTGGGTAATTGCCTATCTGGGTAGGTGCTAACTTTAGCATGCACTCTTCTCGACGTTACCTCGGTCCTTTACGATTCAACTTTGTTATCGACTTGTAGAAATAAATACACTTCTATTTATTTTAATTATATTCTATCTATTACTTCTCTACTACACTCACATATCCATGCAAGACTACCGCGCCGTGGGCTTCATCGGCCTCGGGGCCATGGGCGCCCCCATGGTCGGCCATCTCGCTGCCAAACTCCCGGCCGGAGTTTCTATCTATGTCTTTGACGTCGTCCAACGCGTGGTCGATGAGCTCTGCGCGCAGCACCCGGGCAGACTGTTTCCGGCGTCCAGCGCCAGGGACGTTGCGGAGAAATCGGTACGTCAGAAGCGTTTAGCATGATAAGACGGTCATATCTAACTGCATGTCTAGGAGGTCGTCTTCACCATGGTCCCCGAAGGCTCGCACGTCCGCACCGTCTATCTCGACCCGCAGACAGGCATCTGCGCGACGGACCTGACGAACAAACTGCTCATCGACTGCTCGACCATCGACACGGCCACCAGCCTGCTCGTCAAGGAGCAGATCGCGCAGACGTGTCCGACAGCGTCCTTCTACGACGCCCCCGTCAGTGGCGGCGTGATCGGAGCCAAAAAAGGCAGCATCGCCTTCTTCCTAGGCTGCGCGGACGACGACCCCAACCTGGCGCGCGTGACGGCGCTGCTGGAAACCATGGGCCGCCAGATCATCCCCTGCGGCGGACCCTCGCTGGGACTGGCCGCCAAGCTGGCCAACAACTACCTCTCGGGCATCATCGCCATCGCCTGCTCCGAGGCCATGGACATGGGCATGCGCGCCGGGCTGGACCCGCGCGTGCTGGCGCGCGTCTTCGCGGCCGGCACGGCGCAGAACACCATCTGCGACCGCTTCAACCCGGTGCCTGGGGTCGCTCCCGAAGCGCCGTCCAGCCACGGCTACCGCGACGGGTTCAAAGTGCAGCTGATGCGCAAGGACTTTGGGCTGGCGGTCGAGATGGCGAAGCGGGTGCAGGCGCGCCTCGTGCTGGGCGAGGCCGGGCTGGCGACGTATGAGGGGGCCAGCAATGATCCCCGATGTCGGGATCTGGATTCGCGGGTGGTGTTTCGCTATCTGGGCGGGGATGAGGAGTGGGAGAAGAAGTTCTCGAAGAGTACATAGATATAGAATCAGATAGACATGGACATGGACATATTCTATTCCATCTGAATTAGAAATTACAGTTGTATTGGGAGCTATTTCCGTTATTTAGCTAGGATTGTAAGCTACATAACTTCCATTTTTGCCACCTACGATTCTACTATTTTTTTTATTTTCTTTTTAATAATATCATTATTCACCATGTAATACCGTAGGAATAATGTCCGTCGGAGATCTCCCGCATGTGGGGTAAACGCGAAACCCCGCCTCATCCCCGACTCTTTCCCCTTCCCTTTACCTTTCACTTTCGATTTCCTTCCAGGCTGATATTCTCCATCTGACGGATTGTCTGCTTGAATTAATTGCCGGTAGCCGAGGAGGGGTCAGTCAGTCGGAGTCATCGCCGTAGTATAGTACAGCACATAACTATTTACGGACTGGACTGCTGACTGCGACTGCAACTGCTCACTCATTGAAATTGGCTGGTCTATCGCTTTGTTGAAGGTATGTCTCGTTGTCTACAGTCTTGAGATTGAGTCTGATCAATTCTCTTGACAGTCATAGAGGACTGCCTCGTCACTCTGTCCATTGACCTACCTACCTACCTACCTACCTCATCCAAGAGCACACATTGCGCTGCTACAATAACACTACACACACAATTCAAGTCAATCGAATCGATCGTCAAACATGTCCACCAACCCCAACCACCCCGACCTCCACAAAACGCTCTTCGAAGAAGGCCTCAAAGTCCGCCGCGCCGTCGTCGGCGACGACTACGTCGACCGCGCCCTGGCCAACGGCTCGACCGAATTCTCGCGACCCGGCCAGGAACTCATCACAGAATTCTGCTGGGGGTACGCATGGACCCGGCCCGGGCTGGACCGCAAGCACCGCAGCCTGATCAACATCGGCATGCTGATGGCGCTGAACCGCTCGCCGGAGCTGGCGGTGCATATCCGGGGTGCGATCCGCAATGGGTTGACGGAGGTCGAGATCCGTGAGGCCATTCTGCATGCGACGACGTATGTGGGTGTCCCTGCGGGTGTGGAGGCGATGAAGGTCGCTGAGCGTGTGCTGGATGAGATGGCGGAGAAGGGGGAACATGTGCGGCAGCTGGGGAAGAAGGTGGAATTATAGAGAGAAAGTCTAGACGAGGAGTCGATTTCGTTTAGGGATATTCTGGCAAGGGAAAAGTGCTAGTAGAAGCACGCTCATCTTTTATTCATATGATATCTGGGAGAATCGTGCTGAATATGAGTTCCTAAGATTCTCGAGTTATTATCTAGAATAGACGAGAAATAGCTATAACAGTGGACAATATCACAGCAATTGATTCAATGACCAATCTAATCGATGATGTTTGTAAAACACTGGCAGAGCAAGATAGAGCAGCCGACCCCACGTGTTCCCCGGACTTCTCCACGCCAAGAACCCCGGATCAACAATTCAACCATCTCATTACAGACTTACAGTAGGTACGTACTATCGCTGGCATCTCAGCAGCATTAATTGCCTGGCTTCAAAGCATGCTCGAAATCCCCAGTGCCAGTTCTGCCCAATCGGGACCTAAGCAGAAGCAGAAGCGCTTCCAGTGCCAGCACTGCCAGCGGCTGTTTGCTCGACTCGAGCATCTGCAGCGCCATGAACGGACTCGTCAGTAATTCATTCAATTGCCCGCGTTGGCTGATTAGACTGCTGACCCGTCTAGACACGCAGGAGAAGCCGTTTGGCTGTCGCCAGTGCCAGCAGCGATTCACCAGGAGGTAACTCATATCTATCGATCCTATCGATCCTTTTCCTCACACCATGCTGACGACGCAGCGACCTGCTGATCCGCCACCAGCGCCTGTCTCATACAGACTCGAGCTCGCAGACCTATTCTGATAGACCTCGTCGAGGCAGGAAGAGGACCGCCCAGGCCGCTGGCATCGACGAGCAGGATGCCATCCTGCCGCCTGTCAGCTTCGAGCCTGCGCATCCAGCACCGCTGACGGATAGCAATGAAATGCCTCTGGCGACGCTGTCCCTGGCTGCTGAGCATGCTGCCTTGCAGGGCATCATGACGTCTGAACCAGACACCCGCGATATGCCAGCCGACGTCAATGTGCCATTGCCATTTGCTGACCGACCCGATCTGCCGGACGGCGACTCCCTCGACAGTCTGGCGGCTTTCCTAGACACCGGCCTGGCGTCGCACCACTTTTCCTCCTTCATCAGCGCCGAGCAGCCCATCCCGTTCTTCTCGCCCGAGTCCGCCGTCCCTGGCCCGGAGTCGGCGTCGGACAACCAGCAACAACAGCAGCAACAGCAGCATCGCCCCGCGCCCAGCTTTGCCGAAGAATCCAGCTCCTTTTCGCGCTTTGGCTCCCGTCTGCCGTCGCTGCAGCCGGAGGAGTCTCCGTCCCAGCGCGAGCAGACGTCGCGAAAGCCGTTGTCGGACATCTCCGTCGAAGACCGACAGTTAATGGCCGCCAAACTGCAGGAGTTTGCCTCAGTCGTGCCGCCGGGCTTCCAGCTGCCGTCCCGGCTGGCCCTGTCGCGGTATCTGGCTGGCTACATCAACGGCTTCCACGAGCACATGCCGTGCCTGCACGTGCAGACCATGTCGGTGCGCAGCTGCTCGATCGAGCTGCTGCTGGCCATGGCCGCCGTCGGCACGCAGTACTGCTTCGAGGGTGAGAAGGGCGTCGAGCTCTTCCACGTCAGCCAGGAGATTGCCATGCGCCGGATCCGACGACGGGACGCGCGTGCGGCTCAGCTGGCAGAGTCGAGTCTGCAATCCAGCCCGCAGGGTAATAATACTACACAGCGAAGTCCATCCATGCCCGGCCCTTTGGGCCTGCCCCCCGAGCCCGGGCCCGCAGAAGATCTCATGCAGACCGCCCAAGCGCTGTTCCTGCTGATGGCCATGGCCACCTGGGCCAAACACAAGGAGATCCTGCGCGAGGCTCTGGCGATCCAGAGCATCCTGGCCACGCTGGTGCGCGAGGACGGGCTGAAGATGGAACCGCTGGGCGACGACGTGTCGTGGGAGGAGTGGATCCGGCACGAGACGGTCAAGCGGACCAAGTTCATCGTCTTCTGCTTCTTCAACCTGCACTGCATCGTCTACAACATCCCGTCGCTGATCCTGAGCTCGGAGATCCACCTGCCGCTGCCCTGCAGCGCGGCCGAATTCAAGGCGCCCACGGCGGCGAGATGGCGCGAGGCTCGAAAACGGAGCCATCTGCCCGAGCCCGACTTCCAAACCGCCTTCCATCGCCTGTTTGACCGGTCAGCGAGAAAGGACGGCATGGAAAGCAGCTCGTGCTCGTCGTTGGGGAACTACGTGCTCATCCACGCGCTGATCCAGCACATTTTCTTCGTGCGTCAGATCGCCCGGTGTCGCAACAGCCATCATCAAGATGACCCGGACGAGATGAGCGCGCTGGAACAGGCGCTGCGCAACTGGCAGCTGGGCTGGAAGCAGAACCCAGAGTCGTCGCTCGACCCGCTGGACCCCAATGGCCCTGTGGCATTCAACTCGACGGCGCTGCTGCGTCTGGCGTACATCCGGCTGAACAACATCGACATAGGACCGGGCCACGCCCTAGCAACGCGCGACCCGATCCAGATCGCGCACTCGTTCCGCGAGAGCCCAGCAACGGGGCTCCGGCGGACGCGCAAGCTCGTCCGGGCAGTGCTGCACTCGGCGCACGCGCTCAGCATCCCCGTCAAGATCGGCATCCGGCTCGTGGCGCGCACGCAAACCTTCACCTGGTCGATCCAGCACTCGCTGTGCTCACTCGAGTGCGCGTTCCTGCTGTGCAAGTGGCTGGAGGCGCTGGCGCTGCCGGACCCACAGCCCGAGGTGTCCGAGGACGAGCGCCGCATCTGCTGGCTGGTCAAGACGATGCTGGACGAGACCGAGTATGGCGTCAAATGCGAGGATGAGCGCTCGCTGCAGGCGCCCGGTACGCTGAAGCAGCTGAGCGCGGGCGTGCTGCGCGTGTGGGCGCAGATCTTCAAGGGCGCGCAGACGTGGGCCATTGTCGATATTATCGGGACGGCGCTGAACATTTACGCTGATATGCTGGATGCAGATGGCAGCCGCAATAGCCAGTAGCGGCTGGCTATGCGTAAGAGATCCAGCTAGCGTGGATATCATGGCGTATTGCCTACAATCCTCAACAGTACAGTCATACGGTCCTATATCCTAACCCTAACGATCCTCCATGCTGTTGGCAGAAGCAGGTCAATCCCATCTATCTCTGACCTATCGATAAAAATGCAACCTCCGCACTACGCAACCTGCATACTGAAATCAACAACCAACTTCCCCCCATACCCAGCCTTATACTCCTGCACCAACTCATTCAACCTTTCCAGAGGAAACCTCTTGACAACCGGACGAATGCCATGCCTCGCCGCAAAGTCCACCATCTCGCGGAGGATCCTATTGCTCCCGACGAGACTGCCCACGATGGAGATATCGCGGAAGACGACATCGCACGCCGACAGACGGAACCCGTTGCGCGGGAACGAGACCAGCACACACTTGCCATGGTTCTTCAGCATGTCGATGCCGTACTGGAACGCTGCCTGGCTCTCCGGCAGGATGATGACGGCGTCGAGGCCCATCTCGCCGCGGTGCTGCTTGCCGTCTTGCGCGCCGATCTCCTCGACGATGCTCTGCGCCGACTCGACGCGCGCGTCGATGATCCTCGCTCCGGCGATGTTGTCCAGTGCCCTGGCCAGTTCTAGTGGTCTGTCGGCGTTGTCGACCCCGTACACCCGCAGGCCCATCTTGGTTGCGAACTGCAAACCCAGATGGCCCAGTCCGCCGCCACAGCCGATGATGCCGATGCGCTGGCCAGGGTAAAGTCCGGCTTTCTTGAGCGCCGCGTAGATGGTCACGCCAGCGCACATGAGCGGCGCGGCGTCGACGGCGCCCATCTCGTCCGGCAAGGGGGCTACCTGCCTGCAGTCGACGACGGCATACTCGCGGAACCCGCCGTCGATGCCGATGCCATTGGTGCGGATGCGCGGGCAGTAGACGGAGTATCCTCTGCCGTCGCTGTCAGGACGACTCTCGTCCAGACACTCATCACACTCCCCACAGGGATGGAACGCGCGACTGCCGACGCCAACGCGATCGCCGAGCCGGAATCCCGCTGCTGCTGCGGGAGAATCGGGGTCCTGGGGCAGCGCGACCACCGTGCCGACATACTCGTGGGATCCGACGTGCGGGAACGAGACCGGATTGCCGGGCATCTCGCCCGCGGCAAGCACGAAATCGGTGTGGCAGTAGGAAGCGGCGTCGACGCGGATGAGCAGGTCGTAGGGCGAGGTGAGGGTTGGAAGGGGGGCGTCTGTGGAGAGACGGTAGGGGGTGTTGTAGGCGTCGAGGAGTTGTGCTTTCATTGTTGGGGGGAGGGCAGTCGTTGACGCAGTCGTCGACTCAGTTGTTGATGCCATGGTGGTTTACTATTTCCGATAATTCCCTCAGTCAGTGTATACTCTGCGATAATCATACTTTTAAGATATGTCGTTGGGAGGTCTTTCTCACAGGAGGAGGTATAATATTATGTGTAAGTAGGCAGGATATAGTTCAATTCGAAGCTGTCAAATAAATCGAGTCCAGATAGTCCGGTCAGTCAGTCAGTCAGTCAGACATAACAAGAGATCTGCTGTAGTCAGGTGTTTGTCATTAGCAAGCTAGTAAACTCACTTGGCTTGGCGCAGTATGCAGTCAAGGTGCATGTATGTATGGTATTACCTTCTCCAGTTATAGAGCAGTAGTAGCAGCAGTAGTAGTAGCAGCAGCAGTGCAAGAAATCCGACTATTATGCCAAATTAGTATGTATGTACTGTACACTACCTAACCTTGTATATAGGAGGTAATACTGTACATGCATGTACTGTACATACATGTATTCCATCAGCGGGGTTTCAACGCAGTATCGTATCATTAATCAATCGATATAGAGCTTAACCGGTAAAACAACCATGTTCCTCCGCACGAAGAAGTAGCTTACTACATATGTACAGAGTAATTAACTCGATTATTAATCGACTGACTGACGAGGCTAGTAATTAATTAACATTATTTGTTGTAGGAGTAAGGTTTACTTTTATTGTTTATTTACCCCAGACTCTAACCCCAACCCTGCTTAATTACCCCACATTTCATCCCGCATTTGGGGATTGTTGATTTCATTGATTTCATCGAGGGAAGTAAGACGTTTTTGTTACATTGCATTGCATTGAGTTTTGGGCCAGCATTTATGGAGCAGTATTGTTTCGATAATATTATTCAATATGAGAAGTGTTTTATTTTCTTTACATTTGATTGTTAGAAATATCAACTTGTAGATAGATCAGATATGTTCTTACTAGAATAATGATATGATATGGATACGATTATAGATTATTCGGCACTGTTTAAGTATAACCAGTACTAATATCATTGTGACTACTCGAATAGATGACAACATTACTATCTTCCTACCTACTCGACTCATTCAACCACTTGTACACAACCCTGGCGTCCTTGCCAGCATATCTCGGATCAGCCGCCGCCTCCTCAAACGCCGCTAGCGTAGGCTTGTCAAGAATGGTCCTCGCCCCAACCATCTCAGCCAGCTGCGACCCCATACCCAGGACCTTCTTGCACAGCTCGATACGGAATCCGCCCTCGTAGTTGCGGCTGGACGGCACGTTGTCCTGCACCCCGGGCACAGGGTTACTTTTCGACGTCACCCAGCACTGCCCCCCGCTGGTGTTGATCACATCTGTCAGCAGCTTCGGGTCCAGACCCATCTTGACGCCGATGTTGAGCGCCTCTGACGCTGCCAGGCTCGTGATTGCGGACAGGTAGTTGTTGATGATCTTGAAGGCGGTGCCGGCGCCGACTTCGCCGCAGAGGAAGATGTTTTCCGCTTTGCCCATGTGCGACAGGACGCTTTTCACTGCGTTGAAGGTGTGGTTGTTTGCGTTGCTCGCGCTGTCGACGCCTACCATGAACGTCAGCGTCCCTGCCTGCGCCCCCATCGGTCCGCCTGACACCGGGGCGTCGACGAACGTTAGCGTCCATCCTGACGACAGGGCGGAAGCAGTGTCTTTCGTCGCGCGGGCAACTTCCAAAATCGTAGCCGTTTCGATAGTCCCGCATTCCATGATGATTTTCCTCCGAGGCGAGTCAGCAGCAGCAGCAGCAGCATCTTTAACACCAGCAAGAATACCCGTCGACGGGTCGAGATACACAGCCTGAACGGCCGGAGTACCGGGAAGCATGGTGATGACGAGGTCCTACGCACAGCCCCAGCAGTCAACAATACCATTTCTTTCAGAGAGGAGGGTTGGTGATTAATACCGCCGCCTTGACAGCCTCAAACCCATTCGCCACAACCTCAACCGGGCCGGTTTTCTTTTCTTGCATCTCGTCCTGGAACTTGTGCAGTGCGTCGCTGCTGACGTCGCAGATCAGAAGCTTGTATTCTGGCCCGAGCTTGGTGCGTAGGTTGATGGCCATGGGGTAGCCCATGACGCCGAGGCCTGAATGGTTAGTGACGTTATCTACAAATCAAACAGACAGACAGACAGATAGATAGATAGGTCGAATGTAGACTAATTAGGATAGAGGAAGTGTCTGCATACCTATGAACGCGATCGTCTTGTCTGGAGTAGCCATTTCCGTTGTTCTCTTTCACTCTATTAATGATCTGTGAGAAGGAGCAGAAGAAGGGACGTTAGTTGGAAAGGAACAGCAATAGTCGTGTTACGCTCAAGACAGATATCAAGTCAAGTCAGCCCACTTTAGGTCTGTAGTAGTTGGCGTCAGACCAAGTAAGAAGTCTTCATTTTCCCACAGTCCTTCCTTCCTCCTCCGTAATAAGTAAAGTCGCTTACAGTAGTTACATATGTGCTGCTAGCACTAGGGTCGTTAACGAGTTAATTACTGATTAATCATTATTATGTACCTAGCTAGCTACCTAGCTAGTATCTTACTATCAAGTAAGGTAAAGTACTGTACAAAATATTCCGTTGGAGAAGATCCATACATAGATACATGTACTGTCTAGGTCTATGTCGTGGAGAAAAATTAAATTCCCTCGAATATCGACCGAGGTAAATATTCCTACCTAACTGATTAGTATCTTCTCCACGGTAATCAAGCTGACTTGCGAGGAAGCTTGTCATATTTCCGACAATGGATCTTCGATGGGGTTGGGGTTTACCCGATTTAGGTAGGTGATGAATATCTATAGTTAGGGCAAACCCCACCGTTGGGGAAAATGCGGGGAAATACGGTACGGAACGGAACAGTGTATTATTATTGATACGATACATCTGTACTACAGTCCACAACTTATATTATTACCTCTGTGGGTTGTCATTGTTAACTACTGTACTGATTAACAAAAGAAAAGTTGTCGAGACGATGATAGTCAAGATAGAGTTGTCAGTAGTGTACTGTACTATTGATCAATGTATGGAGTATGGTGCTGTACTGATCTGCACATAGTTGCCCTAAAGGGAAATGTATCACTCAGGAACATACATACACTTATCTAGGATTAATATCAAAAACACTATGTAAATATACAATTACAACCTCTTCGGAAAAAAACCGATGACGATTCCTCTCCCTCCAGACAGCATCATGCGCAACAATAACCTCAATCTCAATCTCAACCGACCCATCCAGACCTCCCCTCTGATTATTTGTAAACCTGCGAATCCTCTCCAACGTCCTCCTCGCCCCATCCGTATCAACATGCACACTCCGCAAACCTCCCCTCCCATCGTCATACAGCGCAATATCCTTCTCGCCCGTCAGGATGCGCGGGTCGTGGCAGCAGTCGCCGCCTAGATACACCCATTTCGTGGGGCCGATGCGAGCGAGGAGGTTCATGTGGCCGTACAGATGCCCTGGGCTGTCGATTAGGTAGAGACTGCTGTCGTTGAAGAGGTCGATTACGGCGGGGAATAGTATCTCATTACCGCTGTCGTTGCTGCTGGTGCAGAGAGGCCGCCATTCACGACCCTGGAACGCCCTCGCTTTGTCACCCACGTATCCATCCTCCTTCGAGGAAGTGCTACCAGGAGAGCTGGTGCAAGGCATCTCCCAAACCCTCTCCCTCGGCAGCATCCCCGAATCAAAAATCTCCTTCGGATAATGCGGCGGCGCGCCCTGCTCCAGCAGGCGCAACGTGCCCGGACCGAGGACAAACGTCGCTTGCAAAAAATCTCCCGGCGTCCCGACGTGGTCCCAGTGGACGTGGCTGAGGATGACATAGTCGATGTCGCTTGCTGGGTCAAGGCCGCCCTGCCGCAGGCTGTCGGCTACGTCGGGCCTGGTGAGCACGGGCTGGCGGTTGGCGATGTGCGAGTGCATGGCGGGGTGGTATGCGGATAGGTCGCGTTTGATGCCGAGGTCGAAGACGATCTTGTCGAAACCGCTCTTTTGATTCTGATTCTGGTTCTCATTCTGCTTGTTTGGATGCTGGATCAGAAACGACAGCGAGGGCACAGTGCTGCGCTTGTCCGGGTCTGCGTCTGTGACGAACAGTTTCTCTGGAAGGGTGAGATGGCCGCCTTCGAGGGCCGAGATGGTCACGTAGACATGGGGATCGGACGAGGGGGGAGGGGGGAAGGGAATTGCCGTGGCCATATCGTAGTTGATCTAGAATATCGCAGTCGGAATAGTGTCGAAGAGAATATACTGTGGGAGATATGTCTGGACACGAAATTATTCTGCCAGAGGCGTATAATGGATACTATTTTTCTACTCTAGGCCAGTACATAAATTAACATTTTAACATCCCCCCTTCGCTATCTGTCGTCCTGTCGTCTTTCCCCATATTCATTCCCCTAATAATCTTTCTCCCCAGTCCGGTTCCAACGCGAATCCGATTCTGGGGGAGTTGAGTGAGCGGGGTAATTCCTGTGCAGGCAGAGCCCATAATTGGGGTTTTGAGGGTAGTCTGTAGGCTGTTGGTCAATAGCCACTGTTATTTATCCATTTGATCTAACGAGCTCTCGATCTGTGGCAATAAAGCCATACCTGGCATGTATGCACTGTACAATTCTGTTCCATATACGATACCAATTGACCTGGGATAAACAAACCCTGTGTAAGCTTGAACATTCACATGCAGGATTCAATTAATCAATTAATTATTTCATTTATTCAAACAAAAAAAAGGCTCGAGAGAATACAGCACAGAGCAATTAATCAGACTAACATATTCAAACAATCAATCAAACTTGGTTGCCAAATCCGTCATTTCATGTCGTGTCATGTCGTGTCATATTGCCCACCTAGTGCAGTCCAGTCCAGGTCATATCTCATCACATTAATAGTGTCATAACAAACAGAATGGGGTTGTGTCATCAGGTGCTTCGTCAGCTTCATCAGGTGAATAAAAAAGAACAAACTGATCAGGAAAAAGGGGGATTTAACACAGAATACATGTAGAAACACAACAACGCGAAAGAAGTATTAAAATGAAATGCGTCCGAATCAAAATCGAAGAGGTTGAATGTGTGGAGAAAAACAAAAGCAAATAGGGCAAGGTTAATATCGAAGGCAGCCTAGTCGGATGGGCGGTTATATTGCAGTCGAGATCCGTACTCCTCCCAGCCGGTCTTCTGAGTCCGAGTCAAGGCTTGTGCACTCCTCGCCCGCCGCATTCGCCTCTCATGTCGATCGTGACATCGCCGCAGGAGCTCTCGATGCTCGCGCCGCTTCTCCTGCACCTCCTTCCACTCGCCAATCGCCCCCGCGACGCCCACCGCGGCGAGCCCCACGCTCGCTGCATCCATCAGATCGGCCTTGGTCCGCAGTTTCCGAGCCTCCTCCGGAGTGATCTGGCCTTGCTTTAGCTGCTGCTGGCGCTTTTTTCCGCCCTTCGAGCCCCTTCATCACCGTGTGTGCCGCGTGGACGGTGGCCACCGCCGCCAAGCCCGTCGTCAGCATCTCCTTTCGCAGCATCTTCTTGCGCTCGCGCTTTTCTTCGTCACTGGAACCCAAGTCAGAATCACTGCCGGTAGAACGGGAACTCGACTTGCTGCCGCCCTGGGAACCACGTACATCTCGAGAAGACCTGCGACGCGATGACCGGTATTCGTCCCGGTACTCGTCGTCAGACTCGTCAGAGTAACGCGACGACCGCTCGCGACGATGGCGATGACGCCGATTGTCATCATTCTTGTCCTCTAATCCCAGCGCTGCCAGTCCCTTGCTGATGTATTCGGACACGCTGGAGCTGCGTCTCCTAGGACCATCGCGGTGACGGGGCGGGCTGGCGCTGTCGCGGGAGCTCGATCGGTCTTGACCCCGCGACTTGGAGCGCATACGATCGTAGACCTGCTTCCCCGCGGCGGCCAGGATCCCCGTAGTGACGAGATCTTTGAGCCCACCTCCGCTTGAGTTTGACCTGCGCGACCTCGACTTGGACCGCCCGCCGTTGACGAGATGGTTCGTCGCTAGTCCAGCGAGCACCGATTCGACAACGTGACGGCCTCCGTGCTTGTTCGGATCGCGATCGATGAGCCCGTCGACGCCTCCAGCCGAGATGGCTGCCGTCAGGACCCGCTTCCCCTTCTCGCCCGTCCAGCTGCCGGGATCTTTGCGAGCCCGGAACGCCTCCGCAGCCCCGGCCACCAGAGCCGCCTTGACGGCCTGCGCGATCTGGTCCTCTCTTTTGGCATGTCGCCCACGACTGCGGCTGCGAGAGACAGAGCAGGAATAGGAGCGGTGACGACGGAAGCTCTCTCGACCGCGAGAACGGCCTCTACCATGGTCCCGGTCATAGTCATCGTCATCCCGATCGTCGTGCTTGCCCGCGGAGGCTCCAAGAACGCCACCCAGCGCACTGAGGGCCTGTTCGCTCAGCGACTTACGGCGCCTGGGTCGAGGAGACGGACTGCGAGAAGAACAGGACGAGTAGCGTGAATGGCGGTCGCGGTCGCCTATGAATGTGAGCAGATGACATCAGTTGGGATATGGTTACTCACGTCTATCATCGTAGCGTCGAGATCTCCGCGATCGATAATCGTCGCGCCGGTAGTACTCGTCGTCGTAGTAGGGATTCGGGCCATTCACGGAGCGAGCTCGACGAACGGTGGTCACCCGGCTCCGTTTGGGATAGTACTCGTAGTAATAATCACCAGACAGAAAATCTCGCGACACGTCTTCGACAGAGTCGTCGCTCTGACGACGGACCAACTCAGTGCCGTAGGTCTCGTCGACATAGCTCGCCGGGCGGGAATACCTGTCGCGTTTGGCGCGATGGCGATCGCTGTAGTACGACATGATGCAAAACGGCTCGTTCTGATGAAATCAAACTTGAAAGCGGGAAGAAGACAGAAGAGATAAAAACAAAGCGATCAGATGACGTCGTACGAGGCTCAGTCGCAAGGCTGAGCCACAGGCGGAGCTGCGAATCGCCGTGTATGACGTCGTTGGGCCAGCGCAAGGCTGCTTGTCGCCTGAGGCAGACAAGACGAGCAACGAGTCAACGACTTAATCGTTCGACTTGGCGAGGCGAGTGAGGTGGATAGTGGAGGAAGCGCGATGAGGTCAAAACGCAGCGGTTCCACAGCATCGTCAGCGGGTCAGCGGAGGAGGGGCAATAATGTGGCTGAGCTGAAACGTCGGGTAGCAACGGTTACAAGTCCTGGGAATGAGGCATCAAATGAAAAACATGCAGCCTGGAATCAGCACTAAGTGCCTCGATCAAGCTAGAGCTAGAGCTAGAGCTAGGCCAATGTTGCACCTGAGGTCCTTTCGAACGGAATAACGGGCTATCGCGCGACGTCATCTTGCTCAGCCACAAACCTCTTAGCCTAACGAGGGCAAATATATTGATCTTGGCAATGAATTTATCCTGGTAGAAAGATTGAAGTATTAATATTAATTAATTACAAGAATGTGTATACAACCAAACTGGGTAGTAAGTTGACATATTCCGGTTCGGAGCACATGGCTTTCGGAACGGAACCAAAGGGCAGTGTTCCATGGATCCAGTCGGCATATCAATCAATATCTTAGCATACTTAGGAAACATTGCTGCTGTTAATGACAGAAACTCACACATAGGTACGGATGCCTGAGTAGTAGTCATTATTATACAAAAATAATAATAATAATATCTTACGACAATTCCAGAATTTACTTCCTAACCTTAGATAGACTGAAGGAAAGAGTAAGGCTGTTAATAATTGATCCTAGATTATAAAATAAAAAATTAGAAAAAAAAAACAATAGCATTCATTTAGATCTTAAGCTAGGGTTAATTAACAAGAGTAAATAAATTCTAACAATAAATAAACAGCAGAGAAAAAAGAAACTTACAGAAGTTGAACGAAAGGGGGAAAAAAAATAGAACAATAGTACCTTGATAGATATAAAGGAGGCCTGCTTATTTACAGTATACTACTTCGTATTACTTTGATTTATAATAATAGTGCCAATTTTATTTATTATTATTTTTCTTTATACAAAAATAAAATAATAATACTGAAAGATATTATTATCACAGCTAACAATGTAGCAGTCTAATCTAATATTATATTAATCAATTAGAAAATATGTAATTATGGACAGTCTCCGACGCAGAAAGCGCTGTCTTTCTGTCTTCTGTCTGTCATAAAACTGGCTATTAGTTGATGAAGGTGGTAGACAGTCGATAATAATCATGCTACCGTACTCATACTCCTGCTGCATAGACAGATAACAGGAAGACCCGTGTTGAACGCCTGCCTGTCAAATACCTAATTGATCGTATATACACATACAGAAGAATATCCATGAACCAATCCCTTGGGCTAGCGAACGCTCCTTCAACATGACTATGAAATAAAATCAACAGAACCAACCCTCAAAATTTAAAACAATGCATATCGCTAATTGAATCCATGCCACGCCATGCCCTGCCAATAAATAACGCCACAGTTGCCCAATCGCATGTCTATCCAGCTCCGTTTCGGATCCCGTGTCAGATAGCTAGGTAGGTAGGTAGTAGGTAGTAGGTAGTATGTATCGGGTATCTTATCACACAAAATAAGAGGCAGCGCTTGGGGGTTTATCTTGTTGAAATAGCACATTCCAGACACTGACACTCCATCCAACATCAACAAATCCGGGCCAGAACCCGCTGTCGGAACTGCTGAATTTAAGCAAGTTCAAGCTCAAGCTCAAGCTCGCTAGACAAGGACTTTTTTTTTGGCAGATCTAACAGCTATGTGTAGACCCGCTTCTCGACACGAATGGAGGAGTCATCTGTATCCGACTGCAATTGAGGGCTGGCTCACTGTGCAGTGTCACTGCCCGCCTGCCACTTTCGATCCCCCTCCCGCGGGGGGGACAGGGTCCCCCGGGTGGCTTCGATGGGTCCGTCGATGCTGCTTCATGTTGTCCTTGCGGGTAAACGCCTTGTTGCAGATCGGACAGTGCACGCTCTTTTCGCCCGTGTGCTTCTTGCCGTGGCGGGCTGCATGCCCCGACGTCGTGAACGTGGCCGTGCACGCGTGGGACACGGCGTAGGGACAGGGATATTTGTTCTTAGTCACTCGAGGCGCAGTCGTCTCCGCTGGACTGGCATATAAGACTCTTGATGAAGGCTCGATCGGAGGAGCCAGTTCTCGACTGCTCCGAATCGAGGGCCTGCGTGGGGGGAGATGCTGGGTCACACTGCCAGATGGATACGAAGGCGGGGGTATTCTTGTCTCTGGATTGTGATGTACATGTGTTGTTGACTGTGTCGACTGAGACGGGGCCGATCGAGCGACTGCAGTCGACATGGATTGATTGTAAGAATGCTGTGATTGGAGTGATGACGAGCTGAGATCATATCGAGGTTCGTAAGACGAAGACTGCTGAGGATGTTTATACGTGCTTGTCGGAGTTGCGGACGCTGAACTGTACGGCTTCCGCACAGCAAAGGCAGGATTATCGTCGTTGTTCAAGATGGACAGTATGCTCGTTGGACTGCTCATTTTGGGCAGACTAGATGCAGTCAGATAAGTTCGACTCAAGAAAGCGATTGTCTTGTACTGTACATACATGGTTGAGGTAATTCAACCCTATGCTTCTTGTAGGACGTCAAGTGATTCTATTCAAGGCCGTATTGCAATTGCGATAGATGTGCACGCCCAGTTGAGATCAGATTGAAACAAATGCCAGTTCGAGTCAGTGCGTTGCACGTTCTCCACTGATGTACAGCTCGACAGGTAGAAGTCGAACAGTAGAAAAGGTAGTACAGACACAGCTAGAGAAGACGACGTATCCTAAACTTTTTTTTTTATTTATCGTTATGAGTGGCCAGAGAATGCAGGAGAAGCGGCAGACTTAAAATTATAGTCAGAAACCAATCAGTACGATACTGTCACAGGGCCGAGAGGGACGACACTAAACGCACGGAAAGAGTAGTGAAGAGTAATGAGGGCAGGCATCATGCTTCTCTTTGACTTTTGCCATGATGCATCTTGACGCGACGTGGGAGTCCCAGGGCCGGGGGACGACCAAGACCATATCTGGGGACGACACAGTGGAGCCAGGGGGCTGGCTGTTAGGTAGGAATGAGCACAATTCGATTGATTGATTGATTGATGAGGCTGAGAAGGATGACAGACAAGACCATACTCCAGACAGAGTAACAGCGCCGTCGGCAATGCCAATGCCCATGCCAATGCCAATGGTCAGGGAAATTGCCTACCAGACGCCTCCGCTAGCAGGGATCGCCCACGTTTGGCAGTTCCAGCGGCCCAGGGTCCAAAGGCGAGGACCCTAGCGTCGCAGGGTTCAGGAATAACGGCGCGCCATGGCGATCGGGGCCAGCTTAGGTTCCAGGCAGTTCGGATTTCGGAGGACGGTACAACAAATCAGCTGACTGCAAGCGCAACCGCATGGACGGGTCGGGCTGTAGAAGCTAATGTCAGGATACGCATGGAGAGCCCAAGCGAGGTGGCGATCAGCTTGGCTTATAGTGTATTCATATGGTTCTATCTACGATAATCTAGCCGAGATCGACGAGTCCTATTCTTGGTCTGATACACTTCAACGCCGCGTACGGAGTATAGACGGAGTACTGCATCCGTAGCTATTAATTCAGTTGTCGGTATTCTATGCAGGGATTTGGGTCCTGACCGGCCGCAGCTGAAAACACCCAATAAACTCAGGCTATAAACTCGGGCTATAATACTGCCATTAATATTATACTCTGGACTACTTCTGCTGCCTCAGGATCACATGCGGCCTTGCCCAAACGGGAATGCAGCCGGGCGGGCGCTGATTGGTGCGCGCGGGCTTGGCGAGGCTAGTCGTCCCGGCAGGCAGGAAGGTCCGCCGCAGGATGCAGCGGGTAGCGTCGTCAGTGGGATGGAATAGCAGGGTACGGAGTAGGGATACTATCAGTACGAGTACTTTTTACACGTGAAGTCTGGCTGTCATGTCAGACCGGATCCATAGACCCTGAGCGATGGCCAGAGTTAATTGCCAGCAGAGTTTGTGATTTGGAAGCATGCGCTGCATCTGGGGAGACGTTGACCCGGAATCGGGACTTGGCGCAGACCCTGATTACGTAGAGGATAGCAGGAAGCATGCTTCCGAAATTGACTTCGTAACTCTAACAGTACGGCGTGAATACGCTGTGGAGAATAGATCAAGCTATGAAACAGGGCAGCAGACAGCTGATCGTCGTGACTGTAATACGTGTACTCCGTACGTGTACATACTCCGTACTCGTCCCCATGTCTGCCCTAATCAATCTCGCCTGGACCTGCCTGCTGCCTGTGCCGGAGCACGGGGCCTTCTCCGGCCACGAGCCGCTGCAGGGCTGGATCTGCCCGCCGGAAAGCAGTTGCCTTCCTGGGCAGGCCGCCCATCCAAATGATCTAATCAGCGTGCGCCTCCGCCGGGGCGAGCGTTGGGAGGGGGCGCGCTAGTCTGTATCTGGCAGTCACGCTGCTTAAGGTTTCGGCCGCCGCCGGCCAGCCCTAACCAGTCAGTCGTGCCTGCCCGAATGGGGAAAATCGCCTCCGCTGGCGAGATGCCGTCTTGGCAGTCCCGACAGACGGAGTACGGAGTATTCTGATTTCCCACGACAACCTACGTAATCTGTACGAGTAGTTGGTCAAGACGTCGTCGTCTCACTGCAAGGCTCGTCGTGATTCGCTCCATCAACCGAGCTCGAGAGTGAGTGGCGGTTGCTAACTAACGGTTAATTTCTGTCAGCCCTGTACGGAGTACACAGCACTATGTACCGCCCGATCCTGCAGGGTCCATCCTTCGTCCATGGAGACCCCAGGGTCCTCGTAGCTCGTACTAACGGGGGGCCAATATGCCGGAGTAAGTACTGAATATGGCTGTACTAGTATACTACAAACTTCAGGGAGTACTTGTATGGAGTACTCCGACTCGTCTGGAGTACTCGTCGATCAACGTCCTACGTAGTAGTAACGGAGTACGGAGTAGACGATTCGGATTTCGGAATGCCCTTGTTTTGCGCCAAGGGTGTAGCTCTCCACTTTCAGGCAACATCTCGATAACGCCTGACCCGCCTGCGCTAGCTCAAGCTCCTGTGGGGGTAGTAGCTCCAGCTCACTCTCAGACAGACACTACGGAGTAATATGTAATTCCGCTATATATAACTACTCCTACTTAATTAGTTTCTTAAAACACTCTTATTATGTCTCTCTGTTATATTGTCTCCTTTCTAATGAACATTAAACCATGCTTTTAAATTGAAGAAAAAAAAACGAATAGAATAGGGGCAATTAGTATCTGATATCCGAAACATTAGGCATCATCGATAATAAAACAGCAATAATAACAATAATAAGATGATATGACAAGACTAACACGACTACATCCAAGTCTACGTATTATACCAGCCTGTATGGAGTACTCTGTACTCTGTACTCGGTCATACTCCGCGTACGCCGTCCAAGCTTAGTACCTAACCAAAGTGACCACCACCAACCACGCACAGGCGTCTACAGTCTAATAACGGCCCCCAGCTACTTTTCTCTGTTTCTGTCGAGTATATCGCTCATCCGTCTCGTTTTGATGATTCCTGTCTAGGATTGATCTACACAGTATATTAGAGCACTAGTCAGATTTTTTTTCTTTTGGTAGACTAAGGAGGTGCAGAGTGCGGAGTACGAGTAATTGGTAGTCCCTGTCCCGTCCCTATTCAAGCCATAATCATAATCATAATCATCTCGACTGACTTGACTTGACTTATCCTTACTCCTAACGAGAACAGAGTCAAGAGTAGCGGGCTATATTCATTTTTTTTAACACAGTATTTTTTTTTCCACTTCTCTTCTCTTCTATTCCCTTCTCCGCTCGTTCTATTCCGTTCTGTTCGGTTGTTCTGCTAGAGTAGGTGCACCCATGCACTTGTCACTTCTTCTAGCACTTTCTTTATGCATGATGTCCCGTCCAGTCAGTCCAGTCCAATCCAATCCAATTGTTGGTTCCATGTTATTCAACGTTGGTTAAAAAAAGGGCTAATTAGTCACCACCCTACCTATCTATCCCATACAGTCAGCTACTCAGTTAGCAAGCAGCAGTTTACTATCTATTATTCCCTCTCTACATACTAATACTCGTACTTCGTACACTGTAAGGATCGATCTAAAGGTAAATGATCGAAAGGATCGACAACTAACCCTAGCCTACCTCTACACCTAACCTAACCTAGCCCAGACTAGACTAGACTTTCGTTCGTTCGAAGGATTCCACGATAAAAACAAAAGAAAAGGAAGAAAGATACAAAATCAATGACGAAAGAGGCTGAATGGACAGGACACATTATAGTCATACCAAGTAAAGTTCGTTAGATTTGGTAGGTTACAGTAGCTTGGGGACGAAGCTATACCCAGCTTAGCTAAGCCAAGCCAAAGCTTAAGCTTCGAGAATTGCCCTGAGGTATTTGTCATCCTAGTTGATGATAGAGGTATTTGTCATCGTTTTCGAAATTCGAACGTGGATTTAATTATTAGTACTGTATGTACTTGACGTGTTTGTACAGGTGCATATGGAATTTGTCATCGTTGATTCTTGTTTTTTTTTCTTTACTGAAATAACTACTATCTACCAATAATAGTTATCGTTGTCTATCAATGGATGATGGTGATATCGATCTCTACTAGGTATGGAGTATTGGTTATGGAGTATGGGGTAATTACCTTAGGTAATACTGTACAGGTAGGTTGGTAGTCGGTATGCACCTAGCAGGGCTGTCACTGTCATGTGTGAATAATCAATGACATATATATATTCTGACGGACGGACTGACTAACTCAGTAGACATCATAGTTAACACTACTAATTTTAAAAAAAAAAAGAGGAAAAAAAGAAAGAAAGAAAGAAAGAAAGAAAGAAAGAACAATTGTTTCGAAGATCAGAATGATAACAATTCTAATTTCTAAATCTAAATACTGACTGAATACTGCAAATCAAAATCCAAATCCAAATCCTAGGTCTAACTCGACATGATTTCATTTTCCTCACTTTTCATTCTTTCTTTCCAGATAATAAGGCTACATAGTGATCAGTAGAGGAAAAAAACCAAAAAAAGGAAGTAAATTAAAACAAAAACAAGAAAACAGATGTCGCAGTACAGTACAATGCAGCTTTCACAATGGAAGAAGGACCTTTGACAGAAAGCATGAAGGTTCCATCCCCAGCTACCTACCTAAGTCACATGCGATGCCCGTGACTTGAATAAGGTATGGTTATATACATATACATATACATATATATATATAAACACATAGACAGATACAAATACAAACAAAGACAATGGCTCAGACAGCAGCTGTCTAACGTCTGTTATGTATGTGGGTGTAATGTATGACAATAGCTATACCTGCAAGGGTTCTCTTATGAAGTAATAGATAGAATAGAATAGCCTAGTATGGGACAGCACAAGACAGATTCCATGGATAATGTATATGTAGCGTCCGTCCTCGACGGTTGAGATGTTGTCACAAAAGAAAAAAGAAAATTAAAATTGATAAATGGAATGAAAAAAAGATAGCAGCTGCCTGACATCACCTGATCTTTACTAAGATCTGATCTAATGTCATCTGATCTGGACACAATACAGAGTTACAGACCAGACAGAATCGAAGATCCCTGTCCACTCGACTCTGTCGATTTATTTCATCTCGTGAGTGAAAAAATAAACAATGCTTGTAATTGAAACTAGAATAGGACGGAATAGTCGATTCATGCGGATGGATTGATAGTACTCCGTAGGTTAGTCAGCCATGCCATGTCTTGTCTTGACCAGATCAATTGATATACTATACTAGCACTACTACACTACAGTCTTTTTACTTCCTACGTTTATTTCGTATTCCTTTCCGATTTAACATTTTCTAATTCAACTCTTAATCTTATTCCGTCCATACAACACGCCCACCAACTGTTAACAGGTTAACCAGACCGAACTCGCGGTAATAGTAGAGCAAGCAAGCAAGCACAGCACAGCACAACAACAGTAACAAGTGTATATAGTATGTACATGACCCTCCCAGGAGTCAAGTCACAAAAACATGCAAATCCTCAAGCCAATCAATCCATCCGACAAAACCCAACATGCAATGCATGCTTTGCCAAACACGAAAAAGAGTGGAAACGATGCTCGTGCAGGGTATGCAAGGAACGACCAACTACGAAGACGAACAGCGCGCTGCGAACAGACAGACAGACAGACAGACAGGTAGGTAGGAAAGATGCTTGCCAGCAGACAGATAGAAAAAGAAAAAAGAAGCATGGATTACATGTACAGCCATGCAAGTAGTAAGGATGAACACTAGATAAGAAAAAAAATAAGGGGTGCAGAAATGCATGGTATCTGACCGTGCAGGTACAGTCGTCTTGGACTGTACAACAAAACGAAGACTCGCCAGGTTCGTCTGGCCAAGCTCATCTAGAGTGCTGCCTGTACAGCCTGACAGGCCAAAGGATGCAAAACTTTTGTTTGGATCATCCAGTGATTCGTAACATCGAACCTCGAGATAGAACAGATAACTGCACTATCCGTCTGCCTATCGGTGGCCTACCGGTCGACCTACCGGTCGGCATTCAGGTTCAGCCAGCTCATGTCCGTGTTGATATTGCTGTTCGCCGGCGGCGGCGGAAATTGGTCGTGGAAAACGGCACTCGACCCCCGTCGGTCCGTCGATCGCCCTTCATTCGCCTGCGAGTACGTCGTCTCCCGCCTCGAGCTGGGCTGATAGTAACTCGCCGTGTAGTTACTGCTGGGAGGCCGTACAGTCCACCACGGATTCTCCCCGTTGGCGACGTTGGCCGGCACCTCCGAATACCGATCGCGCTCCTCCTCCGACGCCAGACTGGCCGAGTCGGCGCTCGAGATCTTGGCCGACTGCCCTTGGTGGTCCGGCAGATGCTCCGTGCTGGGACTGCCCGTGTTCACGCGGCCAAGAGGTCTCGGCTCCTCCAAATCCAGATCGAGCGTGCTGTTTTCCATCGTCTGCGGCCAAACGCTGCTCCGATAGTCCGATCTCGTCTCTTGCGACGCCTGCGACGAGATGGTCGACCGCGCGGATTGCATCCCCGCCGCGAGGTTCGTGGCCGAGTTGTCCTGGAAATACTTGCTCCAGCCTTCGTCCGTCCTCCGGTCGCCGCCGCGAGGCAGATTCAGATCCGGCGGACGAGCGGTCAGATTCCGTTCCATGCCAGAAGCTGCACTCCTGACCCCGTCTCCCCGGCTGGAAGCGATCGGTGATAAAGGGCTCTTGTTCTGCTCAACCAGAGGTCGCCCATATGGGTTGTTCTTGACCACAGGCGAAGCCTTCTCGTTGCCCACCTTCCCCGACATGATAGCTAACGAGTCGACCGATGGCGCCGGGGCCATCCCCATGGGAAATGCGGATTGCGTCAGGGGCTCAATCCCCTGGTCCTGGAAGCTTAGTCGATCCTTGTCGTCCCCTGGATAACCGCGCGAAGAACCTTTCCCGGCCGCCGCTTCCTTCTTCTGTCGAAGCCGTCGAAGGACAAGCAACATTATAATCAGCAACACTGCCACGCCGCACAAAGCGCCCAGCGTGGCGCCGACGATGGTACCTGTGGCGCTGCGGGAGCTGCCACTCGGCGGCGCGGCCACGGCTGTCGGGGCGGCAGAAGAGGACTGCGAGGTAGAAGACGACGTCGCCGTAGCGGTCGCCGTTGCCGACGTGCTTGTCGGGCTGCTCGTGATGCCGATAAGCGGTTGTTGCGTTTCCTCTTTGCCATTGAACAACTGGTTCACATTGACCCAGCTGTTCTGCGTCTGGTCGAAGATGCAGAGAGGGTCTGTGTCGCTCCCGCCCGAAATGACGACCATGCCATTGTCGGATTGCGCCACGGAGAAGTCGCTGCGAGTCGTCGTCGGTGCGAAGGTGCCATTGTACGCCGGGAAGTTGGCCACACCTGCGCGTTTCCTTTTGCGTGTCGACGAGGAAGAAGAGCCGGTGTCGACGCCCACTTCTTGCCCAGGGGGCGCAGGTGCACCACCGGAGTCTACCAGAGCGATTGACGTGACCGTGTTTGGGGACACACTCATATTAAACGTTTCCAGGACCTTGCTCCCATCAGCACCCAGAATCATGGCCAGCCCGGCATTGCTCGGAATTCCTTTAGCCAGCGAGACACCCGAAGGCTGCCAGCCGCCGTAAGGGGTGAACAGGAAGACCTCGGTGTTCGATGGATTGCCGCCGACATAGACGGCGGTCTTGTCGTCCCACGGAAGCAACGACGGGGATACTGCGGGCGGAGCCCCCTGGGAATTGTAGGCCTGAACGGCGTACGGCGGCACGGTCGAGATGGTGAAGGTCTCGGTCGAAGCACCGGCGTCGCCGTTCTGCGAGCCGGCGTAGACGAGGATGGAAGACGAGGCGTTCAGATAGGCGACGCCGTGGTGGAGACGGCTCTGGGTGACCGTGGTCACGGGCTTGATGGTCTCCCACTGACGCTGTTCAAACAAGTATCGCTGCAGGCCCGGATAATCGGACGAGCTGGCGGTGCCTCCGACGACATACAGGGCAGCCTGCGTGTTGTCGCCGTTGATCCCACCCTTGACACATTCCGCGCCCGTCACCGATTCGCCCATGGGCAAGGAGGACCAATTGCCGTGCAGCTCGAGGGGCAAGGACATGAAGGCCTTGGGGGTGTAGACGTAAAGAGTGTTGTTGTAGACGACCGAGCAATGCCCCTCCAGGGCGGACGGGGGCGTAGGGAGAGACATGGTCGCTTAGGCGGCCTTCGAGGACGCCAGCAGAAGACGGGGACAAGGAGTGGACGGGGAGATCAGGATGGGCAAAAGAACGGCCTGGACGGAGTCGCGAAATCGTGATGTGGTGGACTGGCTGCCAGAGTACTATCTCATGGTGGAGTGAGCGATGCGAGTAGACGCCTGCGCGAGTCGAAACCAGAAACCGAACGAGAAAACACAGAACGCGTTTCTAACCGTAAACGACAGTCGGAGAAAATCGTCTATCGAAGAAATCGAAGAAATCTCTTTTCTATCGTCTTCTCGTAACGAAGCGATCGTGATAGGACGAGTCGACTCGGACGCAGTCTGGCAGAACGTCGCCTGCGGCACACGCGGTGCTCTGGAAACGAAACTGTCCGCAGACGAGCTGGGAACAGATGGAAAAGGAAAGAGAGGGATGGCACGCAGCGCCAGACAGAAGAGGCGTGCAGCTGGGAGAGTTGACAGAGAGCAGACCGTGGTAAGGGGCTGCTAGCGGGCTCGGGCAGCGCAAGGGAGATCAAGTGAAACAACGGGGCCCGGCCATCCACTTGCTGTGCTCCGTGTAGGCGACTAATTACGAGGACTGGATAATACTGGATAATACGGAGTACTCTGTATAATATTCTGGATGAATGATGTGCCTACGGTAAAGAGTACTTCGTCCTGGTGCCTCCATCTGGACCCCACGAGAGGTGATTATCACCAAAATCGTCCATCATCACACCACGCCTGGACGCTGCACCGCGACTGGCAGAGCACACCACAGGAATCACATCCTCGCCGACGATAACCAGGCCGATCAGTGTTCTGCAGCGTCCTCCACCGCGCCAACCACGCTAAGTGGCGCGATTCGCGCAACCGAGGCGCCGCTCCTGCGCCGGCGCTCAGGGGCCAGGCACGACGACTGGATGGCCCCATGGGCATGCGTGATATTCACCGCGATCCCACCGTGACTTCAACGGAGTCTCCTACGCTGTCCAGATATCCGAGTGCTGTGAATCGGATGAGATACACTCCGTCACGAGATAAATCGACGGAGCACACCAAATCCGGTATCCATCTCATCTGCTAGAACAACACATTCATACTGAAGGATCGATTAATTGACTCCTTACGCCAAACTCCAACTCCATGTACCAACCACGGGGAAAGGGGTGAATTATTATTCCCGCCTGCCAGGATCTCCTCCAGCCACTCAATTATCGCCGATGTTGGTATTCTGCCGTCTTACGGACTCCGAAATTTCCATCCAGTTCGACGTGGCTGGCGAGAGTTCACGGTTCAGGGCACGCCACGGTGAACCGGGAACCGTGCCTGACTAAGAATCTTAATTAATTAGATTCTGCCCCGATAACGGAGGAATTCAGTCGCCAACGTGGGCGGCACTCAGGGTCCCCGTCCGCCAACGTCATTTCTTCACGCACGGACGTGAGGGGCCATCGAGCTAATTATGGATGGCAGGGCCGCAGGATTATGGCATGCAGTGAGGGATACCTATGAAGGAAGACAAGCGAGGGGGACATTCTTGCCAGCATTATTGCTGCATTCCGTATGCCCTTTCAGCCCCCATGGCAGGGCATGGCAGAGGTAGCAGCATGCTAATAATAAAGGAATGATAGTAGAGAATGAAAGGGGCCCTTACTCGAATGATACCTACCTAATAATAAAAATACCTACCAGGAAAGGCTACTCGAGTCACTTCGATCCATCTACACCGTACCACCGGTACCGAAGATCAGCCACTGAATCGGGATAATGTAGGGTGGAGAATTCTAGAAGGAATCGTGTTATATTAAAATTCACCTAACTCTTTTGTTTATGGTACATACTAACTCAGTACTCCGTAAACGACCTGTGGGTACAATTTTACTCGGTAGGTTAGGTAGATATTATTTCCCCGCCTCATCCTTCGCTTGGCGAGTCAAACCACCCACTGTGAGACTTGTCTCACTTGGAATGTACCTGCCTATATACCTATGTACATACCTCATAAATAAATAACATGCCATAACTACTACTATTACTACTATATCTTGCCTGATTAAGTGATATTCTCATGATTCTTACAACACAACAGGTGTGTTGTAGCATCCTCGGAGTAGAATCGGGCCGGGCGGGGCAGCCTGCACGGGGCCATGCACGTGGGCGACCGTTGTTCGTCAATTATCAGTATTCGATATTGTCAATTTATGCTGGACAGTTCAGTCGACTAGCTACCTGTATAGGTATATATTATCTAACTATTGTCATTTTTCTTCTTCTTCTTTTTTTTTTAAAAAAAAATTCGTGCTCGAATTCAACTAGGTAGTTATCCAAGTTAGGACGGACGTACATAGACTTAATTTCCTAGTAACCATTATTGCACTTGCACTGATAACCATCTATTTATCTTCCTGTCTGTCTGTCTGTCTATCTGCCTGTCTAGCGCAGGTATCCACAATTCTTATTTTTCAGGCCATGTGGTCGAATTCTTAGCTACCTACCTAAGGTACCTACATGTATGGAGTACCTGCTGGGCAGGTCAGGTGATATAGTCACAGTGATCACAACTACCGAGTTAGGTACCGACCTACCTGAATATTCAGACCTACTATCATGCATGCACACATGCAGATAGGCGTGCATATCGCCCCCAAGATTAGTCTTAGAAGACTAAGACTAGAGGACTAGACTACCTAGGTAGGTACGGACCTGACGAACTGCTGACACTACTACTACTCGACTAGCCAACTGCCGACTCGGTAGTGGGATTGATTGATTTTTAGTTCACTTCTTCTTCACGTGTGCTCTATGTAGATCATCTGCATCTATGCAGGGAAAATGGACCTAATATACGTACTTCCTACTTTGTATGTATGTACTCTGTACTTTCTGCTCTGTACAGCGTTAGTTCCTGCGCTCCTAGTGGGATAATTTTGGCCCCATTCATCGGCATCATTGGCATCAAATGCCATGCCATGCCTGCTTGTCTGGCTCCAGCTTCTAGCATCTGCCAAATGAAAGAAAAGATTACTGATTGGATTAGATGACGTGCTATACTACCACTGACGGACACTGTACTTGGACAATCACTCTCCTCGCGAAGACTCGCTTCGCGGCGACTTGCTTCACGCCTACCCAGCAGCCTGCTCCGCCTGCTGCTGCTTCTGCTGCTGCTCCTGCTTCCACTGGTGCGCGCGCTGCAACAGCCGCGACAGGTTCGCCGCCGCCTGGTCGTCCGCCGGGAACACATAGTCCATGTACTCCTCGTACCGGTCGTCGTCCAGCTTGCGCCGCTTCTTGACCCGCCGCGGCATCTGCTTCTCGATCGCCGCAATGTCTTCGGGCGATCCGTGCGTCATCTCGAACGACTTCCATGCATTCAACAGCTCCACACGCTGTACACCCGTTAGCCAAGGCCGAATCCCCGCAAGAAAGGTATCCGCAAGAAAGGGCACTTACATCCTCCTTCAGATCCTTTTCTCTCATCACCTTATTCGCCCGCTCGAAAATCTTGCGCGCCCGCCGCTTGGCTTCCTCGCTCACCGGCCTCTCCTCCTCCTCGTCTTCCTCTTCGTCCCCTTCCGGGGCGTTGATCTCGAACCGCGCATAGTTTATCCACACCTTGACATGGTCCGTCTTCTGCAGGAGCCGCTCGTACAGCTGCCGCACCCGATCATACTCTCCTTCGTATTCCTCAAAGTCGATGTAGGCCTTCCACACCAGCTCCGGCATGTCCAGAGTCGGCTGCTCGATCCCCAGTTCGAAGATCGCCCGCGCCCGGTCCAGATCGTCCAGCCCCCGCTCCAGCTCTGCGAACTTGATCCAGGCCTGGCTGTTGGATGGATTCCATTCGATCTGCTTCTCGTACAGCGTCCGGCACCGCGTAAACTCAAAAAGCTGCTTCTCCAGTTCAATGTAGCCCCGGAACAGTTTGTCCTTCGGGCACATGCCAATCGCCTGGCCCAGCGTCTTTCGCGCTGCCTGCAGGTCCATCTGTCGAATCTCGAAGTGGGCTTTCATGAGCCAGATCTTGGCAAACGTGAATTTCTTGTGCGGGATGAGCTTCAGGCATTCCTGGTAGATCTGCCGCGCCCGGTCAACGTCCTTATTCTCCATCTCCTCCCATATGGCGTAGAAGATCCAGAGGTAGATATATCGCCGCCAATGCCGCTTCTCCTGCGACGGTGGGATCTGCGCAATCGCCCGCTCGTACACATCCCGCACGCGATCCACGTCCCCGGCCGACTCCTCCAGTCGGGCAAAGTCGAACCAGACGTCGTAGTTCCTTGGATTTTCCTTGAGTTGTTCCTCGTATTGGACTCTCCGCTTGGCCAGGATGACATCCTCAACGCCATCCCGGTCACCGAATTGCTTCTCAAACGTGGTGTAGGCCTTATGCAAAGCCACAGATTTCGACCGCGGCAGTCGGTCCAACGCAAACTTGTAGATCGCCCGTGCACGTTCGTACTCTTTGAGCTTCGTTTCGTACTTGGCGTAGGCGATAAAGATCCTCTCGTCCATGAAGTCGTCTCCGAGAGTTTCAATTGCCAGCCCGTACACCTCGCGAACAAGATCGGGTGTCCCGTACTCCTCCTCAAATCGCGCCCATTTGATCCAGTTCTTAGGATCCGGGTGGACCATCGTGAACCGCTGGAAAATCGCCCGAGCCCGGTCGTACTCATGGTATCGCTTCTCCAGCTTGATGTAGGCACTCCAGGCGCCTTCGTCGGGCTCCCACGACATCCATCGCTCAAACACCTGCCGCGTTCCCGCAATGTTGCCCAGCGTCTCCTCCATGTAGACATATTTGTACCACAGCTTATCCACCCGGGGCAGGATCGTCACTGCCCGATCAAACAGATTGCGCGCATGGTTGATGTTTCGGTTCTTCATCTCCGACTCGATATATCGAATCCATAGCACCACCGACGTCGGATTCACGTCCAACGCCCGTTCAAAGACGGAGCGCGCCCGACGGAACTCCTTCTGCTCAAGTTCCCACTGCGCATAGCGCATCCAGTTGTTCATGTTCAGCCGATTGCGGCGCACATAGTCTTCGAACTCCTTTCGTTTCCGTCCCTGGTACTCGTGCAGTTCCTCCAAATCGGCGAACCGCTGGGTCGGGACCTGCAACGCGGGCTCCTGCCGGTCAACAGCCTCGCGGAGCAGCTGCTCCGCTGAGATCTGCATCGGCGCGGGCGCCTTGTTTTTGACCCTGGGGGGCCCTCGTGATGAATCCATGGTGGTGGACTGTTAGACACGTTCTCAATCTAGGACGGAGTCAATATCGGAGGAACGAGGGCTGGCAACGCGTTCGGTCGGACGAAGAACGTAGAAAGAAAAAGGAATATAAAATCGAGAAAGGCAAAGGAGAACAGATCCTTATTTCTTCAGCGGATCCCCCGGAGCTTGATGGTCCAAGCTGACCACGGGTTGGTCTTTGGACAGGCTGGAGAGCGAAACATGCTCTCGCAAAGTTGCAGTTGAGGTCTTTCGCGCCACCCGGGAACTTCGAGAGAACTGCTGCCTGCTTTCTCAGGCATAAAGTCTGTGATCACATGACCACAGACATCGTGATTATGTAATCCAAAATCTGCGCTACCGCAGTCACTTATTCAGTACTTCTCGTGGCGTCACTGCTTGCTTGCTTTTACTCCAACTTCCTGCATCCTACAGCTAGCCGCCACCATGTCAGCCGCAGACGAGCTCTTGAGAGATTTTGAGGAGGATATGGAGGACCTGGAGGCGGACGGCCTCCAGGAGAACGAAGGCCTCCAGGAAGGCGAGAATGTGGCGGAGAAGGACGAGCCCAGCAGGGAAGACACTGGGGTGAAGAATGACTTCGAGGTTGCCATGTCCACGGCCGATGAACTCTCACGACTACACAAAGTGCTGCGCGACCACTACTCGATTCGATTTCCAGAGCTCGAGACTCTGATTACGAATCCTATCGACTACGCAAAAACAGTCGCTATCTTGCAAAATGGCCCGCTCAACAACATCAAAGAGCTGGCGAACTCGTCAGACAACATGGTCGGGGTGCCGCTCAAATCCATTCTGGATGGGCCATCGTTGATGGTTGTCGCGGTCGAAGGAACGACGACGCGCGGCCGAGAAATGACCGAGGCGGAGCTGAAGATTGTTCGCGACACCTGCGAGAAAATCTTGAAGCTGGATCGGGAGCGAACGGCGCGCATTGAAAGCGTCCAGTCTCGTGTGACCGAAATCGCGCCGAACCTGACCGCCTTGATCGGGCCGCAGACTGCTGCTCAGTTTTTGAACCAGGCCGGTGGACTCATGGAGCTTGCGAAGATTCCCGCATGTAACCTGGCGGCACAAGGGTCAAAGAAGCAGGAAGGCTTGGGGTTTGCGACCAACGTGGGAATCCGGCAGCAAGGATTTCTGTACCACTCGCCCATCATCCAGAGCATTCCAAACGATCTGAAGCGCCAGGCCATGCGCATCGTCTCCGCCAAAATGGTGCTTGCTGCCAGAGCTGATGTCGCTCGATCCAGTCCCGACGGTTCGATGGGGGAGGAGCTCAAGCGGCAGTGCTTTCAACGGCTTGAAAAACTGACGGAGCCACCACCGAACAGAGGTCCCCGTGCGCTCCCTGCGCCGGACGACAAGCCATCCCGAAAGCGAGGAGGACGACGTGCTCGTAAGGCCAAGGAAGCCGTGGCGATGACAGAGCTCCGCAAAGCCCAGAACAGAGTGGCCTTTGGCAAAGAGGAGCAGGAAGCCGGCTATGGAACCGGAGAAGAGACCATCGGGCTTGGGATGCTCGGCCAGGAGAACGACGGCCGTGTTCGCGCCACGCAGATCGATCAACGCACGCGGGCCAAACTCAGCAAGTCCAACAAAGGCTGGGGCGGCATCACCCCGCTCAGCGGTACGGCGACGTCGCTTCGGGGCGTTGGACCGGGCAGTGCGTCGGTTCTTCAGGCCAAGGGTCTCCGTACATCGGGTGTTGGTCCAACTCTGGGAGCAGGGCCGGCAGGTACGGCCAGTTCGCTTGCATTCACGCCCGTGCAGGGCTTGGAGTTGGTTGATCCCAAAGTTCAAGCGGAGCTCAACCGCAAGCGCAAGGCCGAGGAGGACCGATGGTTCAAGAGCGGGACTTTCACGCAGGTGGGCAATCAGAGCAGTGCTGGGAAGGTCGATAGTGCAGGGTTCAAAGTGCCCGAAATCCCAGCCCGGAAGAAGGTTGATACAGGCGAGGGCAAGATGCCGCCGCCTCCAGTTCCGGTTAAAAAGTGATTTCCTCCTTTTTTTTATGTCTCTGATACACGAAAAGTTCTTCTCTACGGTGCATTATCGGGCGTTCGGGATGCTGCGACAACTGGATGACTGCTTGCATGATACCATTATTCTAGTTTGTATGTACAGTACATGTGTGTTTTAGAGAGGCCTTGTTAGGGTATGGAAGTATTTATTCTGTCCACTGATAAGATAATCGATGAGCCTGAGGGCGTTGTATGAGGCTGTAGACTGCTGCGAGATGATTGGCGAGATGGACGATGGCGTGATCAGCCGATGGCGAACCGAGTCACGAAACATCATCCTAGACGAGATAATCGCACATCAGAGTAATATTTCTTATTCGAAGAAGCAGCTTGTTTTATTTTTAATAGTTATTTTGACACCACGATCAAAGCAGAGTCACCTTGTAGGGAAACCCTATAAATACCCGGAAGATCCCCCACATATATACACTTTCTTCCCTCTTGTAACCATCCTCTTCCTAAGAAAGGTGGATACGCCAAGATGTCACTGTCTCACTTGGACAACAGTGACATCTAGACGACACCGCTATTCCTACCTACTGTAAGATTTCCCTGCTTGTCAGAGTTCAGGGAAAAGACAGAAAGCAAGAAAGAAAGAAAGAACAATGCCACCTAGCCGTTGTACAGGAGCAATATTATGACAATGAGAGTTCAACCTAACGGCGGGATTTTCTTATTTTACGCTTCCCGGTGGGCTGTTTTTAACCATGGTTACGTACCTGACATTTTTCCGACCCAAACCAAGGAAAGCGAAAAAACCCAAAAGCCAACGAGAAAAAAAAAGACGTTGATTGCTTACGGATTGCAGGATATTGCGTGCTCGTGGTACTACGTTTGTGCGCGCGCACGCAATTTTTTTTTCTTCGCCAGCCTTTGCCAGCGTATATATATTATTTGATTTGGCTTGCGTACACTGTTTTGTGGGCTAATTAATAGAAAGAAGGTGATGGCATTTATGTCTCTAATGAATCATTGATGTCGTTCAGTTAACTCGTTCTGATTTTTCTTTCTTTGCTTTCGATTTTATTTTCTTGCTTCGAGTTCCTGTCCTTTCGTGCATACATACTTCAATTGTCTGTTGAACACACTTCTGGACACATTTGTACTGTGCGGAATATACAAAAGTTTCTCGCCAATTGAGCGAATTTGCTCGCTTCCAAAATTAATTCCCAAGATCAACATTTTAAAGCCTCCATTCTGCTTTCCTAGGGCTGGCTGTATTCACCCGTAGTCAACGAACGAAATGGCTCCCGCAGTAGGGAGCGTGGTCACGACAGAAACAACAAACCCGGCGTCGAATACGCCCAAAGTCACTCTCACGGGACCGACTTCTCTCTTCCACCACAGCCTCGTCACCAAGGACTTTAACCTCCTCAAGTTCCACGCCGCTGCGTCCCTGCAGTTGCAATTCGGCAACCGACGCCACGAGCACGTCGCCCCGTCCGACGACCGGCTCATCGTCTCCCCTTACAATGAAGAACCCCATCTGCTCGACCTCAAGCGTCTGGACACGCCCAACCAGCTGCTGGCCAAGGCGCTGACCATCTTCAAGCCCGTGCGCGACGACTACGCCACCGCGCCCTATACGGAGTCCTTCAACTGGCAGGCTGTCGTCGACTTTCTGCGCGATCTCTCCCAGGCCGAGGGTTACCGGTGGAAGAGGCAGAAGTTCTATGTCGTCACCTTTCGATCGCAGCTGTTCCCCGACGTTGACCAGCAGCGCTTGCATGATCTCGACGTGCGTTCGCATCAGGAGGCCACTGCCAGCGGTGGTCTGTTGAAGTACTGGTTTGGGACCAAGGATGAGAAGCATCGGAATTTGGCGACCTGTAAGTACATACAGCAGCTTTTTCTGATGAATGAATAGCAAACTAACTTCATGACAGGCATCTGGCGCAGCAGAGAGGATGCGCACGCCGGAGGCACAGGCCCCTGGCACCAGCAAGCCCGGGCCGCCGCCCGCGAAATGTATGAGAAGATTGTGTTTTCGACGCTGAAGCTGGTCATTGATGATGATGCCTCGTCGTGGGAGATTAGTGAGTGGACTGAGGAGGATGCATAGCTTCTCAGTCACTTGTGGCAGCGTATGATTTTGCTTTTTTTTTTGGTTATGACATGAGATCGAAATTTAGACCTTGTTCGTTCAAGATACCATGCTGTTGTTGCATTTGCACTGCATTTATTGGTCTAGCGTCTAGCTGTCTGGTCTGTTTAAAGCGTTCTTACAGACATAGCCAAATATACTTCATACAGACAGTAATAGAGCTTCGTCGATATGACGCTCCCGCAACTCCTCCCATTCGCCGTCCAACATCCCCATAACGATCTCATCCCACCACCGACCATTCAGCCAGAGGGCCTCCCTCAGCCGGCCCTCGACCAGGAATCCGATCTTCTCGTAGACCCTCTGCGCGCGCGCATTCCACTCGAGCACATGCAGCTCGACGCGATGCAGATTGGCCGTCTTGAAGGCCCACTCGACGGCCCAGACGGAGGCTTCGGTGCCGTAGCCCTGGCTGTGGTGCTCGCGCTTGATCTCGATGCCCAGCATCGCACTGCGATGATGGGCCTGGTCCGCAGCGGCTTGTCTGAGGGATAGGAGACCGATCGGTTCCGGCTCGACGGGAGCCTTGTTTTCGTCCGGAATCTTGCAGATTACCACGAACAGCAGCACACCCTGCGCCGTCGCGCGGTACTCCTCGATTGTCTGCCGAGAGACTGGCTTGGGGAGGTTCTTGGCGGCATGCAGAACGATGGCGGGATCGCCATGGCAGGCGAGGAAGAAGTCGTCGTCCTTGGGGGCGTTGTAGGCGCGGTAGAGGAGACGCTTGGAGGGAAGGGGTCCATGGTGGAGTCTGTTGCAGGACAGCTTGTTGTAATTACCTACCTTGGTAGGTAGGCAGGTCTGGTATGATCTCTTTGATTCTGATCGGGATTGATCGATCTGACAGAGGTGAGAATGGCATATTGTGCCTCGACACGTGATAAAAGTAATACGGCGAGGCTGACATCTTAGCGGTTGCTATGATCTACTTAGATAGGTAAGCACTAATATCAGGCAGTGAGTGATCTTACCTAATCTGAGGTATCAGTTCAGACTGCAATTGATTTCACCCAAACAGAATGCATTGCAGGACCTTATGCATAGATACTCTGCATGCCTGGCCTAGAGGGTATCCACGTGGGGCTGACAAGAGGTGTCAGATGAGGACACCTGAAGCCTTGTTTGAATTGAAAAAAAAAACCACCAGATTAAATTGATCTGCGATTATCGGTTCACATCATCGCAAGTATAATATTAAAGAAGCTACTGCTGTTAGTACCTAGCTAGTACAGAGTACGCTGTACCTAAGCTGGTTGCTATCCTACGTAAGCAGGTCTGCCCCACAATTTCGCGATATGCCCTGACAAACAAAAAAAGAACGAGTATCACTCCGTACGGACGGCAGTCAGCTTGATATATTCCCTTGCATATTACTTCTTCCATTGAGAATAGAAGTTATCTCGATTTTTTTCAGGTGAGAAAAAACCAGACAGACAAAGGTGGCTGCTCAGGTGCTTTTATGCTTTTGGTGCGAGGCGGGGAACGCTATCTAATTCCATACGGAGTAATCAGCACACAGTCCGAACAGAAATGCCGAGATCATCTGTAGATGGCATCGATATCCACGATGTAGCATTCAAAGATGCAGAGAAAATGTTGATGCTTGTGGGGTCTTCAAGCGACCACGTTGCACGCCAATGGCCTGAGCACGGAGCCCGGCGGAGGAGATGTCCGGCAGCGCTTAGTGGCCGGCGGTGAAGCAGATTCTTCGGCAGCCCCTCCTTCTCCTTCTCCTTCTCCGCCGACCGCCAAAACAGTTTCCCCTCTTCCCCCGTCCATCTTTTCTCTTCTCCCTCTCACCACCCCATACCCCCCTCGCCCATTTTATTCCTGTCAGTCGATCCGCCTTTAACAGGCCTGCCGGTTATCTGAAGGCGAACTAACTCTCTCACGCAGACTTCACCCCTCAGTCCCCTCTAAGCCGTCACCATGAGCGCCCCCGCCCACAAGTTCAAGGTCGCAGACATCGTAGGTGGCCATTGCCCCTCCCTGATCTCCCAGAAAATCGCTGACTTGCTTGCAGTCCCTGGCTGCCTTCGGGCGCCGCGAGATTGAGCTCGCCGAGGTCGAGATGCCCGGTTTGATGGCCATCCGCAAGAAGTACGCTCCCGACCAGCCCCTGAAGGGTGCCCGTATTGCCGGTTGTCTGCACATGAGTAAGTTTTCGACAATTCTGTCTGCTCAGGCGATTGCTTTACTCACATGTCCTGTAGCCATCCAGACCGCTGTCCTGATCGAGACTCTGGTCGCTCTCGGTGCTGAGGTCACCTGGACGAGCTGCAACATCTTCTCCACCCAGGACCACGCCGCCGCCGCCATTGCTGCTGCCGGTATCCCTGTGTAAGTTCCTGTTGAGATTGCGTGTCTCTCCGGACCACGTAGCTGACAATGCCGTGTGACCAGTTTCGCCTGGAAGGGAGAGACTGAGGAGGAGTACAACTGGTGCTTGGAGCAGCAGCTGCACGCCTTCAAGGATGGAAAGAAGCTCAACCTGATCCTGGACGACGGCGGTGACCTGACTGCCCTGGTCCACAAGAAGTACCCCGAGATGCTGAAGGACTGCTACGGTATCTCCGAGGAGACCACCACCGGTGTCCACCACCTCTACCGCATGCACCGGAACGGCGAGCTGCTGGTTCCGGCCATCAACGTCAACGACTCCGTCACCAAGTCCAAGTTCGACAACTTGTACGGCTGCCGGGAATCGCTGATCGACGGCATCAAGCGTGCGACCGATGTCATGATTGCCGGTAAGGTCGCCGTTGTCGCTGGCTACGGTGACGTCGGCAAGGGTTGTGCCCAGGCCCTGCGCAGCATGGGTGCCCGTGTCATTGTCACCGAGATCGACCCCATCAACGCCCTCCAGGCGGCTGTCTCCGGCTACCAGGTTACCACCATGGAGGAGGCTGCCCCTTTGGGCCAGATCTTCGTCACCACCACTGGTTGCCGTGACATCATCGTTGGCCGCCACTTCGAAGTCATGAGGAATGACGCCATTGTCTGCAGTATGTGCCCACTAACTGGACTTCTTCTCTTTCTTTCTGCTCTCGCTAACTGGTTGTAGACATTGGTCACTTCGATGTCGAGATTGACGTGGCCTGGCTCAAGGCCAATGCCAAGTCCGTCCAGAACATCAAGCCCCAGGTCGACCGCTACCTGATGCCCAATGGTCGTCACATCATCCTGCTGGCCGAGGGTCGTCTGGTCAACCTGGGCTGTGCCACCGGCCACTCCTCCTTCGTCATGTCCTGCTCCTTCTCCAACCAGGTCCTGGCCCAGATCTCCCTCTTCAAGGCCGATGATCCCGAATTCGGTGCCAAGCACGTCGAGTTTGGTACCACTGGCCGGAGACCAGTTGGTGTCTATGTTCTGCCCAAGATCCTGGACGAGCAGGTTGCCAGACTTCACCTGGAGCACGTCAACGCCAAGCTGTCCACCCTCACTCCGGTGCAGGCCGAGTACCTTGGCGTGAGCCAGCATGGTCCTTTCAAGAGCGACATGTATGTTTCCCCCCTCCCCCCTGTATTGGTGTGCAAAGCTAACAGATCTTTCTAGCTACCGCTACTAAACATGGATCTGATACCCTCCCTCTATCCTACTAATAATAGGCGCATGGTGACATATAGACTTTTTTTTTTCAACATGAGGCTACGATGTTATGAACATAAAGGGTTCTTTATCAACATAGAACTCGCGAGCATTTGTCCTTCAACGGCAAAAGTATCCAAAAGTGGCATGTCTGGGGTTTTTGTTTTGCATTGGGGTTTCTGGTTCCTCTGGGGTATGGGTAAAACGAAAACATTTCTTCTGCTTTCAACACCGCAATGGGCGAGATGATGCCATGTACGTTTATACTCTACTTCCTCGGCCTGGACAGGTACACAGGCTCGAGATGCAAGCGACTAGTTCGCCTGGATGCCATTCAACACAGGCATGATGAGTTTCACTCGGAGATCAATAAAGATACCATTTCAGCAAGATGTCCTATCTGTGTTTCTAGCGTATTTCTGAGTTTGTAGCAGTAGCTGAGTCGGTTCACAAGATCAGATTATTGCCCTCCGTCTGAGAGAAAGCCTGCGAGAAGAGAAACAGTACATCGAAAGGAATATTGCCTTCTAGCCAGATCTACTAATCTCTTTAGGGCTGATGTGCGTTCGCTTGATCTCAGTCCCCCGACACCACACCCGCTTGATCGACCGGGTAGCCTTGATGTCCTCGAGCGGGTTGTCTGCAATGAGGATCAGGTCTGCCAAACGGCCCGGCTCGATGACGCCGCGGTCCTGCAGCCCAAAATACCTGGCCGGTTCGACAGTAGCCGCGCGCAGGGCATCCAGAGGCGTCATGCCAGCCTCAACAAGGAGCTCCAACTCGTGATGCAGGCTCTCCCCATGCCGGACATTGGCGATTTCCCCGTCGTTGGCATCCGTTCCGGCGAAGACGGGCACTCCGGCCGCGAGCAGCGCGGCTACGGACGCACGCGAATGCGCATAATCCAGCTTCACGCCCGGTCTGGTGAGGATCTTGGACAAGGACTCCTCGATCGACAGCGTGGGCACTGCGACCATGTTCTGGCTCTTCATCCGGCTCGTCACTGTTTCGTCCAGTGCACGGTCCATCGGCACGTGCGTGAGCACATCCGGCTTTGCGTCCACCGCCATGACCGCGGCTGGGTAGACGGCCGCGTGCACTACGGCCAGCTTCTGGTGCCTGTGGGCCTCGACGACGAGCGCGTTCAGCGTCTCCTGACTGGGTCCTATGGGGAAGTCCGCAATCAGCTTGATATAGTCCGCCCCGTCGTGGTTGACCCGGTTCGCGACAAACGTTGCAGCCTGCTCTGGGCCAGTCAGCAGCGCGTCGTCCGGCAGGCCCGGCAGCATCTGGCTGTGACGACTGCCCGGCGCGGTCGCAGGGACGCCTGCGGTTCTGAGATCGGCGAGATTGCGCTTCGCCGCGTACTGGCGGATCGAGCGCCAGAGGTCCCGCGGCCAGGACGCCATGTCCAACGCGGTGGTGACGCCCCATTCGGTGAGTCTGCGCGCGCTCTCGGGCTTCTTGACGTGGACGTGGCAGTCGATCAGGCCGGGGAGGAGGATGCCGCCTTCTCCGTCGATAATCGCATTATTCTCGACCAGTCCGTTTTCTTGTCCTTGTGCTTGTCCTCCTGACGGCGCTGTTGTCGAATCATCATTGATTGCCTCGATATTGTCCCCCTTGATGAGGACGGTCACGGGTTGCTGGCTGATGGCGTGTCCGTCGAAGATGTGAACGTTTATGATGGCGAATCTTTGGGTGTTGGGGGGCATTTTTGTACAGTACAATACGTGGATGAGAGAGGAAGAAGAATTGATATTTAGGATATTTTATTGCTTCTTGAAGACAACCGAAGTCTTCTTCTCAGCAAAAGTCATTCCCCTTGCTTTTTATTATATATCCATCCATTGGTACCAGGATCCTACTTACTAAACTAAGTGCCGCGTAAGCTCTCGCTCTCTGGCAGAACCATAATTATGCCGATTGAATTGCTTCATCATGCCTCCATGTCCAAGCCAGGTATCTTTTATAGAGATGTAGTCCAGACGAACCAATCAAAGCACGTCAGTGCCATTCCTATTTGGGTAATTCTGGGTTCGACCAATCATATGCATGGGTCTGTTGTGGGGATTGGATGTCACTCCATGAAATATACCTACCTACATGGACATGTTCATACCTAAGTAGCATAGATGTTATGCATAAATTTCGGGATTATATTCGCTATGAACGTTGTGCTGATTTGTGTCCGGTTTTCTTGTGTAACTAGACTGACTGGTGGATTTGATACGCTACAAGATCCTGGTATAGAGAGAATTGATGGCCTGTGTGGATGTTACGTGGTGGGATAGTCCGTTGACTGACTGCTGGCTTTACTGGAACTCCTTGTGAAGGATTATTATGATGATTATGGTTATGATGATGATGTTGATGATGATGAGAGGAATCGAGACTTAAAGAGTTCACGGCCTCACCCCGTGACCACGCGCCTACGCGCTCTTTCCTAGTTAGGCAATTACCTCTCCAGTGGACGTCCTCTCAACTCTTCCCTCTCCGTATCCCTTCGAGTTCTCCGAATAAGACTACATGGAAGCTCCAACTATTGCAATTTGAATTCCTCTTTCATTGCTGATCCACATACACATCTCCTGTCTAGCCGTCAGTCTACCATGCTTCCAAAATTTCTCGTTGGCAGCTACAAACGCTACAAAGCGGACACGGACCTCTTCACCGCATGGCTCGTGGAAACCGCGGCCAAGGCTGGTCATCAGCTGGAACTTGGCCGCCAAACAACTGAAGAGCGAGTACTCATCTTTCTGCATGCAAGCTGCTGCTGATGGGACGTGCGTGAACAGCCTTTACCGGATTCCCCTGGCGGAGCTTACAACCCTCGCGAGGGCTGTTGCAAAAGCTGCCATCACCGTTCCATCCCACATTGCTGACGTCGCTCGTCGAGCGATCAGTAAGAGAAAGCAATGTGCGGTCTGGTTTCAGAACCGAACCGACGCGTGCAGCGGCGAGGTTCAGGCCAATGTGGCTCACAGTCATTTTATCAATGTCCTTGAAGAGGTGTTGGCATTGTTGGGTGTCGCAGGTAGAGCTTCTCTCCAGAGGAAGTTACCCAACGACCAATCAATTCTTGCTGACGACTCCAGTGCATCAAGGTCCTCATCCCCATGTCAAAAAACGTTCTTCTCCACTGTCACAAAACCCATTGACCGACCTAGAGAACCGGTTCTCAGCGCTGGAGGTAGAAGAGTCTCGCACCGCCGATGAGGATGCTACTCAGCGTGGACAAAAGGCTCAAAAGACACAGCCCCCTCCACGCTGTGAAATCGATGACCAGTTCGAAGACGGCGGAGCTGAAATTTTCGAGTCCTTCTGCTTGTTGGAAGACATGAGACGCATTCGAGACTTCCTCCAGGCCACTTGGACCGAGTATCGAGAGGCACAGATCGATCTCATGACCGCAGCCGTCACGACCAACACCGCATTCGATCTGGTACGGACCACCTGCGACGACTTTATGGATGCCCACCCCTCTCTACGTGGAAGTATGGTCCTCCCACAACTGATGTATGCCACCGGTTGCATCATGCGTGGTGAGGATCCTGGCAAGAAACACCATCCCGATGACCCATTCAACATCGCCGTGGCGGACATTGCGGAGTGGTGTCTCTTGCACACCACGCTGATCCTCGAATCATTCGTCGGCGTTATCGTACCTGGCTCGATACCGTGGTTCAGAAAGGACTTCTACAAGAGTACGATCTATTCAGGTGGAGACAGAGCCACTATGTCTTTGCGAGAACGATATCACCAGGATAGGCAGGTTCTATATGGCTTCCTTCCAGACTTTGTATTTCTAGAACGCTTCCAGGTCAAGCTCCTGGTAGAAGACGAGTTCACCGGTGGTATCAGGGACATGGTCAAGACGAAGCATGTTCCTGTGTGGCTGGCCTTCGCAGCGCCGGTCATCCTGGATACACATCGAATCCTGGGCCCCAATATCTCCCAGCCATTCCAGGAGCTTCGACTCACGGGCCTGCGGACCAAGAAGACGCTCGATGGGGTTTCTCAACGCTCGCTGTCCATGATCCGTCTGACCTGGCCGACGTGTGACAAGGATATGCGCCGGTTTACCGATACCGTCTACGGCGCCGTCACCGATGACATGTTCGCCATCGCTCCAAAGGAAGCACCCCGGGACGAAGAATTCTCCTTCCTTAAGACGCATCCAATTCTCTGTGGGCTTCTGATGTTTAGCTTTAACTTGAACATGCAACAGATGGGCATACCACACGTCAATTCGTGGGGGTCGGTCGTTTCCCTGGCGTACTTATACAATCTGATTCAACAAACAGGCTTCGAACCCCTGTACTGGGAAGACATGGAAAAGGTCATCGAATTTCACGACGAAAAGCACATATTCATCGGAGGCAAGCCCAAGGATGTCAATGATACCTACAAAAAGCTGTGGCTGGCAATGGGGTTCGCGCCGTCAAGCTTTGCCCCGAAGGGACAGAGAAAGATGATGGACAGGCCCCTCAAGAAGGTCACGCCGCGATTGCTCAAAACCACGTCCGTTGTGGCAGCAGTGTTTCAGGAACGATATTGCGGGAGTGGATCGATCGATCTGTCTGCACGCAATGTCGGGCAGATTCTGGATGATCTTGTAGAGAACCGCGGCAAATGCAAGAACGATGGATTTGCAAAAGATTGCGGGGTCATACGTCGAAAATGGACTGTTGCAAACAGTCTCAGCACTCTGCAGCTGCTGACTGCTCTCCGCGAGCGGCTTGCGGACGAAGAGCCAAAATTGCTCTTCAACTACTTTGGGTTGAAAGAACGCTGCCTGGACCTTCTTCAGGGGTTGCAGAAGGAGCTAGACGGCAAACTGGTTCAATATTTCGGATCCGCGTACCTCAAGGATGAGAAGGATCTCAGTCTCATCGTCAGTTACATCCTTGAGGTCGCGCACGGATCGGCCAGGTCGGCGCGAAGTCTTGGTTTCGCAAAGGGATCCGCCAGGGTGATGAGTAAGATGGTGATGAGGGCAGCCAATGTCATGCAGGACTTCGTTAAGGGAAATGGGGGTGTTGGATGCAAGGAGCTGCGAGCGTTCTGCCGTCAAAAAGGCAAAGTGATGTCCCAGGCTGACAAGACGAGAGAGTCGAAACGGGAGACTCTGTACTGGTTTGCGGTGGATGAGCTCATCGATCTTAAAGAGCTGTCTATGCTGGAGCTGATGCTTTCGGCGCGTCTTCAGAAGGAATATGAAAAGAATCCGTGGGCTTCATAGTCAAACAGCAATATCCAGGTAAAAATATGTGGAGGAGATCGACGTTCATCGTGAGGTGAGATAAATTTGCATGGGATGGTTGACAAGATGACGCTTAACTATGTCTGTGATGTATTCTACATGTCTGCATACTGATACAAAGTTCAGATAAGTGGCTGTATTTCTAAGCTACAATGATTATCATAGTCAAACAGTATTTGCCTCACTCCTTCTGATCAGTTCAATCAAAGATTCAGCGGCCAGCACTGCAAACTCAGCATCGTTGATGGCTCGATCGTCCCGTCGCACTTCGATTCCGCTCCCTTCGAGCTGTTTCTCCAATCCGACAAACAGGGCGGAATCGGCCTCTGGGTCGTGAAACGGTTGCCCCGGCGTGGAAATCATGCTGATGCCCCCTGTTGGCAGCAACACTCGAATCAAGTCGGGCCGGGAGGCGTGCGCACGCAGTTTGCTGGCGATGAAGTCTGCGATGCGAGTACATTCCTCCGGGCTCGTCCGCATCAGCGTCACAGCCGGGTTGTGCTCGTGCAGTCGACGGTTCCCGAACGTCGCTGGTACGGTCTCTCTGGGCCCAAAGTTGACCATGTCGCAGGCCCCGACGCTGATGACCTGCGGAATGCCCGCTTTCGCAGCCGCCGTCAGCCGGTCTGGTCCCGCCGACAGCACGCCGCCGACCAGCTCGTCGGCGATCTCGGTCGTCGTCATGTCCAGCACGGCGTCGAGCTGTCTCTCGCGGACCAGGCGCTCCATGGCCTTGCCGCCGGCGCCCGTCGCGTGGAAGACGTATACTTCGTATTCGTGTGCATGTTTTTCTTCCAGATGCGCGCGGATCGCGTCGACACAGGGCGTCGTGACGCCGAACATGGTGATTCCGACTCGCTTTTTGCCTTTTGCATCCAGATTCTTATTCTGACTGGTATTCAAGCGGCTGTAATACGCCAGCGTCGCGCCCACGATCGCTCCCGCCGCATTGGCCAGGATCTGCCCCAGGATGGTGTTTGCGCCCGCGATGTCGACCACGCTGTACATGAGCGTGATGTCCGTCTCTTCGACGAAGGGCTTGACGTTGCCGCTCGCCATGGTCGACACCATCAGCTTGGGAAATCCCACAGGGAGGGCATCGCGCATGACAGCCGTCGCCAGCGCGGTACCGCTCGACCCGCCCGCGGCGACGATGCCGTGCATCTGGCCCCGGACGTACAAGTCGCGAACGTACGCTGTCGCGCGGGCGATGGTGTGTTTGATGTACTCTGCTCGGGGGAGTTCGGACAGGGATGCGTCTGCATTTGCGTCTGCAGCAGCGAGATCCGCACAGGAGACGTCGATATCGCGATGCTGGACTGGCGTAGAGCCGATATCTAGTAGCAGAACTCGGCAGGCGCCGTTCTGGACGATCTGCTCGCGCAGGAAGAGCGTCTCGGCGAGCTTGGTGTCGCATGTGCCGAGGACGAGGATTTGGGGGCGTTGTTGGTCGGACTGCATGGTGGATGGACTGACAGACAGTAGATAATAATAATGATAATAATAATCTGGACAGGTCTGTCAACTACATCGTCGAGGATAGATAAATCGCTAGGTATATAGCTAGCTGCAGCGATGCATTGAAGTATTTATTTATTTATTTATTATTGACGTATTGGAATTCCTAGCTTCATCGGAAGGTAGCAGGCAGGTAAGGTCTGGTCTGTCTGGTCTGGCGCAAAACCCCGCATTTTTCCTGCTGATTACGCGCGTCATAACTTGACTGGTTGCTGCTGCAGGTGATCAGAGTTATTACCTAGGTATAGTAGTACAGGGAATACGACACATTATTGCCTGGTCTTTATTTTTAGTAAATGATATCACCCCGCATTTAATATCGCATCTCCGCCTTTTCTCCGCGCTCCCCGGATTTTTAAGTCAGTCCGGCTGTTAAGTTAGTTTGCTGATTAGTGTCGCTCACTGTCTTGTCGTCTTTGTCCTTATTTTCTTTCTTTTCTTTTCTTTTTTTTTTTAGTTTCTCTATATATAATATATACTGCTGCTAATTAATTGGCTATATCCTCTAGAGTGTATAAGCATATAAGTATACTCTATTTAACCTCTTAAAAACAAATCCTCTCCTAAGATAGATTATTGTTGCTAATAGCAGAATTATTATTATTAGTATGGGGGCAAGTAATGTACTGTACATATCTAACCTGTCATGTGTAGAGAATACTTTTTCTTTTTCTTATCCCCCCCGCTTTTTTTTTTGACTGACGTCCTAGGAATCGTAACGTTACTTCAAGAATGACTTAGCAGATGCTATTAGGGGGAAGTTACCTAGGGGCTGACCTAGCTATTAATATCAAATCTAATTTAAATTTTACATTCTCAAGTGAGACATTCACCAGGGGTTTTACATAAAGAATTATTACTGGAGGTTTTATGTGTCGTTCTTCTCTGTCTGATACAATTAAAAAGTCATCTAGTGGGCATACTGAGACTATACGGACGCCGACAGATGCTAGCGAATCAAGATAAGCACACTCACAGAGTATCCTGCCTATACCGGATATCTCCATGGTTGCAGCCTGACCTAAGGTAGATATCGAGCCTATGGTGATGTAAACCTGACTGTGCTACCGTGGGTCAGTCCGAAGCTTTGCCTCTAAAAGAGACTCTTACCTCGTACATATATACACCCAACGTTGGTGACGAACCTCATTACTATTGTAATCAACTATCACAACTATCCAGTTCTATTGACATATTCAATCAACTCTTAGATGGCAAAGTTCCGTCGAATAGGAGCAGGCTTCTGCGGGACTGTCTGGTCTCCTCCCTCCCGGATGTTCTCTCCGAGTATGCCTTCAAGAGGGAAGATGGAGGTCCAGGAAGGTCTCTGAGAAGTGACTTCGAGATGCACAGATTGGTCCTGAGCAGTCTCAGTCGGCTGACAGAGCGACCCCTCCAAGTCCCTTCCTGTCACCGCTTTATCGCCAACGACGACGACGAATGGTGGAGTGCGAGCCTCGACAGATTCCCTCCCGGCTATTCGCCTTGCAATGTGATTCAATCGCAGAGGATCCCGCCTGTCCCTCAACAGGTCAGAGAATTTCTGATCGACATGTACTGCCCAGAGTCTCTCAGACCAGAGATCAAGGCCAGTGATGCCAATAAAGACTGCCTCATCCGGCCTTATCTCGGCAGGCGACGCGTTAATACCAACAGACACCAACAGTCCAAGTTCCAGGCTTTTTCACTCAGGAGCTTTCCCCTCCATCTAGACCAGATGGAAGAGATAGGCATCTCTTTTTCTGACAGAGAGACGTATGCGAGAATGATGGCCAGGGCTCTTGCCCTGATGCACTGGGACGCCAAAATCGATGCAAACGACTTCGAGTTTGTCATCGCACCGCCGCCAAACACTGACCCAACCCGTAACTATTATTCTCCAGTCATCTCGAATGTCCCTGGCGATCATACGATCTGGATTCTTGATTTTGACTGCTGTCGGAAAATGACCATGGATGAGAGTGGCGTTAAACAAGCGGTTAAAGCTTTTCTTCGAAACGACCCTTTCTATCCTCGACCAGACTGCTGTGAAGTATTGTGGGAGGCGTTTCGGGATGAATACCTCCAGACTAGTGTCCGTATCATTGACAACAACCACAGAAAAGGATGCCTCCTCCCTTTGTCTTTTGTAGAAGGAATAGAAGAAAGAAGCTCGTGTCTTCACCAAGAAGCCACTAGCTAGCTAGCTTCCTTCCTTAGTGGATAATGAATGCACCAAGTGAATTGAGCATGACATGAAGATATGTGAATGAATTTTCACAGTGACAGTGACTATGGTGACTGCATTCAAAAAAAAAAGGTGAGCATATAATTCGCCTCTTGACCATGCGCAGAGATCAGGTTATCATCCTTAGATTTTTTTTTTCATCTTAATACGCTTTTCGACGGAAATCCCTTATCACCTCGTGGCTTGCCCAGCTTCTCCAGTCGTCGAAAAGAAAGTAGAACTGATGAATCGTTTTCATCTAGGACAAGCTCGAACTAAATTTTTTTTTCAAGTAAAAGTAGTACAAACTTTACGGCTTCGCATCCTGGTCTTTTTTTCTAGCCCCAACCTGGCAACTGCCTGGCAACTACGAGGCAACTTGACTAAATGAAAGATCGTGCCTGTGAACTTGTTTCCAATGTGGAAAGATGCCTGACAATAATCAACGACGTCATATCCGAGCGGGAGTCTCCATCACAAATCGACGATGACGAGTTGCACGTCCGCCTATCTCCTGGACATTACACCACGGTATGTGTAATTCCTCAATAATATTTTCATCTGACGACTAATTCGTGAGAGAACAGATGGACAAATACGGTGGAATCCTGAGCAGTGAGACCGCTACCAATGAAAACTGGGAAAGCCTGAAGGAGAGGCTTCCGCCAGCCATCCAGAGATTCGTGCGCTTCACCGGGGCCGTTTGGAGCTGTGATGTTACCGAAGACATTGATGTCCCAATCCCCTTGTTTATTGCCCAAGCACCAGTAGTCATCCTCCCTCTGGTTTGGAGCCCGGTGACTACAGTCGTGCACTTGCGCGACCCGCCTTCAGATCCACTGAGCAATACACCGATCGATCCAACCAAGCCTCTCAGCGAATCTGTCGCGCTAAAGGCCTTTGAGACTTTTCCGGCGTCTGTCGCGTTTCTTAAATTCCTTGATGGGATGTTCGTTGTGATATATCCAGAAGATACCGACTGCTCAGACATGATTATCTAGAAGATACCGACTGCTCAGACATGATGGATCTTATCCCAACCCAGTTCGGCGGGTTGCCAGTGGACGTGGCTACAGACAAGATGACACCCTGCATCGAAACAGACGAGATTACACCCTCCACTAAGCCTGCGGAGCCGGCGGATCCGGTTGTGCGGTCTGGCGCTCAGGGCCCTTCCAAAGGGTCACCACAAGTCGAATTGTATCCTGGAAGTCGCTTAACGGTCCGGGGGCTGTTGACAACACAGGCGAGCGCAGGAGTCCTCGTTGATACTGGCAATGGCGAAGTTGCGCTTACCACGGTGAGCCACCTGCCGCTTTTACATCAAAGGTGCACGCGGAAGGGCATAAAGGCATTTTCTCTCAAGCTAGATCGGCCCAAGACTGCTGTGGGGTTGACGGTGTACTCCGACAATAATGAATCTCCTGTTAGTTGAAGCCGACACCAGAGAGAAGTTTGTTATATTGATTAGATTATGATTAGGTCGCCCATGTCAATCGAATCTTTGACGACGAAGCGCATACCAAAGACTATCCGACAGGATATACCTTTGGTCTAGCATTCCTCAAACCTTTGGTACCGATCGTAATGCACCTGGGCCAACCTCCAAACAAGAGGAGATTCCGCCCGAAGGCTTCACCCCTTCCGTTTAACGAGCTGCTAAGACTCATGTCACCAAGCATGGGCTCCGATGTTGCAGTTGAAGGCAGGGCTTTACCGTCTGGGTTTGGTACCGCCGTAGGAGAAGCATTTGTGAAAGCCAATATCAGATTTTGCAACAATCTTGCGGACAGAGAAAAGAAGTCCACATCCAACGCAGAAAAACAGCTGTCTCGCTGCACTCTCTGGAGGATGGCTGGGCCGCATCGGTCGCTGGGCACTACCAGTAGTTCCCCCGTGGAGGTGGTTAGTACCGGCGAAATACTTGGATTCCAGTGTTGGGAATGGGCCAAGAGACGTGGAATACCCCCCGTGTGGGCTCGAGACACCTACGATTTGACTCGTGATGACAAGACGCTGGCAATGAGATACCCTTTCTACGGCATCTATGATCTCCCTGACGAGGTAGAGAGGATGTCAATTGTCGAACAGTCGTAATCGGCCTCTTTGAGCTTTGTTTGGCGAAGGAGATAAGAAACGATGAATAAAAAGGGGTATGGAAGTACGACGGCTAGGGCCTTTTTAATTTTGCTTTTTTCCTCTTCACAAAATGGTGAAACGGAATGAAGTATGTACAGTGCTCTACACGTGGCTGCTGTTATAGTTTCCTTCATTGCTATGCGTATCATCAGCCCAAAAACTCGCATCGTTGAGATAGAAGCTCGCAGCTAATGATGGACGAGATCTGTTACTTTCCAATCTGAAAAAAAAAGGCATCCTTCTCCATAAAGCTTGCAACTTAAGATTCGAAACCGTCAGCCAGCAGGAGTCAGAAGTTTGTTAACAGATCTTGCTGAGGTGATGGCTGAGTTAGGTCGAATTTTACCTGTAAAAGAAACCTAGCCCACGTGGTCAAGCTAATAGTATAGTATAGTACAGTACAATAGTACTGTACTGTAGATAAGTGACATGAAACATTACCTGGTCGAAATGATATCACCCCGCATATCGATCCCCGCCTTCTCCGCGTTCCCCGGACCGACTCGGACTCAAGTCTGTCCGTCCGGCAGTTTGCTGATCAGTGTCAGTCTTGTCGTCCTTTTTGTCTTTGTTTTTGTCTCCTTTCATCCACATACTGCTGCTAATTATCTATATCCTCTAGAGTGTACTACAGTATGCCCCGTCCAACCTCTCGAAAAGAAATCCTCTCCCGACTAAGACAGGTCATTGCCGATGGCGGAATCATTGTCGGCGCGGGGGCAGGTATGTAGCATCCTAACCTGAGAATACTATTTTTTTCCCCTCTTTTTGACTGACGTCCCAGGAATCGGCCTCTCCGCCAAATCCGTCGAACAAGGCGGCTGCGACCTGATCATCATCTACAACTCGGGCCGGTTCCGCATGGCGGGGAGAGGGTCGCTGGCGGGACTGATGCCGTATAGTGATGCTAATGCGGTGGTTGTTGAGATGGTATTATCCCCCAGACTACACAGACATATATATCTACTACTGTATACTGTATGTATACTGCATACTGATGATGACAGGCCCACGAAATCCTCCCCATCGTGCAAAACACCCCCGTCCTCGCCGGCGTCTGCGGCACCGACCCCTTCCGCGACATGTCGACGTTCCTGGCCCAGCTGAAAGATCTCGGCTTCGCGGGCGTGCAGAACTTCCCCACCGTCGGGCTCATCGACGGCAAGTTCCGGCAGAACCTCGAAGAGACGGGTATGGGGTTCGACCTCGAGGTCGAGATGATTCGGCTTGCGGCCCAGCGCGGAGATCTGCTCACGGCGCCGTACGTGTTTACCGTCGAGGAGGCGGAGAAGATGACCCGTGCGGGAGCGGATATCCTCGTCGCGCATGTCGGGCTCACTACCAAGGGGAGTATTGGGGCTGAGACGGCGATCACTCTCGATGATAGTGTTCGCATCATCCAGGATATCCGCGATGCGGCGGTCAAGATCAATCCGGAGATTATTGTCTTGTGCCACGGGGGCCCGATTGCTGAGCCTAAGGATGCTGAGTATGTGCTCAATAGGACCAAAGGCGTACATGGCTTCTTCGGTGCTAGTAGTATGGAGAGGTTGCCTGTTGAGGTTGCCATTAAGGAGAATGCGGAGGCCTTTAAGCGGTTGAGGATTGCGAATAAGACGTAAAGAAAAGGGATTAACGGGTCAATTCTCTACTCTAGCTTTATACTACCTTTATACAGTACAGTTATATCAGAGCCTGCCACTCTTGCCAGAATCCCTCCCAGAAATCCTCGTCCATGCTCAGTAGTGTCTCCCCAGTCCACATCTCCCCCAGAATGGACGGCTGGGCCGGCTGGGACAGCTGCCGGTGCTGCATCTGCTCCTCGGCTCGGATAGCCTCGTTGAAGTTCTGCTTCAAGGCGCCCATCTTCTTCGAGAGCTCCGCCAACAGATCATGCCGATAATGCACATAATTCCCATCCTGGCCAATGCCGCTCTTCTTTGCAGCCTGCCTCGCCTCGCTGGCGTTCTTGATAATCCGGTCCAACATCCCCGGCACGTCCAGCTTGCTGCGCACGTATTTGAGATCCCACCCCGGAACGTCCAGGAAGAGGAGTTTGCGTATAATGATCATCATGTGCCCCACTTGCAGCCAGGGCGTCATGCTAAGATGGATATACTCCTCTGGTTGGATGGTGAAAAAAGCTTCCACCAACGCCGCTGCTGCCTCGAGGCACGCATACAGTGACTCGACTCGCTGGAACGGATCGTTGTCGCTCAAGACCCCTGACCGAGACGGGGTGTCATATATAGCAAATTCGTGGAGAAACATCTCGGCAGAGTGATAGTGCATCAACAGCAGATCTAAACCGTCAGCGTTGTTCTCATCCATAGTATAGGTGCTGACATACTCCTGTTGCGGACATCCCCCCATGACTGCTTCACAGAGTTCAGCTCGCTCTGTATTGACGCGATATGCATGCCAAAAGGTGCTCGCAGCTTGTACTGGTCGTCAAGCACATGCTGTCGGATTATGTTCACAACGCGCTGGATGCGAACGAGCTGGACGAGATAGTTATCATCTGGGTATTGCTTAGCATCGACCAGCGCCTGACAGCATTCTTCGACGTAAGGAGTATAGGGCAATGGCTCTAGCCCTCTCAGATGCGAAGAGAACCTAATAATGTCAGGACTGCCCCAAGGACAACGTCTGAGATAACTTACAATGATGACAAGTAGAAGCACCCCAAAAACGTTCTCCTTTCTTCCAACGTCCCACGCAACGTTTCGAAAACTTTCGATCCTTGAAGAACCTTTCTCATCACGTCAGGGACGGCCTTGTATTTGTTTATTGGTAGTGGTCGATTCAGACCAAGATCTGCCACCAAGGCAATAGCCAGTTGGAGGAGATTGGTCAGCTGTCGACCTGTGTAAAACAGATTCAGATACCTACACTGAAGTTAGTTCATTCGAGCGGTAAGAACTGGTCCTGCAATACCACGAAATGTACACGAGGAGACCTTGCAAAAGGTCCAGAGACTTCTCGCCATCAAAGAGCATGCGCCGGCTCAGGTGCTCGATGATCTCTTTTCCTAGCGCACTCTGCCGGCCGCTATCTCTGTGGAAGGCGGCCACCAAAATGACATCCAGCAGAAAAGGCTTGGTTCTGCCGAGCTCTTCGGCGGAGATGTGGTCGTCGATCACTACGAAAGGGAAATACCTGGCCATGGATGTTTTGAATATAGTAAGATAAGTATCTTTGTCCGATTTGGAAAATGTATTTTGATCAGAGGTGGCGCTGTGCTCCAGCAAAGGGTCTCGTGTTGGAGGCATCGGTGCAGCCGCTTCCTCCGCCAGACCTTCCTCTTGCAGAGGCCTGATGCAGAGAGTAGCTGACGGAGTCTGTGTCATGGATACCGGGGACGGAGCGGGATATGCGGAATTGGATGGTTTGCTGCTCTCCTGGTCTTCGGCGGGAGCATCGTGAGAAGACTTTAGCAGATTGACGATGTCGTCCAACTTTCGCTCCAACTGAGCCACCCGTCTGAGATTCGTTAGACAGTGTTCACAATTCTTAAAAACACTAAACTTACGTCTGCCTGGGCGCGGTCTTGCGTTTCCGCCTTGCCTTCCGTTCCTGGCCAACGCACTCCTTTTTGAGACGAGAACACCTATACCAGACGCCTCTAGATCAGTATATGCACCATTCCGTACCACTGTCAGCCTACCTCTCGCATTTTGAACGGTCAACCTCCGAGGGAATACATTTTGCCTTGGCGACTGCGCAGGGCCGGCATGCCCGGGGTCCTCCCCCGCGATGCCCGGGCTGTACGACGTCAAGGTTGTGTCTGCCCAACGCATCCATAGCGCTTGAAAACGGACCAGGAAAACATGAACAAACTCCGACAGAACGGAGATGGGTTGAAATTGATTACTTTCCTCATGAGTTGGGGCGCGATGGCAGTTAAAACGGAGGGCGGGGACGGAGTAAAAAAGGAAACCTCCGGCTCCGGTTCCAAATCGGGAAGGCACGCCCGAACAGGCAAGCCCTAACTCTCGAGGTCGACAATGGAAGTCGCGATTCTGCTGCCTCCTTCCCAGACAGCGGTGTGCGTCGTTTCAACATCTCAGCAACTCCTCGAGTGGAAATCCAGGAGAAGTGCGCTCTCACTATGGACAGCAGCCTGTCCAGGACGGACGAAAAGACTGAGGCACACGAGAGAGCGGAGAGACAGAGTCAGCAAAATGACGAGCCATTGGAGACTCCATCAGGCATCAGATTATACCTGATCTTCGTAGCGCTGATCTTTGCTGCGTTTCTGGTCTCCCTCAACGCTTCGATTGTCTCGACGGTATGGCACCAAGACGAATCCACGTTGCTCGAACCAGATAGTCTCTGATATTGACTTCTAGGCCACCCCGTCCATCACGAATGAGTTTAATGCGATATCCGACATAGGATGGTACGGCAGTGCATATCTGCTGGCGACGTGTTCCCTACAGCCGCTGATGGGAAAGTTCTACGCCCATTTTCCTGCCAAGAATGTCATCATGACTGCCATCTCCATCTTCGAACTCGGCTCCCTTCTTTGCGGTGTGGCAACCTCGTCGAATTTCTTTATCGTTGGCCGCGCTGTTGCGGGCACTGGATCCTCTGGGATCCTCAGTGGAGCTCTGAATATAATGGTTGCATCCGTGTCGTTGGAAAAGAGACCTTGTAAGTTATACACGTTCGTCTGCTTACGAACGTAACTGAAGTATGAAGTGGTGAATGGTATCAATTTTGCTATCTCTGCCACCGGGAACGTGATCGGGCCTCTGATCGGGGGCGCCTTGACGCAACACGTGAGTTGGAGATGGTGTGAGTGAAATTAGCCCTTTCCTGCCAGGATTCTGTTGATTGAGGTGAAGGTTTCTACATAAACCTTCCGTTCGGTGGCTTGACCTTGCTTCTGCTCTTCCTCGTCAACGTTAGCGACGCTCGGTCCGAAACCAATCGCAATCTCGACCTGGTCACAACTCTCCGGCGAATCGATTTCGCCGGTTGCGCCATGTTCGTCCCGGCGACGATGATGTTCCTTCTGGCGTTTGAATGGGCTGGATCTGACTACGGCTGGGATTCGCCCACCATTATTGGCCTGCTCTGTGGGTCGGTCGTCACCATCTGCATCTTTGGATTCTGGCAGCACCGGATGGGTGAGAATGCCATGATCCCGCTGAGTCTGCTCTCCAAGCGGGAGGTCCTCTTCAGTTGCTGCACGGCCTTTCTCCAGATGGGTACGCTGCTGCTCTTCTCGTATTTCTTGCCGTTATGGTTCCAGGTCGTCAAGGGGGCCAGTCCGACGATGAGCGGGGTGATGAATCTCCCGATCATGTTGAGCCAGTCGCTGCTACTGGTCTTGTCAGGTATATCACGTAGGTCTTACTTTTTCGTCGTTGGCTTTCTGATTTCTGACTATAAGACAGTTAGCAAAATCGGATATTATATCCCGTTTGCCGTTGTCGGGGGTTCCTTGACAGCCATCGGAGCCGGCTTGTTGAGTACTCTCACTCCTACCAGTAGCGCAGGCAAATGGATCGGATATCAGATATTTGTTGGAGTCGGTCGAGGAATGGTCCTTCAAGTGGTAAAGCCGGGTTTCTCATCAACTCAAGAATTACTGCAATTCTAACAAACAGCTAGCCTCTCACCGCCGTCCAGGCCGTCGTCCATAGAGATCAATTACCGCTTGGATCCGCTCTCATCATGTTTTGCGCGTACTTTGGCAGCGCGCTGTTCGTCAGTCTCGGCGAGACTGTCTTCATCAACCGGCTGCTGCCAGCATTGCACCAATATCTACCCCATGTTCCACCAGAAAGCATCATCCGCGCTGGAGCGACAAATGCCCGATCGGCCGTGCCGGCGTCAGATCTGCCAGGGTTGATTCTTGCGTACAATCAAGCCATTACTCAGACGTGGGTGAGTGGCAGTCATCCTTTGAAATAAAGAGCTCATCATTGACTGATGCTTAGTATCTATCGGCCGGAGGCTCCACCCTTGCTGCCCTCACCAGCCTAGGGATGGGCTGGAGAAACATCAAAGACAAGAACGAGTAATTATCTTTTCTGCGAGCAGGAGTTGGCTAGAGTGCATGATTTCTTGGCTGTCTCCCTGGTTATAATTATTAGAACTTAGTACATAATTATCTTCTCATTAAGACATAGATTTGGCTCTATGATTTTTTTTTTCCTTGATTTTTTATCCTAGGTAGAAAGTGATGTGGGTGAGTGATCCTAGGCCCTAACATTCCTGAGCGGGGCTTATGGTCGAGATGGAATTCATCCCTTCAAAGTCCAAACTTTTTCAATCCAGAGTGCTTTTTCTCAGACGATAGGTTCGAGGATCCATGTCTAGGTCTATGCCTGGCCTCGTGTCATTCTAATAAGCGGCAGTCGACGTTGGAATGCGACAGACTTCACAGCCGCGGCGTGATATGTGTGGTTTTAAAACGTAGATAACTTACCCTGTGACGACTGGGCTAGGCTTAAAACTTAAAAGGCTGGAGATAACTTTACATATCCTTAGTTATGCAGGATAAAATAAATAAATAAATAAATACTTTATCCTCAACTTGGAATGTGCCAAACTGGATCTGGTGTTACGTTACTGACGATGACCCCGCCTCCGCTGATGTTCCTTTACTAAGGAGGAGCATTATTCGCACACACTTTTCACTTTTGTTCTGACGCTGACGTTGATTGGTAGGTAACTGGTCATGGGTCGTTCTGATAGAGGACAGATGTCAGGTCTTTCTGTCATGTTATGCCATGTCATGTCATATCAGTTTAGCAAGCCACCCATCAACAGGGGGCGGGGCAGTCCCTTCATTCACAGGGAGGGTTTCTTGACAGAGGCCTGGGAAAGCTGTAACCAGCCTCTGGCTTTTTTTTTTTGCCCTTCTTCAAGAAGCTAAGGTTCTAGCCCTTTTAGCCCTTTTGTTCCTTGAATGAATTTCGTCAGTAAAAAAGAAAAAAATAAGATAGAAGTCTGGGCAGTCTAGACTGGACTGGACACAATTTGAACGAATACACTCAATTGTTTATTTTATTGTTGTCATTCCGAACGGAGGCAAGGCAGGTAGGGCTATCCCTTAAGTACCTAGGTTCTCTCAGCATAGCATCTCTATAAAGGCAGGAGCAGATCCTTCTTATTATCACCGGTCTTTGAATCTCTCCACACTCGATACACGTCAGCTACCTACCTACCTGGTTATATCTTTGTCTTATCTTCCATTGACAGGTACCTAGGCGGTGGACTCCTAATCTGAATAAATAACCCTTCTGAATTTCAGATTTTGAAGTCGCTCTTGAGAACACAGAAGGGATCTTCTTTTTTTTTCGACCAAAGTCGACAAGATGGTCTCCTCACGGCTTCTCCTTGGACTTGCTACAGTTTGCTGCGTTGTGCAGGCCTATCCGATTCGATCGGATGAGGATCATTCTCATACCCACTCCACAGGGTTGATGACTCGATCGCCCGATGCGGTAGGTTTGCGATAGTTGACTCTGTCATCATGGTCAAGATTTCTAACGACAATTTTTATTTCGTATGTATGCAGAGACTCAAAGACCCGTTCGACGTCGACTGGTTCCTTCACAGCTTACACGCCTTTATCCCCACGAAGGGTGATCTCAGTCAATGGATCGACACTGTCATCCACGACAGCCTCCATTACGATGATGATAATGGCAGCGATGGCGACGATGGCAATAAGGATAATGATAAGAACAACGAAGTTCATGTCGAGAACGGCAACAAAAACAGTAACAACAATAACAACAATCCCCCTCCTGCTGCGACACCTGCCCCGCAGGGTGATGGGAAGAATGCGACCAATAATCCATCAAATGACGATGCCAAGGATAAAACTGACGATCTTTTTGACGTCCCCTCGCTGCTGTCGTCGCTGAGCTCGCTCTTCAAGGGGCTCAATGCCGCTGATGAGATCGTCCCAAGTTGAAACAACATGAATCAATCACTGTGACTTGAAAGATCCACGAGAGGAAAGATTTCTGTTAAAATCGAGTGTATTATTGGGTAGGTTAATGGACTGGGCAGGCGAAGGCGTTTGTTTGTTTGTGTTCGTGAGGGACCATTATTATTGACGAGAAACGATACCATGACGATCTATTGATATATTCTTGCTATTTCTCTTTCTGCGTTCTGTTTCCATTGAAGATCAATCACGTGGACCTGGAGTCTGGTATCGGTGATCTAATAACGAGCAATATTAGTAATAGCAGTCAATTTCAGATTCACACCTCTTATCGCAGTCTTCTCATTTGGATGGCCTTGTACGGAAGAAATCTTCAAGTCCAGATTAATTCCGACAACCAGAAACGGTTATAACTCCGTACTATAATCTAGCCTTTCGAAGCTTTTCTTAGCTCGAAGCGCGTAAAGAGTCACAATTGTCTCTGGCTCCACTTGTCGGTCGGAGTTTAGACAAGTCCGCAGGCATGGATCGGCGCCTGAAGTAATCGGCCGGCAAATCCCGTGCTGCGGGGCTGCGCTTTAGCTCCATGAGGCACCGCCGCACCAGCCTGCTACCAGGCTCCGGCATGACGAAGTTGACGTCGATGCTGTCGTCGAACCGGGCATTGTGAGTGGGCGGATTTCGTCCGCTAATTCTAAGATGGAGAAATCTCTATCCTTTGGAGGCCTAGCATTTGGTGGTTCTGCCGTCGGGGAAAGCATCGAATTCGAATCTGGAACCACCACCTGCCATCATAGTATAGTGGGGTATATAAGGGTGCCTCCGTATCGCCCTTCTCGAGATCTTGTTCAGCAGACAGCAGCCACGCAGTCTTATCTTTATTATCGTTGAAAATTTCCCAATCGCTTCTTGCAGGAAATCCTTCTCTGAGTGTCTACGCTAAATCTCTCAACATGCCTACTCTTGTCGGAAAAGAAGTTGGTACCACGGGCTACGGCCTCATGAGTACGTCTGACCACCCTCCTGTTTGTTCTGCGCGCAGTCGACTGTTCCTGGTACTGACCATCCATCGCTTGAATGCGAATACAGGGATGACATGGAATCCTCAGCCTCCCTCCAAGGAAGTATGCTTTGAGACGCTGAACACCGCTCTCGACCTCGGCGCCAACTTCTGGAACGCCGGCGAGTTGTATGGCACCCCGGACTACAACTCCTGCCACCTGCTCCACGAATACTTTACCAAATACCCTGAGAAGTCCGACAAGGTCGTTCTGAGCATCAAAGGAGGCTTGAAACGCGGTACACTCATCCCCGACGGTTCCGAGGAGAATATCCGCCGCAGCGTCGACGAATGCTTGAGGGTCCTGGGCGGCACCAAGTCGATTGACATTTTCGAATGCGCCAGACAAGACCCCAACACGACAGTCGAGCAGACGGTCACTATTCTAGCCCAGTTGATCAAGGAAGGCAAGATCAAGGCTATCGGTCTCAGTGAGGTCGACGCTGAAACCATCCGACGGGCGTACGTATCTACCCATCAAGATTGCGACTGAAGAATCCAAAAATGGACATGCATCTGACAGATTGGTGCAGGCACAAGGTCCACCCCATTGCCGCTGTGGAGGTGGAGTTTTCGCTCTGGGCGACCGACATCCTCCACAACGACGTTGCCAAAACCTGTGCAGAGCTCAACATCCCTATCGTGGCCTACTCCCCCTTGGGCCGAGGCGTCCTGACCGGCGAGATCAACAAGTTCACCGATATCCCCGAGGGTGATTTCCGACGACTCCTTCCCAAATATCAGGAGGGCACTCTGCATGAAAACCTCAAACTGGTCCACGCCGTGGTAGACTTGGCGAAGCGCAAGGGTGTTGCTCCCGCCCAGATCGCTCTGGCCTGGATCCGGACGCTCAGCAACCGACCTGGCATGCCGACCATCATCCCGATCCCAGGAGGTACCACCAGCGACAAGGTCACACAGAACACGGAGGGGGTCCAGACTCTGTCGGACGAAGATATGGAGGAGATCGATAAGATCCTGAAAATGTACGAGGTCAAGGGGGCCCGATACCCAACAGCTACGCCCTAACAGAGTAGGGTGCACAGATAGTTCTAGGGATATCTGATAACAGCATGTTCAATACCTAGATGTATATATGTATGTACATGCGTCTATAATGAATTCAATATGACAGCTAAAAGCATTGGATCGCAACGAGTTTCTAATGTCAATAATCTGTACAGCAATTAGCAAAATGCGTGTCAACACTAGATGCCACTGTGCGAGAAAAGAAAATAAAATTGCATCAGATCAAGTGTAGAATGTGTCCACATACAATTTCACCCAATGAGGGGAAATTGTCAGTATTGCAGAATTCACTTTTTGCTCATCATAAAAGAAAAAAAGGACGAATAAAAAAGAAGTGAGCAACAGAAATAGAACTTACCTACAAAAGAGCTATGACACAATAGTATTGTTTACACCACGCGGCACGTTAACACCATAGATAGAACGGTGAAAAGTGACAGACAAACCGATATGAAGCAATATGGATACTTTGCAATAGCAGGAAATCACCTGCCGGACTCACCGAACAAAGCACTGGCCCAAATGTGGTGGCTGGTGTTGCATGACGGTGGGAAAGTAGCGGAAGAAAGAAAAAAAAGTTGGAACAAAGGATGCGTTCAAAATAGCCTCATCACGTGCTGCCGCCTGTACTCGACAACGCTCGACGCTGTCGAAGCGCGCCTGAGGGAGGGCCTCCAACTCGACGCTACCTTCCGATCTCTTCACTGTCCATCGCCCTCTCGTCACTCTCATACGAGACACTCCGCAATCTTTCTGTCTTCCCATTTCAATTCACCATGGCAGAATCACCAGGCTCCCCCCTCTCCTCCATCGCCTCGGATGACCTGACCGAGGACATCAAGCTGGACAAGGACGAACAGTCCCCATCCGCGTCGAATATGCCCCCTTCCAAGCGTCGTCGCACGGGAACTGCCTCCTGGGACCCCCATACGCCCGACATGATGTCCTCCGTCCACGAGGAGAACCTCCCGACCTCACCCTCGACCTCCATCTCGTCCGATACCTCCGGCGACATCCCCAATTCCCCGAGTCTGGTCGCGCTCATTGGCGGCGGCCAGGACGATGACTACAGCGGCCAGGGCGGCGACCAGGTGTCCGTCTGTCGCTGGGATGGCTGCGAAGCAGGCGATCTGGGCAACATGGACGACCTCGTCGAACACATCCATCGCGACCACATCGGGACTCGACAGAAGAAGTACTCGTGCGAATGGATCGACTGCAGTCGGAAGGGCCAGACGCATGCCAGTGGCTACGCACTGCGAGCACACATGAGAAGCCACACGCGCGAGAAGCCGTTCTATTGCATGCTGCCAGGTAAGTCGTTGGAATATATACAACAGAGCAATCCGCGATTGAGCAATAGCCTCTAACTGGTGCAATGAACTTCTACAGAATGTGATCGGAGCTTCACCCGTTCAGACGCACTCGCAAAACACATGAGGACAGTCCATGAAACCGAGGCCCTTCGACCCTCGGACCCGGTCCCGAAGAATCTGTCCGCCATCAGCTCGACAGCAACCCCCAAAATCCAGCGCATCAAGCTAAAACTGTCCTCTCAGCCCAAGGAGGAAGAAGAGCAGCAGCAGCAGCAGCAGAACGTCAGCGTCAACGTCAACGGCGAAGACGACGGCGTCGAGCCCGAAGACCTAGACACGATCCCCCTGCCCGAGTTCGGCCCCGAGCTCGGGTTCGACGAGCACGAGCTGTCCCTGCCTCCGCAGGAACTGTACCGGCTGCTCCGTCGCCAGATCCACTGGGCAGAACTCGAGATGGCGAAGCTGCGGCAGGAATGGGAGGAAAAGATCGAGCCGCAGCGCTTCGAGGCCTGGCGGGCCAAGGAGGCCATCTTCCGCGACGTGATCGATGCTGAGACGCGTCTGCACAATATCCTCGAGCAGCAGAAACACGGCAACAGCAACAATAACAACAACGCCGCTGCGGCTCCGAACGGACATTCTTCTCAGCAGCAGCAGTACCACCACAACAACAGTGTGGAATCCTCCTCCCACCATGCAGAAGCCGTTTCTACATAGTGTAAAAAAGAAGAGAAGTCCGGAACTCGTTGAATTCTAATTGAATTCTATCTAATACGTAACGCAACGGCACTTCTTATTCATCTATCTATCTCTATTTCTCTCCATTCCATCCATCCATTCCATCCATCATCCATCCATTCATCGCCTTCCTTTACGAGCTAGCAAGGCGTTACGTAACGGTTTGATTTGATTTGATTTGATTTGCTTCTATTTGATTTCATTCGGTATGGTCTGGTTTGTTCTGGTCGTTCTGGTGTGGTATTGGTCTGGTACGCTATGCTATGCTATGGTACGGTTTTAATAAGTATCTCAGGACTCTGTTATTAGGTATCATTATTATTCCTTGCTTTCTTTCTTTGTCTTCTGTTCTCGATCAATAGTTAACTATCCTAGTAGATAGATAGCTAGATGGATGGGTGAATTATGAGGTCCTCCATCGACAGGGAAATTAAGTAGTCAATACGGAGTAGTCAAGTGCACTCTCAGCTGATCTGATATTAGACTGTAAATCACAGCATGCATTTTTGCATTGTATGTAGTGTAGGTAATATCTGACGTACATGTACACATGGACCAAGGCCATCTTTTTGTCTGTTTTTAAAATGTCTCCTCAATGCAAAGCATCTATGTATGTGTCTTCAAAACAAATTCAACGCCAGTTGCAAATGATGTCAAAATCCCCCAACCCCGTTGCCAAACCGTAGATGCTGCATGGTGCCACCACCAAACAAAAACGCCATCTTTACTTACAGGGTAACAAAAAACAAAACAAAAAGGAAAAAACACCGCATGACCCAACCAACTCCTCGAAAGGAGGGGGTTCATGGGAGCATATGAAAATGCTCCTTTTCCTTCGGCCCCCTGCCGATTTACTCCGCAAGACCCAATCATCTCCTAAGAAGAGGTTCAAGGGAATACAATCGACAGGGGGCCGAAGGAAAATGAGCTTTCCCTTGACCCAGCATCCCCTCGAAAGGGGGCGGGTCAAGGGAATAAAGAAAAGAAAAGAAAAATATCAACAAGAAAAAAAATCGTACACCGTACATCATGATGGCAGGCTGCCACAGCCGCCGAACAAAAAAACACATGCCCCTTCCCCCGAACGCCATTGCCATGCAATATGAAACATGTTTTATGTAAACACGCCGTTCAACAAACACCAATGCTTCAAATGCAGGATCAAAAATCGAGAAATTGCAAAAAGTCGACAAAGATGACTCGAACAATATAAAAAGTACAAAATAACATGGTAAAACGACGGGGTGGTGTCGAATTACCAAATAAAAATATCTTCGTGGGCGATTAGGCCCCGTTTGCGGTGGCCTCCTTCGCCGCTGCCTGATCGGCAGCAACGATCTTGTGGTACATTTGCTTCAGCTGGTCCACCCCTGCTTCACGGTTTGGCCAATACCGTTCAGCAATATGACGCCTGATTCATCGGGTTAGCAAGCCTTCGTCGTGTCAATTGATAATCACCGGAAGAAAAAAAAACTCACCAAAGCCGATCTTCCAATCCCTCCACGGTTTGCCCTTCCAAAGTGTTCTTGATAAAATCTCCGATTGTACGAATGAGACTCCGCAACTCCCGAGCGCGAGCTGACTTATCGGGGAAGTTTGCCTTGGTTACCCGAGAAACCTTCTCCAAATCTTGCCGAATGGGCTCAAAGAACAGGTCTTCCATGCCTTCGCTCCCGGAGACACCATTGCTGCTGCTGTGGCGCCGATGAGAATCTTCATGCACTCCATTATTCTGGTTCCGCTTGCGAGCTTTGTCCACGGTCTGTCCCCCCTTTGGTCGGCTGTCAGACTTTGGTGTATTCGCCCGTTCAACACTATCTCGAACTCCGTGGGTCTGAGAGCGCTGACGGGATCTATCTCCTTCACGATGAGGTTTTCGCACATTGGGAGGTGCGGGAGACGCAGACACGCTAGTGCCAGTTTGTTGACGGTTGTGAGCGCTATTCTTCTTGTTGGTGCGGTGATGGTTTTCAACAGCCTTCTTTGCGGTAGCATTTGCTCCCTGTTTGTGCTTTTCCTTCAAGACAGAGATTAGATAGTCGGCACGGCGGACCAGATGGACAGCCCCGGGCGATTTCGCAGTTTTATCGGTCCCGTTCATGCGTTCATTCTTCTTGTCCACCCGATTCTCTTCCAAGAAAAGTTTGTCGCCAAGCGCAAGCTCGGGGTCGTCACGGATTTGTGCCCAAGCCCCATATCCATGTCGAGCTATACCCACACAAAGCATTCCGTCTTCACGTGCGCCCCATGGACACGAATAATCGGCCTTCTTAGAGGCTTCCGGTATACGAAAGCTCTTGGGGTCTGGAACCGACGACACGACCTCTCGAAGCAGACGCATCTCTCCAGGGCGTTCAACAATAGTCCACGCATTGAGTCGCTTGACTCCATGGAGATCAAAGAGGACCGCCTTTTTCTCTTTTTTAGTCGGCGCTTTTCCTTCTTGCTCCATTGCCTCAAGCCTCTCCGTATCTTCCCTCACAAGCTCAGCAGCCTTATCAGTAATCTCCCGGAGAGCAGCCCGGATGGTGTCCTTGTCTCGGCCAACAAGCCGCGCTTCTCGAATCACATCCTCCTCACGATCATCAATATCACCGTATCTCAAAAACGCACGCAATAAGTGACGATATTCCTTCTCATCCAGAGGTCGCTTAGGATCCAGTGCCTCGGCTGAATCGGATGCCTCAGCATCGGCGTTGACCTGTGCTCGGGCCTGACGTTTCGCTTTCCGTTCTTCCCGCTCATCGCGTGCATCGCCTGGAGCGTTGCGTTTCCGGGGTCGATTTTGTTCAATAACTTCCGCGAGATAGCGTTCATCAGCCTTGCGCTTCTCTTCGGCCTTAATCTCTTCAAGTTGTTCTTTGGGAATGATGTCATCCCAGCTTAGATCATCCACCTTGATATCAACAAATTCAAATGCCTTGAGAAACTCTTCACCCCCGTCCGCTTGCAAGCTCTCCGCCTGCTCAGTTTGATGTAGTTCGGCATTGGCCAACACGGAGTCAATATCGAGTTGCTCCAGCTTCTTCTGGTTGCCGGTTTGCTCGAACATCTTCTGGCCACGTCGCTTGAGAATCCGTGATATGTCTTCCGTGCCCGTAGGCTCACCCACAGCGCGGGCCATCTTGCTCTGAAGCTCGGAGGCCTCCTTATCTGTGACACCTCGCTGAATAGTAATGAACTCCAGAAGAAGTTTGTTTCGCGCACGCTCCAGGACTTCTTCTTCGATAGTATCCTTGGAGACAAGACGATAGACGCTCACAGGCTTCGTTTGACCGATACGGTGCGCTCGGGCCATTGCTTGCAAGTCAGCCTGAGGATTCCAATCCGAATCAAACAGAATAACAGTGTCGGCAGTCATAAGGTTGATGCCAAGACCACCAGCTCGGGTGGACAAGATGAATGCAAAGTCGTCACTATCCGGGGCGTTGAAGTGGTCGATTGCGAGACGACGGGGTCCAGCTGCAATGGTGCCGTCGAGCCGTTGATACTGGTAGCCTCGATATTCCATATAGTCTCCGAGGATATCTAGCATCTTAACCATCTGGCTGAAGATCAAGACACGGTGGCCGTCCCGCTTCAATTTAGCGAGGAGCTGGTCGAGGAGCATCATCTTGCCACTGCTTGTAATCAATGCCCTCAAGATGTCTTCGCGACGAGTGCTGCCGTCTAAGAGTTTCGCCTCGGCGTTAGGAAACATGAATGGATGATTGCTAGCCTTTTTCAATTCCATCATGATATTCAGAAGGGATTGTTTCTGGCCTTTGGCCCCTTCGTTCAAGGCTGCGTAATTCTTTGTCAGAATGTTCTTGTAGTATTCGAGCTGGACATCAGAAAGCTCAACACGGATAATCTTCTCCGTCTTCGGAGGCAAGTCAGTCTCCACCTTAGACTTCGTACGACGCAGAATGAAAGGTTGGATAGCCTCCGTGAGTTCGGCGAGTTTTTGAGACGCAGCTTCCGAGTTCAAATCCATGTCGACATCGATGTTGACCAGACCCGGATTCAAAAAGTCCATGAGTGCAGACAGTTCAGCCAAATTGTTCTGAATCGGAGTGCCGGTGATGAGCAGCCGCGCGGGCGCATTGAACTCTAGCAGCTTGGCATAGAGCTGGGATTCACGATTCTTGAGGCGATGTGCTTCATCTACTGCCAAGAATTGCCAAGGTATCTGACTCAGAAACGACGAGTCGAGCAACACATACTCATAGGTGGTGAGTAGAACATTGAACTTGGGCTTACGGGGATTGCCATCAATCAAGAGTTCATACTCTTGGATAATATTCCGAGCCGTTTCATTTCCGTTGTAAACCACGTAGTGCAAATCAGGAGTCCAGTTGTCAAACGTCTCGGCCCAAGAGGGCATAGTAGATAGTGGAACGACGACGACAAAGGGGCCTTCCTGCTTTCGAACGTGGCGAAGCCAGCTGATGAATGCAACAGTCTGAACAGTCTTGCCCAGACCCATTTCGTCGGCGAGAACGACGTTGCGATTGCGAACCCAGTTGAAAGCTAAGAAATTCAGACCCTTCACCTGAAACTCCTTCAATTCGCCGTTATGCAAAAACGAGGGGGTGGATTTCACGGGTTCGAAGCGACTCCTAGTATCTGGGTTCATCTCTTTCTTGTTACAGGTAACTTGACGATTGGCACGGTCAAGGAAACGATCCAGCTGCGGCAAAGCGATCTCCTTGACGAGGGCCTCGCTCTCCCAAGTGCAGGAGTCGTAGAATAAACGCTTCCATTTCACGAAGTACTCCGGGCCATTCTCGCCGTCACGGCGCCCGATAATGCGCTCGACTTTCTTGTAGTCTTCAATCGCCTCAACCTCACGCTCCCGATCAAGATTCCATTTCTCCTTCTCTTCAGGAGGAATATCGGGATCGTTGTTGAGGCGCACCTCTTCGACGACCTTTCGAAAGTAGTTATCGACTCGACGTGTGCTGCGGCAATTTGCCAGGGACTCGGCGGTCTCCCAGGTAGCATGGTAGTGGGACTTGCCCTGCCACTTGATGTAGAACTCACAGTCGTTCCGAGTGACTTGGTCCTTTTTCGGGTCGAAGCCGTCCTTGAAGCGGTGGTTGAGAACAACATCCACCGCAGGACGATCGTCTTCAACCGCATTGACCCAATAATTCGGGGTTAGATCATCAGGATCATCTTCGAACATATCATCATCCGAATCCTCATTATAGCTCGTGACCTTTGTGGCGTTTCTAGTAGAGAATCGGACCTCGGTATGAGGCACCTGCTGATTTGAAGAAGCCTGGAGCTGTCGACGATGTCTGGCCCTGGACGCGCGAGCACGCGGCCCACCGTATTCGTCACTGTCAGATTCAGAGAAGGAAGATTGGGTCACGGAACGAGATGGGCGTTTCGAGGTCTGTTCGGACACGTTACGACGACGACGCTTCGTGCGCGAAGCAACCTCGTCGGATTCGGAATCAGACGAGGAAGATTCAATGATGGGGCGCCGGATAGTTCGAGCGCGAGTGCTTCGACGAAGGCCGTAGAGCTCTGGATTCTGCCGCATGAACTCCATCTCGTCCACCATGGGCGATTTACGCTTCATTCCACGGCCAGAAGCGGGAGAAGCGGCGTTATCAGAAGTGGATGGGCGAGTACTGTCACGTTGGTTCGTGTCCATTCCCGATTCTCTAACGCTATCACCAGAGTTGGAGACCCCGGTTCCGGAAGAGTCTGGGCGGGCAACATCGTCACCGGCGGACTCGGCGACGGCATTGGGCTCGGAAGAATCAGACAGTTCGCTGTCAACATCGGTCATGACGACATCTTCTTGATCACTTGAATTGTCCGGGGACGACACGTGAGAGTATCCATTCGGCAATGGCGTCACCGAGGACGGTTCGGAGGCAGGAGGGACCACCATGCTAGAGGCTGTGACAGGAACGAGTCAGCATTGCCAGTCCAAGAAGGCCAGGACAGCAGAAAATTTGATGGGGATAGGTAGAGGGAAGATGTGCGACCGAAAAAACAGCTAAAACAGGAGGAGAATTGGCAGTACAGAAAGGCCAGGACAGCAGGTCTGATGGAAGGTCCTTGTTGGATGAAACTTTGATGAGAAGGACGGAGCTTGATGATGGCAGGACGAGTACCACGCAAGACAGGGCAGCAGAAGGCAAATGAAGACGTCAGATGGAAAAGAGAGACGCAATACAATCTCCAACAATATTCCGCTAACTCTCGGAGCAAGAGAGAGGATGACGTTTTGGAGGTGCTGGGTGGGTCGACATCGGGGAAGAGGTACCCCAGCCGAGCCCAGGACGCGTCTCAAAAATCAACAGTACAAAAGCAAAAACCGCTTACAGTCCATAGCGTGGTGACCCCGAAACGGGGATTTATGGAGCGTCGCAATGCGAGCAATGAGAAGGAAAAAAGAAGGTGGGTGTTGGGAGGGATGGTGGGAGTGCGGAGGGAGGAATGGAGATCGCGAGGGTGAGAGCGAGAAACGAAGGAAGTCGACTGTTAGGCGGGTGTGGGTGGTGGTTGTCGAGCAGCGAGTCAAGAGCAGAGATTCGAGCTGGGCGGTGCCGCGGGTGTGGGAGCCGTCGCTGCCTGAGGCTGCAACAGGCCATTCACTGGCTGCGCGGCAGTCACCGCACGCCAGCAGGCCGCGAGCCAATGAGAATCCCGCGTCGCGTGGCTCCCGCCGCATCTATACCAATTTCAGTATAGTGCGGTGCAGTTATGGCGGTGAAGGTGGCTTTGTGCATCACGTGCAGGCACTGCCTGCAATCGATCATTCACTGCGCCTGCCGTCGCCTGTTTGCATAGTTTGCTAGCCAATCAGAGGCCAGCCGTTCTTGATTGTTTTTCGCTGCCTGGGGCATCCACGAGCAGCCACTGACCGCGGGCGGGCAGCTCCACCATCCCACAACACGGCCAGTTTTTGCAGCGTGTTGCCCCTCCTGCTCCCCTCGACGGCTTCAACCATCCTTGTTGACTGGCACTCGTCAAACTGTGCCCGGTGCGGAAACCTCGTTCTTTCTTCTGCCTGCATAGTTGTGGCGGTGACCTCATATTTCTCAGTGAAAGATCTTCCTCTGACGTAACTTGAGATTTTTTTTGGTATCGTTCCCGTTAGATATATTTCAGCAGTGTGTGCATCGATCTAACAAGTTGCAAGAGCAGCCAACGTCCATTATGTCCGACAAACTTACCAGGTAAACAGCCTCAAAGCAAAGTCTCAAAAGTATTAAAAGACTGACTATCCATGTGCATAGAGTTGCTATTGTCAATAGCGACAAGGTCAGCTTGCGATACCTATACCCCACCTCAGCCCCTCGCCACGAATTTACCCAGTGCTAACCGGAGTTCTCTTTTCTATCTACAGTGCAAACCTAAGGTACGATTGGATCTGGAATACGAAATTCAAAAAGAGGGGAAAAAATAAATACTAATGGTCCTTAGAAATGTCGGCAAGAATGCAAGAAGTCTTGCCCCGTGGTCCGCACAGGCAAGCTGTGCATTGAGGTCACCCCCGATTCCAAGATCGCCTTCATCTCGGAGCGTCTCTGCATTGGATGTGGTATCTGTCCGAAGAAATGCCCTTTCGGCGCCATTCACATCATCAACCTGCCCACCAACCTAGACACGCAGGTGACCCATCGCTACTCGGCCAACAGTTTCAAGCTCCACCGCCTGCCCATGCCGCGTCCTGGCCAGGTCCTTGGTCTCGTGGGAACAAACGGTATTGGGAAGAGTACTGCGCTGAAGATCCTGAGTGGTAAACTGAAGCCCAACTTGGGACGATATGATGACCCGCCCGACTGGGAGGAGATTCTCAAGTATTTCCGTGGTTCCGAGTTGCAGAGTGCGTTTTCCTCTCGTAGACAATGCCTGATGTCCCGATACTGACTGTATCCAGACTACTTCACAAAGGTGCTGGAGGATGACCTGAAAGCGGTTGTCAAGCCACAATACGTCGACCAGATCCCCAAGGCCGTGAAGGGACCAGTGAAGAATGTTGGTGCTCTCATCGAGGCGCGTGCCCAGATGGACAACATGGATCATGTGATGGATGTTCTTGGTATGCGATGCCTTCATTTGTGGATTCCCCGGGATGATCCAGCGCTTACGGGGAAATAGAACTGAAGCAGGTTGCGGATCGTGACATTGGTCTTCTCTCTGGAGGAGAACTCCAACGTTTCGCCATTGGTCTTGTGTGTGTGCAGCAGGCTGACGTGTAAGTATCCCCTGTACCGTCTAAGCCGCCGCTTTAGATGTTAACGATTCCCTAGCTACATGTTCGATGAGCCGTCTTCTTATCTTGATGTCAAGCAACGTCTTAGCGCAGCCCGTACGATTCGAGAATTGCTGCGCCCCGATGACTACGTGATCGTCGTCGAGCACGACTTGTCCGTCCTGGATTATCTGTCTGATTTCATCTGCGTGCTCTATGGCAAGCCGGCTGTATACGGAGTCGTCACTCTTCCCGCCTCCGTTCGTGAGGGTATCAACATCTTCCTCGACGGCCATATCCCCACGGAAAACCTGCGTTTCAGAGAGGAGTCTCTCACTTTCCGTATTGCAGAAGCTGGGGATGAATTTATGGTCGACAAGGGCCGTGCATTCAGCTACCCCGCCATGGAGAAGACTTTGGGCAACTTCCATCTCAAGATCGATGCTGGAAAGTTCACCGATTCGGAGATTATCGTCATGATGGGAGAGAATGGAACGGGCAAAACGACCTTCTGTAAGCTGCTTGCCGGTGCAGAGAAACCCGACGGCAATGTCTTTGTTCCCCGCTTGAACATCAGCATGAAGCCCCAGAAGATCACGCCCAAGTTCCAGGGAACGGTGCGCCAGCTGTTCTTCAAGCGTATCAAGGCCGCCTTCCTCAATCCGCAGTTCCAGACAGATGTGTACAAGCCTCTCAAGATCGATGACTTCATTGACCAGGAGGTTCAGAACCTGTCTGGTGGTGAATTGCAGCGTGTCGCCATTGTCCTGGCTCTGGGTATTCCGGCGGATATCTACTTGATCGATGAACCTAGCGCTTATCTCGACTCTGAGCAGCGTATTGTCGCGGCTCGAGTGATCAAGCGGTTCATCATGCACACGAAGAAGACGGCGTTTATCGTCGAGCACGACTTCATCATGGCAACGTACCTGGCTGATCGAGTCATTGTGTTTGACGGCAAACCGTCCGTTGATGCTCACGCCAACGCGCCTGAGTCCCTCCTTACGGGTTGTAACAAGTTCCTTCAGAACTTGGACGTGACGTTCCGCCGTGACCCCAACAGCTACCGGCCTCGTATCAACAAGTACCAGAGTCAGCTGGACCAGGAACAGAAGTTGAGCGGGAACTACGTACGTTCTTCTCCCTTTTATTTTGCTGATCTGAACTTCTCATGCTACGAAACAACACCCACTGTATTCTGTTTTTGGAAAATGCTGACTGATTCCCCAAACAGTTCTTCCTGGAAGAAGAGAGTTGAAAAGGGCGTCCTACACAGGTATCATCGCGGTCCTCACTGGGATGATGGACGCGACTCGTACAATCGGCGCCACGGGTATCGGGGTACAAAACACGGCGTTCGGTTCCTAGCATTTTCCGGCGTTGGCAGGCGATCGGGGTGCCGGTCAGGGAGGCGTCGTCACCTTGTCGGCCTGCCCGATGATGAGGCCGGGGGTGGCGAGGATGACGATGAGGATGACATCTTTGGCAAGGACAATGGCAGACGGCGTGTCACCATTTCCCGATGTCGACCATCTGTCGTCGTTGATGTACTACATGGTGCATCACGCCCCTGCTACCCTTGGCCAATCAGGAGGTCGGACAAAAGGAAAAGGTTTTGGGTCCTTTTTGCAATTCCTTGGACGTCCCTGGGATGAGATAGCGCCATCTGTCATTGTTTCTACGCTACATCATAACCAGTAGGTTCAAAAATTTGGGAGTTATTTTTCAAGGTCATGTGGACTCCAGATATCCAGCGCGCCATACGTATGTACTGTACGATATGGCCGATTCGTCAAGTGAACAAACATCAATCGATTGATTTTCGACAAACTTGTTCGCTTTGCAGGAAACATGTGGATTCAAGGCCGTCAGCTTGTTATCCTTGAGGATAGCAAGCCAGTCCTTGATAGCCATTTCCCCCGCCTTCTTCTTTCTCTGTGCATTTTCGTTTCCCACCCAAGTTACCTATTATTAACATTATTACCCAACTGGTTAACTATGCTAGGTAGTTAGTCTCCTAAACGCTCGTTTCACGCAGTAAAGGGTCTTCTTCCAGTCCAAGACAAAAAAAATCTGATTAAACTTCCTATTCTTTTTTATAAATCTTGTTGATTTGAATGTGCTGTCCATGTAAAGCGGCGATAAGACGACGCCACAACCAGCATTGCGAGTGTCCTCATAGGAAGAATGGTGGTGGTAATTAATTTATATACTTGTAATAAAATGATCCGCTTGACGTTCGAGTAGACTGTATGTTGTATAGTACCTACATAGCTATCTATCTATCTGTTTATATATCCAGATAAGCCTTTAACGACCCGCTTCGCTCGTCTAGGCTTGTATCCACATACCGATCTTGCCGGACCTGGGATCTGATCTTCTTCTGCACTCATGGCCCCATTTGTGGATTAATAATAGTTGATTTGCCTTTGCTCGAGGATTTAAATAGATGTGTTTTTTGTATGTCTTATAAGCCAAGATGTGTGTGTGGGTGGGTTGGCCGAGAAGAATTAAAAAAATAGATGTATACTACATAGAGTAGTAGTAGTCACGCTACGAATAATTATTTAGGAGTCAATTTTCCTTCAAAGGCACCTAGTCGGTTAATGACTACACTGTAGATAGGTACTGCATTCAGCAGATCCTAAAGGCCTTGGTGAGGAGTCGTATCCGATTATCTTTCACCAACCAATTTGGCCTCATTTTATACAAAACTACAGTGGCTACATCATTTCTTGCCCTGGCTTGCTAAGAAGAAGATCCAGACGAGCACACGAGAAAAGAGGTTTATATTACAAGTTGATTTCGCTTCTTGAAAGACACAACACCGGGAGTAAGTACTTACAAATACTACTATGCCGGCTGCAAGTAGACTGCTTCGGCACACATCTCTGCCTTCCCCCCCCCCCATTTAGTCCTCTTCGATCTCTCCCTCCTCGCTTCCTGAATGGACCGCCTTTTCTTCCTTCTTGGCCTCGGCCTCCGCCACTGGGGTGAGCTCTCTGTCTCGAGAGCGCCGGTCCCGATCTCTCCGGCTACGATCCCTCGATCGATCCCTCTCCCGGTCATCGCGTCTGTACCTCTTGGCACCGCGGCTGGCGACGCTCTCCGTGTCGCTGTCCCGCCTACGACGACGATCGCTACTTACCGTGCTGCGAGTGTCAGCTCCATAATCTAACTCATCACGGCTTCCGCGCGGATCTGCACGGGTGCGGTAGAGTCGTTCCCGTTCCTCCTCCCGCTCACGGCGTTCACGCTCGTAATGACTGAGGGCGCGTCGCTCGCGATCCCGCTCACGTTCGCGGTCCCGGTCCCTGTCACGGAGGCGATCGCGATCACGGTCCCGGTCGCGGTCGTCTCTTCGGTCACGAATGGGAGAAAGACCGCTGGCTTTCCTGTAAGATCTCTCCCGATCTGCCTGGGCTTTCCGGCGATCCGCTTCATAAGGATCGGGTTCGGGGGTGCGACTGAGACGCGAAGGCAATCTTCGCTCTCCCCGATAGGACTGACTAGTACGATAGTCGCGTTCGCGATCATAATAGTCGCCGCGGCGAGCACGGTCCCGTTCGCGTAGCTCACGTTCTCTCTCCATGTCTTCTTCCTTCTCCTTCAGACGGCGTATGACTTTTTCAAAGGCACTCTGGCGGAGCTCATCAGATTCCAAAGCTTTATATTCTTCGAACTTTTCAATTCTGGGTCGAACTTGTTCCCATGTATCAGTGGGTCGCAATGGTGGATCAAGGTGCTTGATACGGGAACGTAAGGCGTCTACAGCGCGGCGTTGATGGCGATCAGCCGCATGCTTCTCATCCTCGCTACGCCGCAGCACCTTCTCCTGAATACGCTGAAAGATCAGTTGAAGAGTTTCTGAATCAATGTTTGCTGTACGGCGGTCAGTGGCCATCACAGACGTGAACTCTTCGAATGTAGTCTTCGGGGTTATCTCATAGCGTTTGTCCTGTACGTTGAGGTCAGCCTTGTGCGAATTAATTAAGACTGATATTATTAAGAGATAACTCACATCAAGAACATCCAGGACATCATTTCGCGGTCCTCGCAGCGATCGTTCTTCTTCTTCGACCATGTCCCAAAATAGATCCAAAGGAGTCGAACCAGGTTGACCCAGCATTGCTACATACCGAGGGTCATCTTTGATCAGAGGATAGATATTCATCCACTTGCTTCCGGCTTTGATCTTGCCTTGCGACCGAAGCTCTTTCAGGAGCTCGATAAACTGTTCACGGTTATGGCGTTCCCTTCGCGCCTTGGCAGCCTTTTGCTGTTGGCGTGCGTCATTGAAGGCCCGCTCAAGGGACTTGATATGATTCTCGAAAGCGGTCAGAATATCTGATTTGCTCAGGGTCTTGAACTTATCGTCGTTTTTAATCCTCTCGTTGGACTCTAGGACCCCCTGCACCTCAGACCACCGGGTGTATGGCTCCAGATTCATTGCCTTCAATATTGTCACTAGTTCGTCCATTGCGGCCTTTCGAGTCATGGCTTCCTGTTCGATATGGGCCTTTTTAAGCTCCATGATATACTCCTCAAAAAGCTGTCGCCGCTCATTCTCATCATTGGTGGACCTAAATATTGTCTCACCTTCAATGATAGGTCGGATAGTCTTCCAACGGCTGTAGTGTTTAATTTCAGGATGGCTCTTCAACATGGTATTGAAATCTGCGCGGAGTTTAGCGTATCTTTCTTTCGCTCGATCCCGTTCCTGCATCCGGACCTCAGCCGCGTATTTCTCAAAGGCAGCTTTGCGGTCCTTGGGGTCTTTCAGAGCACGATACTGTGGGTCCTTAATGGTCGCGCGCATTGCCTGTTCCCAAGTCCAATCGGGCTGGACATTGTAGCGTCGCAACATCTTCATAAATGCGTTCTCCGCTTCTTCAAACGTACTATACTCTGGTTCAGTCTGCTGGGTAGGAGCAGCAGCAGCAGCCGCCGCGGCGGATGCAGCTACTACGCCATTTGCATCGTAGCCACCGCGTCGATCAGCCGCAGTTCGGTCGTGTTCCTCGCGATCGCGTTGCTGCTGCTGCGGATAAGGGGAGAAGGTGCTGGTTCCACCGGCAACAAACGTGGGGGCGCTGCGACACAGTCAGATTCGAAAGCATAATAGGTGTTTATATTCTTACCCTGCGGCGGGTCCTGAATGTGCTTGAGCCTGTGAAAGTGCAGTCTTGTAAACTTCAGGCATCTCCCAAGTGCTCTGCTTGGTTTCTGTGTTGTACCAATACTTCCGACCACCTTCCGCGGTATACTCCTTCCATGGCTGGTTTGCTAATGCGCGCTTCAAGTGACAGATGTCAGCAAATCGAGACGCAGACTGAACGACTGCCAGAGAAACAAACCTCAACTGGGGTCATCAACTCGAAAGGCTTCTGCCACTGCGTTTGTTTCGTCTGCACATTGTAGTAGTACACCCTTCCATCAGCATTCCGAGCCTCCTGCCAGAGGCTCGGAGCGCCGGGCATCCCATTCATCGGATTCATTGCAAATACCCGTGGTGTGTAGTTGTATGATGCGGTATGAACCAGAAGCTCCGCGAAAGACTGCGGACTTCATGAAAGATGCTTGGCGACACACTAGCCGCAGCCGCGAAGGCGGTAGAGCCTGTTTGTCGCTGTTTGCACCTGCTCCAGATGACAAGCTCCAACAGTCCGTGTCCTTCAATTAATACTGTTATTGTACGTTTTTTAAATTTGAAATCTCGGTCTTCTGCTGACTTTCTTTTATTTACGGACTGTAACTGAGCATGAAATTCACAGTTTGACTATGCCTGGTCCTAGCCTGCATGGGGAGTTTCTGAGACACGCAGTCCTTGATACTGTCGTCCCTCACGCCTCCGATGTCGATATTGAGGCGGCGCTGACATCCTCGCTAGAAGGAGGAGCAGGAGATCTGACTTCTGTTCTGTCCTCGATACCACAGCGGTCATTGCTTTTCTTCGGTAGGCCGACAATCCCACCCTGGATGGAACACACATCCCCTTACTCATTCAAAGTCGTACAGATGAGACTGTCACAGTGCGCATCGTCTTGAGGCTGTCGAACTGCTCCGAAGATGCGTTGAAGGCTCACCTTCCCCGGCTCGACGTTAGGCTTGATGCCTTTGTAATCAATCCTTCTGACCCAGGCACGGAAGGATCGACACCAACAAAGGACTTGATTTTCTCAGGGACTGTAAATGAAAAGGAGGATCCGCTAGTTGTCGTGAACGTTTTCGAAGGAGATGAGGGGAGCGGAAATCACGTTTACGTTACATGGAAGATCCAGGCTTTCCTCAGTAAGTTACTGGAGAAGTCCTGCTTGTCATCACGGGCGCTTACGAGATGCAGATCGGCCTCGTGTTCGTATTCAACATCCATGTGTGATCTTCTCTGCTTCTGCGACGTTAAATCCGCCCGAAAGAGCAGAGCAAGCATCTCAGTCCGATGAGTACCTTCCGAGCCTTATTCCCGCGTCGTCCAATGTTCTAGAGGCTCTATCAGCAGATCCGCTGCTGAGGTCTGCGAATCCGTTTCTCCCGGCATCTAGGCTGCTGCGCGTTGTTCCCGCTACTCAGACAGAAGACCCCATATACAATATATGGCAACAGGCACAGCATCCAATCCGTATCGTCCCAGCTGCAAATGCAAGAATCCGTTGCTCGCGACTAAATACATTTTCAAGCTGGCCGACAACTATTGCCAGCCTCGATTTCGAAGTGACACCCTTTCTGAATTGTGATGTTGTATTTGACAAAGCAGAGCTTGCGCTATCTGATGGGCATGTTGAGAATCTATCAAACGTTCCGGAACTTAAACCCCCGATCACCTGTCGCCCTCGAGATGATGTTACCTTGGTCTATAAGCTGATTCCTGAATACGGGCCTGAATCGAATCCTTCGACCACTGCGATGGTTAGCACGCTAGACATATCCCTCGAAGCGGTGATACAGGTGTCCGACGATTGTAAGCCTCGCATTTCAATGCAGTGGCGAACAAATGTTGATTTCTCCATGCCTCTGAATCCGACATTTGGTGGCCCCAGTCAAGTCTTGCAGCGGAATAACCGCCCCTCCAGTCTGTCAATGACTTCCGGCCAGGGTGGGACCTCTTCCGGCGTTCCTCCGTTGAAGCGGAGTTCTTTTCGGGAGAGAGCGCATTCCATCACTCAATCTGGGGTGACCATCTCTTTTTCTGGTCCCGTGGATGTCGAAGTCAGCAAGCCATTTCGTTGGGACGTCTTTATCGTCAATCGTTCCATGACCCCCCGGAAGTTCGCAATGATCGCAATTCCCCGGAGGAAGCGGGTAGATCCACGCAAGCATGTGGCTCGGCCTTCCTCGTCATCTACCTCCAGCCGAAAGGAGGAACAACTAGCGGAGGCAGTCACTGATGAGAGTATCATCCATGCGATGCAAAAGAATGCGGCTGGGCAAGATGCGGACTTGATCTCCCTGAGCACCGATATCAGAGTTGGGTATGTGCTCTTTACTCGTTTGGTCTGAATGTTCGTAGCTGACAAATTCTCTAGTCCTCTACTCCCCGGCACCTGTCATTCCACGGAGTTGGTTCTCCTTCCCTTGACCACCGGTTCACTTCACCTCGAAGCCGTTAGGCTTGTGGATTTGAACACCAATGAAACGACCGATATCAGAGATCTCCCAGACATCGTGGTCTCTGAAAGGAGGCTTTCGTGATAGGTATACAACAACCATGCTGTAGAGCTGCAGGCGGCGGGACCGTGTTTGATACCCTGATTCAATAGAAATCTTGCCAACATCGTGTAACAGCATCAAAGATACCGGATGTAGAGTATCTATTTTAAAGCGCCTGTTATTAATATATGCCTTAGAGCTGGGCCATGACTTCAATATAGAGGACACAGGTAGCCAATGGCTGGCCAGAACCCGTTGCGATAACGCCAAGACCTGGCAGCAGCCTCACATGGCCCATGGCCGGCGCCTCCGCCTGCAGCGCTGCGAGCCGCCCGCTCGCTGATGCCTGTCGACCACAGTCCCCATCGGCCTACAAAGCCTCCTTCATCCCTCTCCATCGCCCACGTCGCGGAAAAAACGTCAAATATCTATCCTCAAGCCGAGAGTTCACGTTGTGACGCGAAACGATCGGTCTTGACCTCCATACGAGGCCGCCTCCCCTGTTTGCCGGCCTTTTTCTCCTTTGCGTCATACTGAGGTTCCGCCAGCCCATTCGTTATCCGACCGGCGGTTCTACCCTTCTTCGATCCTGTTCTATCACAGCCAGTACCTGTTCCCCTTTTTGTGATCTCACAATGTTCGACACAACTCGTCGGAGAATTCTAGATGGCTTGAACCGGAGGTACATCTACGGTCGCCTGGTAAGTGATCGCGCAAGGGCTGAGGCTGTTCAACGTCTTTATCATGAGAACAGCCACACTGACTTCAATCCCTTTCTATTTATAGCCGTTACTTCATACTATCGTCCTCCTCGTCGAGATGGCTGTGACGATGAGACTGGCCTCCAAGTTCAACTCCTACTATGCGGAGAAGCCAGGTGAGATTTCATAGCTGTCCTAGAGAGCAAACCCCTTGCCAAATCGCCCAGCTGACGTCTGCTTTGTTTCATAGTCCTGACGACGATGGTCACCAATGCTGTAAGTCGCGCTTCGCTATTGATAAGGCTTATCAATCCGGACGATGTATCCAGATTAACAAGGGACGAAACAACTAGGTCCTAGGTGGCATTGCTGATACGGTGGCACAAACGATCACTGCCTTCAAGGCTCGGCGATCACAGCGATCCCAACGATCCGGCAACGACTTTATTTCTATTGAGATCCATGAGCTAGACAAAGAGAAGCCTCCGGCATTAGGAGAGCTGGGATATGCAAAGAAGCGTCCTCCTCCCTTCGATTTTGAACGACTTACTCGGTTCATGGCGTATGGTTTCTTCATGGCCCCAATCCAGTTCCAATGGTTCAAATTTTTGTCACGTGCCTTTCCGATCACGAAGAGGTCAGCGACGGTGCCTGCACTGAAGAGAGTTGCTGCCGATCAACTGATGTTTGCGCCCATCGGTACTGCTCCCGAGTCCCGACCCTTGACTGCCTTAATTTCATGCTGACCATCATAGGTTTGGTCTGCTTTTTCACTTTCATGACTATTGCGGAAGGAGGAGGTCGAAGAGCGCTGCTCCGCAAATTCCAGGACGTCTATCTCCCGACTCTCAAAGCCAACTTCATCCTGTGGCCTGCCGTGCAGATCCTTAACTTCCGGGTGGTGCCCATCCAGTTCCAGATTGTGAGTTTTCTCCTCTCGACCTTGTGGGTACTAATCCGTGACTGACATCTCAATAGCCTTTTGTCTCTACTGTAGGAATTGCCTGGACGGCCTATCTCTCACTGACCAATTCCTCCGAAGATGAGTAGGGGAATACTTGTGATGACCATTGTACAGCACAACGTGAAAAAAACTATTTTCCTTATTCCTCTCTTCCGTTCGGCGTCTGAGTTCTCGGCATTGCTTTTTACTTTTTAGGGGATATCTTCGAATCTGGGCGTTTGGACAAGTACAACGATTCTGTTCTCTCAATAGCCGATGCATGCCAGTGTCGGCCGGTATGGTGCACTTTTGGGGGGACTGGGTGGTCAAGTACCAATCATTCGTTTTTTTTATCGAGGCGTTAAATGTATGTACAAAATGGTTGCTATCTATCGCGATGATTTCTGCAATACAGGAAACCATGGATGCTCTCAGCAGTCCCGCAGTCGGATATCACAACCGAACATCGGGGGAACGCAAGTCAGATCAGGTTTGCCTCGGTTTTGACCCGTAGCCGCTCCTTTTTGGAGAATCTCCTTGGCGAGTAGAGGTACTAGATTGTATGATGTGCGCGCGATTCCCAGCGCCCGGTCCGTTCCGTAGGGATCGGGCAATCGTGAGTTCCGTCGCCGCGTCCCCTGATCCTGGCGGCGCGTCGTTGACATCAGTCCCGCATCAGCCCGATTTGGGACGGCAACATCCCACCTCTTCACCGACGCCGCACCAGGAAATCCTACCCCGCCGCCCAGCGTCACTTCCAGCCAGAAAATAATATATGAGACGCATCTGCGTCCCCTGACCAGCTGCTGTCTGCCTTTCTCGTGTTGCAGCGCCCTCTTCTAGGTAAAAACCCAACCCGTGCTTTCAATTCCTTGTCTGCGTTGCTGATTGACGACCGCAGCCTTACATCGTCACTTTAGCGCCCTCCGGCATTGCCATAATGTCTCTCGCTAACAAGCTCGCCATCACAGACGTCGACCTCAAGGACAAGCGCGTCCTGATCCGGGTAAGTAGATAGCAGTGATGGCCCTTCGCCTTGCTTCTATGAGTGCAGCTGCTGATGCACTACTCGCAACAGGTCGACTTCAACGTCCCTCTCGATGCAGACAAGAAGATCACCAACAACCAGCGCATTGTTGGTGCTTTGCCCACCATCAAGTATGCCCTTGACCAAGGTGCCAAGGCGGTCATCCTGATGTCCCACCTGGGCCGTCCCGATGGCAAGCCCAACCCCAAATACAGCCTGCAGCCCGTCGTCCCGGAACTGGAGAGGTTGCTCGGCCGCAGTGTGATCTTCACCAACGACTGCGTGGGCAAGGAGGTCGAGGAGACCGTCAACAAGGCCTCCGGCGGCCAGGTCATCCTGCTGGAGAACTTGCGGTTCCATCCCGAAGAGGAAGGCAGCTACAAGGATGAGGAGGGCAAGAAGGTCAAGGCCGACAAGGAGAAAGTTGCAGAGTTCCGTAAGGGATTGACTGCGTTGGGAGATGTCTACATCAGTAAGTCATCCCTCGCTGTTGACCGTGCGCTTCCGTGCTTCGTTGGATACAGCAGCGGCTGACCCCATCTTTTCTTTCAGACGACGCATTCGGTACCGCCCACCGCGCTCACAGCTCCATGGTCGGAGTGGAACTGCCTCAAAAGGCATCTGGTTTCCTTGTCAAGAAGGAGCTGGACTACTTTGCCCAGGCATTGGAGAACCCGCAGAGACCATTCTTGGCCATCCTGGGAGGAGCCAAGGTCTCCGACAAGATCCAGCTCATTGACAACCTGCTTTCTAAGGTGAACAGCCTGATCATCACCGGTGCGATGGCCTTCACTTTCAAGAAGACTCTCGAGAATGTGAAGATTGGAAACAGCCTGTTCGATGAAGCCGGCAGCAAGATCGTTGCAGACATCATCGAGAAGGCCAAGAAGAACAACGTCCAGGTCATCCTGCCGGTCGACTACGTCACCGCGGACAAGTTCGCCGCCGACGCCAACACCGGCTATGCCACTGACGCGGATGGCATTCCGGACGGCTGGCTGGGTCTGGATGTCGGCGAGAAGAGTGTGGAGCTGTACAAGAAGGCGATCTCCGAGGCGAAGACCATCATCTGGAACGGTCCCCCTGGTGTCTTCGAGCTGGAGCCTTTCGCTAAGGGTACGAAGGCCACTCTGGACGCCGCCGTTGCGGCCGCGCAGGCTGGCACTATCGTGATCGTTGGAGGCGGTGACACCGCGACTGTTGCGGCCAAGTATGGCGCCGAGGACAAGCTGAGCCATGTGTCGACTGGCGGTGGTGCCTCTCTGGAGCTGCTGGAGGGCAAGGAACTGCCTGGTGTGGTTGCTCTGTCAAGTAAGTAAGCAAATATATTTCTTCAGAAGGTGGTCATCAAAGATATGTAATGTACGTTTGTTATACGGGTTCATCCGACGCACCCTATCCTACCTACCTAATTGCGGCACCAGATATATCTGGGAGACCCTGGAAGAAAAGTCGAGGATAGCAACGAAATCTACCTACCAACCTACCTAACCTAATGATGTGTTCTGGTCATTGTCAGTGTGATATTCGTTGCCCTCTACTTGTATGTACTGTTAATCTAAAAGAAAAAAATCATAGAAGAGAAAAAATTCCTAAATAATTTCCCCCAAATTTTGTTTTTGTTTTCTTCTTTCGATATTTATTTTTCTCAAGTCCTTTTTTTGAATGTATTCTGACGATATTAATGGGGTTTTCTGTTGAAATCGACAGAGAAGAAAGGCTCGTCAAACCTCTAAGACCACCTACCTCCTAGCAGCCAGCCATTGGTACCTACTCCGTAAGTTAGGTATATTTAAGTTTCTACCTAGGTATGGATTATAGATTATATACCAAAGGTTTGTGTATGTACGTGACGGCCTCTGTTCCTGATCGTTCTGGTCTGATTGACTGTGCCCCTCTTCTTCTTCAGTTCAGAGATATTATTACTGATTGCTGTCGATATTATTTCTTCATTCTTCTATTGTTAGGTTTGCAAATAATGATAACTTCAACAAAGGGAAAAACGTAATTGTAGTGTAGTTAGAAAACTGGTATATCCCCGCTTGTTGGTTTTGTTAGTATACTTCATAATTCAAATGTCTGCGAAACAACCCATTTTTGTTGCCGTTCCGTCGTTACTTTCTTTGCAATTAACATTGGCCTTTTCTTTGTTTTCCTTTTTTTGGTCGTGATCTGTCTCTGTGTGCCTTCTTTCCACTAGGTAGCCAAGAGCATCAATCATCGCCATATATTCATTCGGCCCCGCCCCTCTGCCTACACGGAGATCACCGTCGTCGATATGTCGTCCGCTGTCGTCCGCTGTCGTCATCTATTTGGAAGCTTCGACCTTCTTTATTTCTTCCCTGTAAAGGAGGTCAGTCAGGAAATGTCAGGACATAGATATAGGTTTCAAGCCGTGGTAGAGGGTAGAGAAAGAGACCATGCCCCAGATACCAGGGGTAAGGAGACGCACCTCAGTTGTTTGGAGAAGTCTTCACTCGCGTCGTCATCATCCCAGCTCTCCTCCCACAGGTGAACGTTACCGCCGTTGGCTGAACTAGACCCCTGCTCGGTCTCCTCTTGTGGCCAGTCTGCATCCATGCGATGGAGTGGTTAGCACAAGAACACCCATAGAGTCGCTTCTCATATCAAACAAGACTTTCGAGGGTTCACATTGATCCGGGAGAATAGAAGAGTGGTAAGTGGGGTGGTAATTGTGGTGATAAGAAGAGCTCGTAGGAAAAGTATTTCCTGTGGCAACAGCTGCAGGCGGAGTCGACTGCACTCACCCTCAACGGGGAAATCTTCAAACTCATCATCCTCCTCGAGCACGGCAGGTTTCTGCTGCTGAGGCTGTTGCGGAGTCTCTGTTGAACTCGACATGGCGCGGCAAGGTCGATGTGCGATGTGCGCGAGATGTGTGCGGTATGACAGGTGGGGGTATTAAGGCAATGCAAGACAAGCAAGTATCCGAGGTCGCAGCTGGACGATCTAGGCACAAGAGAGGATCTGCTGTTTCTGCCTGTGTCCTGTGTGGTGATCTGCCAGTTAGATGACGAACAGTCGCGATCACGGCCAAGGTAATGTAACTGCGGAGGTTAGCTAGGAAGCTCAGGTGTTCCTCTATGGCGGAGGCGGTAAGGCTAGGAGGAGCGTTAGTCGCCTTCACTAAGGTTCCTGGATAATCAGATAGCGGCTGCCTGCCGCTTCTGGGTAGCTAGCTAGCAAAGGATCCTGGATTGGCTTAGAAATTCGAGGCATGCTTAATTCCCAGGCATGGTTGTACTCTTGCACCCTGACTTTCGGCAGTCCGCCTTGGCTCGTTGTCCCAAGTGAGCCTTGTTTGTATTTACGGTACACCACGGAGTTGCCGGAGAGGCTGTGTCCGGCAAAGACCCGGAGTCTTTGTCCATCGTCATTCTGACCCTTTTGACCCCAGCCCCGTCCGGCGTCAAGGGTGCTTTGAACAGCTAGCTTATCATTATTGTGTGCGGCTGGAATCTGCCCCGCCAATTCACCCAGATCTCAGTGCGATTGATAACTTACTCAGGTACATATCTACCTACTGACTCAGGCTAGTTATCGCTCATCTATCTCGTGCTCTCTTCCCCACGCAACGACTATCGCTTTACTGCTCCTGTCAAGCTTCCAATTCTTCGAGGGTCATGGCATTCGGGACGAACTGACCGTTTCTATTTTCTCCTGTTCAGAGGAGACTTCATCTGGCTCTTTTTATTTTCTCCTACCCTTTCCATTTCCGTCCTATCTCATCATTGATCTCACCATCCGCATATTCCGTTGAAAAGTGAAGAGCTTCTCTGAGCGGTAGAGCTTACCCTTTTCTTTTCTTTCTTTTTTTTCTTTTACACTATTCTTTCCTCTTTTGTCTGTATGAAACTTGGTTCATGCCCTCGGTTTCCAGTTTAAGCCAATATGTTCCGAGTTGGATCCTGGCTGTATAACCGCAAGCCAGGCGCCAATGCGTCCACCCAGTCCCTCGACTCGCTGTCTGAGTCACATGATCGTAAGTCAGATGGCCAATTCATGAGTTGGAAGCAAGATTGTGCTAATTCCATATGTATAGTTGAGCATGCTCTCAGAGGTATGTGTGGAAGATCGAGATGCTCAGTCGGAGCTGTGACCAGAGCAATGGCTGATATAATGGCACTACAGCTGCCACTTTGATCCTAAATGATGATGTCGATGGCGCTGAAGCAGGTCTCAGCAAAGGAAACTCGACTTTCCACAAGGTGTGTGCTTTTGATTTATTGGCTGTGTCTGCTTATCTTCCGACAAAGACCATGTTGCCGGGAACCCAAAGGTGATAAACAGGGAAAATACTAATGATTGTTCACTGGCCCTAGCTCGGCAAGGGCGTGGTTGGTTTTATGCGCGCAACGTTAGGGTTCGAGCAGGAAATTATGCGTGAAGGTATGTCCTGTTTTCTGTCTTAATAAGGCTTCGAATCACTGCTAATCTCTATCGTACAGCATCCGATCGGCTCAATGATGCTGAAACTAGCGCGTCCAATGACCAGCACAAGGCCAGCCATCATGCGAATGCTCCAAATGCTTTTCACTCGCGGATCTATGATCCTGGAACCGAATTTGCACTTTGCCAAGCGATGGCTCAGATCATGGGCGCCGTGGTTGGTGTGCTCAATGAGAGTCTCACGGAGAGCATCAAGGGGTTCTATAAAATGAGAAAGGCTTTCATAATCCTTGATGGGATCCTGAAGATGGAGGAGAGGTTCCTACAGGGAGAACCATCTGGGAAATCCAGGACTGCAGTCGAAACCAGCACGCCGAGCGAGATGTCAGATTCGCCATCACCCACGAGTTCGGTCAAGGGTCACAGCAGACAGAGCCATGAATTGCCCCGGCAATTGTCTCAGCTTAAAATAGCAGAAGACAATCTCGCCTCTCCAAGTTCATCGGATACTACTACGACATTAATACTGACCGATGCACTCAGCCAAGACCCAGAATCCGAAGTCTTCAGCAGTTCAATCGACGCCTTCATTCATTCTGGGGCCAATCTCTGCTTTGGGATGCTGCTCCTCATCATCTCCATGATTCCCCCGACCTTCAGCAGATTACTGGCGATTATCGGTTTTCGAGGGGATAAAGAGAGAGGCTTGCGGATGCTCTGGCAAGCGAGCAAGTTCCACAGCCTGATCGGCGCCATTGCATCCCTAGGGCTGTTGGGATACTACAACGGCTTTGTCCGGTACTGTGACATCATTCCGGATGCGACGTCCGAAGACGAATCTGATGTCGAAGGATATCCCATGGAGCGGCTTGCGGCTCTCCTGGCCAAAATGAGGTCCCGATATCCAAAGAGCCAGCTATGGCTGTTGGAAGAATCCCGGATGAAGGGAGCCAACCGGAATCTGGAAGAGGCCTTGGAGTTGCTGACGAAAGGCAGCAAGAGTCCCCTCAAACAGGTTGAGGCCTTGCGGACATTTGAGAAAAGTATGAATGCCATGTATCTGCATAAATACGAACTGTGTGCTCAGTCGTTTCTTGAGGTATGACCTATCATCAAATTGCCGTTTTGGGATATTTGGCTGACTGTCGCCTACAGTGTGTTGAATTGAATTCTTGGTCACCTTCCCTGTACTATTATATTGCCGGAGCAGCCCATCTCGTTTTGTATCGACACAAGTCCGAGAGTGACCCCACAGCTGCGGCCGAACATGCGAAAAAGGCCACAGAATACTTCCTCAAGGCGCCTACACTGGCCGGTAAGAAGCGGTTGATGGCACGGCAATTGCCGTTCGACGTCTTTGTTTCCCGCAAGGTTGCCAAGTGGGAAGCACGTTCCAAGCAGTGGAAGGTCGACCTGGTCGACGCCGTGGGAGTCGATCCGATTGAGGAGATGATTTTCTTCTGGAACGGCCATAGTCGCATGACCCGAGAGGAGCTGGAGAAGTCCCTGCGCAACCTGGCCTGGTCCGAGAGTAGTGCCAACAAAACCTGGGACAAAGAGAGTGAGGATGAGAAAGCCATTCTCGCCGTCCTGCGAGCTGCCGTCCTGCGCGCGTTACGCCGACACCGAGAGGCAAAAGAGATTCTGCAGACCCAAGTTCTCAATCTCGACAGGTCTGTGTTTAAAGGCCATCTCAAAGACGACTGGATCTGCCCCGTGGCACATTTCGAAATGGCCGCCAATCTCTGGATGGAACGCCCTTCATACCTGGCGACGCATGGCCCTGCCGATCCCACCTTGAAGCCGACCATATCGAGAGGCTCGACAGCTCCATCAGAGGGCGAGGCGGAGAGAGTGGAACGAGCAAAAGTCCGCGAATGCGAAGAGCACCTCGACAAGGTGGCCAAGTGGGAATCCTTCGAGCTCGACACGCGAATCGGGCTCAAGGTGACGGCGGCCAGGGAGGCGGTTCGGAAATGGGAGGCAGCGCATCCCGCTCCAGCTACGGACGTTGCCGTGTCAGCAGCTTAGTTGGAAGGATGATCTATTATTTTATCTTGTCTAAGGACGACTGCAGCGCAGGGAGCAATTCGACCGAGATACAATTAGGAATGAGTATTCATACTCGTCCTCTAGACGGTATCGAATTGGACCAGAGACGATAGAATACACGCTTTTACCGGACCGGTTCCCGGTCGATTGTCAATCACCCGTCGAAAAGCATTCGCTCGAGAGAATTGGAGGAGAATATCCCACGGAATATGGCATTTTGTCATTGCTTCAGCTGTGATTACAATCTAGCTAAACCATCAGCAATGATAATATGAATTCTATAAAGTCACGTGATTATGCAAGATTAAAGTTATCACATGCATTCTTGCCACGTGCTCAGCTGCTCAGAGTCACGAGGGGATTCACCTCTGGCGAGCGTCAAATGACAGGTCAAATGACAGTGCCAGAGATCTCTTCATCGCCCTCTTTGTTATCATGGTTGCATGTACTACGCCGTATTCCCGTACGAGTGACGGGTCGTCTGGCCAATTAATTAGACGCTATTACGACAAGCAAAAACCAAGCATTTCGGGCCTAAAGGCTAAGGTACGGCCGAGCGATTCGGGCCGTTTGGTTTCCAGAAGCGCGATAGTCGGGCTGGTGGCCACCCCGCTAAGCCATCGCCCTCGTCCGCTCGCCACCGTTTCGACACTAGACTGACTTCATACCGTGGCGGCAAATCCATTTCCCACCTGGTCTTTCTCTAACGATGTTTTTGATCTCTCATTCCCCTAGAACTCAGTGAAGTTCAGTCCTTCTGTTCATCAGATTGAGTTGTCAATTTTTTTATTTTTCTTTTCTTGTTCAGGGTCGACGGTGCTAAGTATCCAGGGAACGCTGAACGGAGATGGCTCCGGAACCGGAACTCGGCAAAGACGGCATCGAGCTCCCTGCTTATCGAGACGGTGGTTGACCAGTGGCTAACACCGCTCTGTCGGCGATCGCCCTGATGGATCAGAGCTCTGCTTGTCAATGGCTGTCTTCCTGCAATGGGGCCGCAGAAATGCGGGATGGCTCCGATTCATCTAAAGTGACGACGAATCTGACGAAGCTTAGCTCCGTTGACGTCTTCGGTTGTCGTTTCTTTTTTCCTGTATTAATTACTATTTTTTTTCCCTGCTTGTATATATCTTTTATCTTTCTGTATATAGTGTTCTTTTTTTCTCTCGAATTCAATGATTTGCTGTCGTGACGATGGCTGGTGAAAATACGACAACCTCCAGCATCCATGACGATGATGAGACTTCTCTCTCCATCAACAGCTACGAGCAGCCCGACGGCAGTGCCGAAGTTGAACCCGCCGCTCGAGACTTGGAAAAACAGACCACGACGGCCTCTGCCGTGTCGAATTTGGCGCAGCGCACGCAGTCGGTGATCTCTAGGCTCCGCAGTCGGGACCCTGGTCAGGTTGCGCGCTTTACGCATCCACTCGCTCATACCAAGACATCGTCGGATGTGATTGTCGATTTTGACGGCCCCGATGACCCATACAGACCTGTGAATTGGGGCTTCTACAAGAAGGCGGTGACTACTGTGCTCTATGGATTGACAACTATGGGTAAGATATGCCTTTTAGCGAACAATACTCCCGGCTGTTCAGACGACCTTGGTGCTAACTATGGACGGTTATCAGGTGCTACATGGGCGAGCGCAGTGTACGACTGACTCCCTATCACGATGCCGTTGATAATCGATTGTGACATGCGAGCGCTGACTGTGGAAAACAGCTATACACCAGGAATAGGCCAGATCGGCGCCCAATTCGACGTTGGAGAGGAAGTCGGTATGCTGGGCCTCACGTTCCTGCTGCTTGGATTCGGGTTCGGGCCTTTGATCTGGGCGCCGCTGTCCGAATTATACGGACGCAAACCCGCTGTCTTGGCGCCGTATTTCATCGCTGCGATATTTTCCTTCGGCACCGCGACGGCTAAGGACATTCAGACCGTCCTGATCACGCGATTTTTCGCGGGATTCTTTGGCTCGGCGCCCGTCACGAACACGGGTGGCGTGCTCAGTGATATTTGGTCGCCGGAACAGCGAGGCGCGGCCATCGTCGGATATGCCATGGCCGTGGTGGGAGGTCCAATTCTGGGACCAATCGTCGGTGGTGCTATCGTTCAGAGCTATCTTCGGTGGAGGTGGACTGAATATGTGAGTCGTTCTCCATCCAGACTTACTTTCAGATCGTGAGAGATATGTGCTAATTGTTGTTCGCAAGATTACCGGAATCTACATGATGTTTATTCTGACTCTGGATGTGCTTCTCCTGGACGAGAGCTACCCGCCAGTGCTCTTGGTGTACAAGGCGCGCAGACTCCGCCACGAATCGGGGAATTGGGCGCTGCATGCGCGGCACGAAGAATGGGACGTGAGTCTGAAGGAGATGGCGAACAAGTACCTGATCCGCCCATTCCGGCTACTTGTCACGCCAATCTGCTTCTCGGTGGCTCTCTACGCATCCTTCGTCTACGGTATCCTGTACCTGAACCTGGCTTCCTTCCCCATCGAGTTCCAAGAGGAGCGAGGCTGGAACATGGTCGTGGGCGCGCTCCCGTTTCTCGCCCTGCTAGTGGGGATCATGATTGGCGCCGCGGTCAACGTCACCAACCAGCGCTTCTACGTCAAGCGGTTCAAGGCGAACAACAACCGCCCTGTACCCGAAGCGCGCCTGCCGCCCATGATGCTCGGCTCCATCTTCTTCGCCGCAGGCATGTTCATCTTCGGCTGGACGTCGTCGCGGCACATCTTGTGGATCGGCCCCGTCATCGGCGCCGTCTGCATGGGGCTGGGCTTCTTCACCATCTTCCAGGCAGCCCTGAACTACCTCATCGACACCTTCCCGACGACGTCGGCCAGCGCCGTCGCCGCAAACACGTTCCTGCGCAGCGTCTTCGCCGCCGCATTTCCGCTCTTCACAGATGCCATGTTCCACAATCTGGGCATAAACTGGGCTTCCAGCGTGCTGGGTTTCATCTCCGTCGCGTTGATCCCTATCCCGTATCTGTTTTATATCTTTGGGAAACGCATCCGTGCCAGGGGGAAATGGTCGAGACCTTCGGTTTATTCATGACGTATTTTACTTACTACTACTGTAAATAGATGGATTGGTGGATGCATGGATAGATAGATAGATAGATAGATATCTACCTACCTATCTATACACTATACCCTAACTAACCCTAATGAAGACATGAATACTTTTTCCTTTAAGAAAAATTATTTTCTTGCGCTTCCATTCCCATCTTGCATACATACACACATACATTACAATACAATACATGCATGGTCTAGCATCATCAAAAGCTCAAAAAAAAGTTTTGAGTTGATGTATTTTTTTGTTGTTGTTGGTGACGACAATAATATCAATGAGAATACATGTAAACTCCCGTTAAATGTTCGCAAGCAAGGTATCATCCATATCCTGATCCTCGGATCCTTCGACCGCGCCAAACTCCCAATCCCCTCGTTCGATCCGGCTTACTCGGTCCAATTCTGCCTGGTATTCGCGCCGCAGGTGGTCTAAGGTCACTACAACCCTGCGTGGTTGTTGTTTGGTATTGGTATTGTTATGGTTGTTGGTAGTGGTGGTGCTCTGTTGTGGCCCAGTGTTGCTTGCGCCAGCCACAGAAGACCCGCTGCTGGCTCTGCGGCTGCCTCCAAAAAAAGAAAGCAGACTGCCGTTGGTTGCCGCTGGTGGATTCTTGGAGGGTGTGGCATCTTCCATGAACACATCATCTCCATCCTGGCGTTTTCCAGGTGAGCCCGCTTCCGATGCAGTAAGAGTAGGAGCCGCAGGCGACGGTCCGTCGAGCTCGACGAGGATGTATGCCTCGTTCTTGTCGACGCAAGCAAGGAGGTTGATCAACGACAGGAGTTCATGCCGGATCTCCTTGCTCTCCATGTCATCCTCCTCCACCAGCCGGTTCGTATCGCCCTCATCTCTGATACGTTTCGCGAGAGTGAGTTGCGATGATGGAGCATCTCTTGCATTCCGCAACCGTTGGACAGTCTGATAGCCCAGTTCGGCTGCGCCGCGGAAGTCATTTCGCGCGATTCGATACGCGTACAGAATGCGGTGATAATCCGGCGTGCTGTTATTCCCTTCCCACAACCTGTCGTCCGGTTCTAGAGCAGAGCGGAAAGATGTCTGCTTCTTAGCAAGCGATAAAAGGATTTCGTCCACATAAGACGACAGGGTTGGATTCAGCAAAAGCGGGAAACGAAGTAGTTGTTCGAGGCCTGCCGACCCTCCGTACGCAGAGAAGATGGAAGTTATGAGAGAACTGAGTGCCGACTTTTGCAACGTCAGGTTGGTGTAGCGAGAAAGGGCGGAGTAGGCTTTGTCAAATTGGCAGGTTTTTAGGGAGGCGTGGAAAAGTCGGGACAGAAGGTCGCTCCGTAAATCTGCGTACTCCGGGTCATGCTCTGCTTTTTGATTGTCCCTCTCCAGCGCCTGCAGCGCAAGGGATGCAAAGTCCGCCACATGGGAGAATGACCGGGCTTGTTCAAATACGCTGATGACATGCTGGAAGTATTTCGGAAGACCGTTATTGAAGCTATCCACAGAAAGGATATCAAGAAGACTCGAAGACATCTCATGCAGATTGCCAAGAGCCCTGCCAGAAGCTGTATCGGATTATTGTCAGACTCGATCCGTACAAGAGTGATGGAGAGGAAGAAACTCACAGAGAAGATGAGCAGCCTTCTGGAAGTAGAGTGCTGCAGTATCAAATTCAGACTTGGCCACATACAAGCGACCCTTCGCATACGTTGCCCAGGCAGTGTTTGGCTGGAAGCGAAGGAAATCGCATGCGAGGTCAATATTACCATTGGCAATCAGGTCGCACTGTATGAAAACCAAGACGTTTGGAAACGCCACCTCACCCTGTCTGGTCACCCAGGACAGAACATCGCGAATGCCCTGAGTCAACGTGTAGCTTTGGGGCACACCGACAGCTGGGCGAGGTTTGATGTGGACAGCGAAGAGATCTTCGAGGATTGTCGATACGACCCCCGTGCCTTTCGTCTGAGGCTTGAGCGAAAACGTCGACACTGAGCTGTCACCGGCGTCATTCTGGGCCCTGTTGGGAGATACACGAGTTGTCGAACTCAACCAATACAGCATTTTATATTCCTTTATTACTTCGATGAGCGTTGAAAACAGATCCACGGCATCGAAGGTTGATCCATCCTCTTGATTGATCTCTCCGGCGATGAATACAACCAGAATGAGAAGATCGTACAGAATCTGGCAGGTATCTGAAATCGTCTCTTGGGAACCGTTGACCGTCGCTCTCAGCCCGAATGCGGTTAATAAGAGATCCGAATCTTTCCCAGGGAACCCCAGCGGTATCGTGTCGATAATGGCATAGAATAATTCGCTTGGAAGCTTGTAGATATTGAGACGCTCATTCATCGCAGCGCATAGGCTGTCGAAGATATCGTCCGAAACCCGCTCGCCCAGTTCAGAACGCTCTTGAAAAGCCGCCAATCTATCCGGAGCCGAGAGAGAAGGTTCCATGAATATTTCGGCTTCTATGGCAGACTGACAAGAACGGTGAACCTCAGCGGGAAGGCGCTTCCTGAAACCAGCGGCAACCTCAATCAGATAGGACGCCTGATCGTATCGGTCGCCAAGTTCTGTTTCAAGATTTCTGTGCCTCCAGCGATCCCCAATCTTCGCTGCTTCGTCACGTAGGACTGATGCTGAATTATGCAGCAGCAGTTCCATGGCACTGCATTCCCGAACGAGAACGCAAGAGTCGGTAAGCAACACCCAGGGCAAATCGCTGTATGAGTCATAAGCAAGAGATATCGGCTCAAATCTCCTGTTGTTGATATCCTCTGCAATCTGCCAGAACTGACGCCATTTGGCGTCTGTATCGGTTCGATATCTGGCATAATCCAGATCGGTTTCCGAATACTTTCGCAATGATACAGTAGCAGCAATCGTTGAACAGAGTCGTTCTTGCAAAGGTGCGCTCTTCTTGAGGATGGACGGAGAGGATCGAGGCTTCAACGCTTCTTGATAGGTTACCAACGCCGCCTCCAAAGCCTCGGGAGAATACCTCCCAGGATGGAAAAAGTACTTCAGCCACTTCTCCGTTGGGTCGACATTGTCTGAGACCACCAAAGCAGGCGGCGGGTCGTTTCGTCGCGTGTCCAAAGCGATCGAGGTCCAATTGTTTGACCAGTCTTCCACTAAGCTTTGAAAATCAAAATGCAAACTGTACAGCTGGTACAGGTTATTATTCCGCCATAGAACCCATAATTCCATGCGTTTTCCTTCCTCCATAGGTCGCACTTGGAAGTCGGCAACGCTCCAGAACATGTTCCCGGATGGATCAGGATCGAATGGTCTCAAGACCGCCTGTGGGAACAAATCCTCGATCGTCAACTGCGTGGTTAGACCCCCCTTGACAGCCCAGAATTTGAAACGCCCGTCCTCGTGAGGAGAGTATGTCAGGATATAGTAGCGATATCCACCATCCAGAGCCCTCTCAGCGTTGAATACGCGGATGAAGGCTGAATCTGACGGGTTCAAAAAGTACGCTGCTGAGTCCTGCTGCTGTACCTGACGGTCGAGGAGATCCTTCGAACCAACCAGTTTGTTCGTTGCGAGATTCCAAACCTTTAGAGTGTGATTCAAACAAACCGCGAAGACATAGGTCTGATCAGATGTCGTAGCAATGGCATTCGGTGTATTCTGATCGAGGCTGCGCCCGTTATAGCGGATTGTCGGTTGTGTGCCCCATTTCATAAGACCACGAAGCGAAGCACCCCAGCCCTTTTCATCGAAAGTTATTTGGGACCAGTGTGAACCTTTCAACCCAGCAGAAGTCAGCAAACGTCACCCACACTTTTGTGTATAGTAACAGAAGAAACTGTACCATCGTCGCCAGCTCTCCTAGTCAACCGAAGCAGCGCCCCACTGTCCAACGAGATGAATAGCTCCGTGGTACTGCTCGCGTGAAGGCGATGAGGATGCGAGAAGGTCAGTGGCGACGGTGTACACGCTTTGCACCAGTCTAGGATATTTTCATCGATCGCGGAAGCCCGTCGAAAGAACTCCGGTCGCAGAGCTAGAGTATGAAGACGCCTGGAAGCCGTGAGCACGAAGACATTCAGCACCTCGTGTTCCTCCGTATCTGCCAGTGCGACTCCTGAAGGCAGAATCGCCTCCTGGAAATCAAACCGGAGCATGAGATTCACTTCATGGTGCTCAATGCCACCCCTCACCAAGTCCGCAGATTGAATCTCCAGGACCTTGTTGTCATCGACGACTCTCCACAGAAACGTTCGAGGATAGACTTTCCGTCGTCGGAAATAAAGTGAGCCTTGTGTTGCTAGAAATCGTCTCGCGAAATCGTCCTCGTCCTTGATACTGGGGATATCTTGCGCCGTCACTGAAGAAATCGAGAATCGGGCCCGACGCTGGGCGTTCTCCTGCGTCGGAATCTGGATGTCGACGACGGCATTCGGCGCGATGGGCCGGACGTCGACTTTAGTTTCCTTGTAAATTTTGGCCATGGTCATTGAGGAGGCTGGAGGAATCCACGGCTCAGAGGGGTGTCACATTTAGAAGCCCATGCTCACGGTGGTTGGTCTTGCGGTGCGCGAAGTCTTGTTATACAAAGGGCGGGCAGCTGGGAGCTCCGAAAAACTGTTAGCGCGCGCTTACGGAGTACGCGCAGGGTACCGAAGCAACGCCAAGCTCAAACAGGCGGAGTTTGCCTTGCAGATTTAAATCTATTCATTCACTACAAACATCTTATCTCTAGCATTCCTCGTATTTCTCATTAATCTTAAGTACAATCAGTGATATATTTTTTCGTCATGAATAGAAGCGAACACATATCAACAGCAAAAATTAAAAAAAAAAAACAAAAACTGACTAATGCAATGACTTCTTCAATCCCAGCACCGGCTGCTATGCGAGATGGAAAGACACAGAATACACAGCAACAAAAGACAGTTCGTAAGCATTGCTCGTGATCGAAATCATGTCAGACGAGCGCAGGTACAAAGGTGTCTCACTCGCCCTCCAGATCCTTAGGGCTGGGGTCACCAATCCCATCCTCTCTGATCGCGAACATACAGTCGCTTTCGGGGAGACAGGGACTGTCATAGATCTTACAAATCCTAGTTTCCCCGCGACCCTTCTTCAGGCTCAGCCTGGTTGTGCTCGCATGTGCAATGATGTTCCCTCCTATTGGTTTCTTCGGGTCAGGGTTGAACATAGAACTGGGGCCTCCATCGACTTGAGAGACCACTTGGTTGGTGATAACCACAGCAATACCGAACTCATCTGCCAACCGCTGTAAGGTACGGAGGAATTTGGCGAGATGAGTTTGACGAGAGGACAATTCACCGCGACCATTGAAGTCCGTTCGATAGAGAGATGTGGCTGAGTCGACAATGAGAAGTGAGAAGCGTGTCTCGGTCATCATTTGAGATGCTTGATTCAGCAACTGCAGTTGATGGTCCGAATTGTATGCTCGAGCGTAGGCAACGTTATCCAGGACCTCTTCTCCAACCAATCCGTACCGCTGAGCAACGGCCAGCAACCTAACTGGTCGGAACGTGCCCTCGGTATCGATATACAGACACTTTCCTTCTCCTCCGCCCATGTCGAACGGTAATTGGCACGTTACAGCAAGTGTATGACAAATCTGACTCTTTCCAGTCCTGAATTCTCCGAATATTTCTGTGATCGACCCTGTCTCAATGCCTCCTGCCAGTAGGGTGTCCAGTTGTTTCGAACCAGTGGTGATACATATGAGCTCGCTCCGGCGTGCGTGCATCTCCGTGGCCGTCGTGAAGCCCATTGGAACTAGCTTAGATGCTAATTCAAGGGAAAAAAATTAAATGAGCTTCAATGTTGTCTCCAAGGAAATGCATGCAAACTTTTTGCCTCTGCGAGTTACTCACCCTCAGCCAAAATCTTCGCGGCTTTCTGTTCTGAGATACCCTTAATCTGCTCCAGTACCCGTTTCGGTCTATGTAGAGGTAACTCTGTCAGTACAAAATTCAAAATTACCCTTCAAGACATCTATAGAACACGACAAAAAGTATAGGAAATTGATATAGAGACGTACGTGTATGCTACCGCTTCCACGGTATGAAAACCTGCATCGATTATGAGCTTGATGTCTCTCGCCGTTAAGCCAGCAACACCCTGCAAAGGACATGTTAGCCTCCTAATACTAATTCACTTTGAGACTACCCCAGAATTCCCCAATCTCTCCTGATCAGTCGGTTTGTTTACCTCGAGGGCCGTGATAGGAGTAGGCGCCCCAGGGCCAGGAAGCCCATTGTCATCATATTCATTCTGCGTTTCTTCGTCGGCAGCCATATCGCTTGGTCCGGCCGCTGTCAATAACGGGGAATGGTGCAAAGAGGTGGGTGTGCTGGACGAATATGCGAGTGGTGAGGGGTTATCCGAGACTCGACGCAATCAGGGCCAGACGATTCTCGTGATGGTTCTCAAATGGAATAGCAAAAGCAGGAATTCAAAGCCAGGTAATTCTCCACAGATCACTGCATGAGACGATTGATGAAGAAATGATTATTCAGCTCTAGTCTCTAGGACTTGGTAATGCCCCTGATTGTTGGGGTCACTAATTGTGGTCATCGGGAGAGGACATGGACGCGTCCGAGGCGTCGCCACGTCGCGACATCACGTGAAGATAACAAACCGGAAACAAGAACATTATTTCCGCAACCACTGTTTACCTAACGGCTGTACACAGAAAGTTATGACAAATCTACTTAATCCAGAAAAACAATGCTTTTTACGTCGTTTAAAAGGCTTTACACTGATTTTTAGTTTTCAGATTCTTGGAAGAGCTAAAGTTCCAACTGTCATGATTATTGACGTTCCATCAATGCTATCAATCTCATGTACTCCGTAGTGACTTCTGGATCACGCCAAGTCTTTATCTTCTCGACTCATCAACGCCCCCAGTTCAATGCCCAGTACAATCCACCATGCGTATTTTCCCTTGAAACATAACAGTGTTTCTGGTAAGATGGCAATGTCTTCAGTTGACCGTCCAACTATTCTGTCTAGGCCGATCTCTTTCCCGCGAACTCGCTCCCCATGCAAGAGCTCTATGGAAGCATTGTATTGTTGTTGATAAGTGAGACATCTGAGCTCCGTTTCGGTGAGTAGCTGTTCACTTGAGGCAGAGAAGGGTAGGCCAAAGGCCGCTGCTCTGGACGTGGCAGACGTAGAGGTGGACTTGGTGGTCTGCTTCCCACTGGAGTACAGGATAGATATGGGCTGACGTTTGGCGACGGCGTGTTGTGGTTTGGAGTCCAGATACCCTCAACCCGTACTCCACTCTCGAGTGCCCTTGCACCAAAAGGGACGTCATCTATCAACATTTCGTTCAAATCCACGCCCCTCGCACGCTCGGCCACCTGGTATGACTGTGCTCTAGCATACTTCCTGAGTCTCCACCTGCTATAGCTCAGAACACCAAAGGCAATGACGATGACAATAACCTAACATTGTTAGCAGCACGGTTGTAATGTGGTGGTGTGGTTGATTACTATGGCGCAGCCAAGGATCTGTCTCATTTCTCAGTGGTTAGCAAATTGAAATGGCATTGGATATTGCGAGCAGTCATAGCCATACAAAAACCATCTTCTCCCATGCCTCCCAACCATCCCAGAACTTCATGGTGAAGTTTGTTCTCTTTGTGAAGAGCGAAGACTTAGCTTTGTCCGCTTTTTGTGTGGTTCGAACCAGAGGGCCGTGGGATTTATGTGTGATGAGTTTGTCAGTAGAAGGTCTCGGCGGCCTGATTAAAAAAAGATGAAAAGGGAACAGGCTTGACAGGAGTAAGATGATTCTCCTATAGCATTCTGAGAGTTGAGGGATGTGGAAGACGGGGATTGCGTCGTTTATTGAAGGATGCGTGAGGGTCCTTCCACATTAAGTAATCTGTCACTTTCAATCAGGTGTGCTTGCAGCCACTGATTGCCCTCCACTTCACCTTCCTTGCGGTATATTCCCATTTCACACTAGCGAAAAAGATGTCATTAACAGGGCTGAAAGACATTCGAGTTTAGTCCAATGCAATTATCTCTATTTCTCATTCACATATTAGTGATGATATATGTATGCATATCCTCCGTCCTCATAAGGATGATAGGCACCAGTATTATGGCTGCTCCTTAAGAGGCAACTTTTGTATAAAACAAGAAAATCGGACAATGGAAACTCAATTGTGAGAATGGCCATTAAACAGATCGTAAGGGGAGCATCAACGAATGCCTCGTAATCAAAACACATCTGGCCCTGCAGATCAGCTACTCCCAGAACCTGTGAATGTGCCCTTTCCGTACACAACTCCGTCTCCATAACGCCATAATACCCTCATTAGCTAGCAATTATTTGCGCTCTTAGGTCTGATCACACAGAGCCGTCCACTTCGGTGGCGGGAGATTGTGGCTTGATGTTGCTTAGCTCTGCATCTTGGCCACTCTGGTCCCTCTTCCTGCCGGGAAGACGGAAGCCCAGATGCGTTGAGGATTGTCGGCTATTGCTTCCAGATGATGGCGCATCTGTCGATGTCTCACTGAAGCGCGCAAAGAGACCCTTCTTCTTCGGTTTGACATCATCATCTGCTAGCCCAACATCCTCAAATGTCTCTTCTTCCATAGACTGTGGTCGTTCAAATGTATTTCCATTAATTGCGGAGCGCGCATTTGCACGAGGAAAGCGAGAATCGAGGGATGTGCGGGGAGGGAGGTGGTCAACCTGAGAAACCGGGGACTTGGCCGAGATATCCTAGACAGTCGTTTAGTGTTATTGACCCAATTAGCAGAGTAAAGTTCAATTTCTTACAAATGAGCGTCTGTACGAATCGAATGACTCGCGAGAAATCGAGAATGGTTCATTTTCATTGACTAAACTTCGATGGTTCGACGACGCAGAGGAGTTGGTATATCTGTGCCAGAAACTCTGCTTTTCCGGCGGTGAAGGCTGGTAGAGGAGGAAAGTTCAGCCAAAAGAACCATGCTTATGGGATCGAACTGCCCGGAAATAGACATACTGGAAGGTAAACGCCGCTGTCATTGACCACTGAGTGCAGATACCGATTGTCAGCTGTATGGTTCGGAGAATTCCTCTAGACCGCAGAACAAGGCCCTGCTGCGTCACACACCGCTCAATTTATATTCATTGGGAGCCTCCTCCCTGCTCCTTCGAAAGCTCAAAGGCCCACTGCGTTGGCTCTCGATGGAAGGGCGAGGACGCTGATTTTCATTATTGGACTTGGGATCGGTATCATCCGATGCGGCGGGTTTTCGACTCCATAAGTTGCGGAATGGAGGCATGATGTATTTATTTCAGAACAAACTGGCAGGCAGAGATTGTATCAATTGAATTGCGAATATATAGAACATACAGTAAAGGTTGTGAAGATGACCGATTGTCTCTCCAAGTTGAATTATTCCCATTTAAAATGACATGAGATGTGTGCCTCACATGATCGGCCTTCGGGCTTTATTACTGTCTGTACAGGGCACACCGTGCGCCAGAGCTGAGCGGTGCACAACCTGCATGGACGAATGATCAGCGGAGTCTCGTCCCAACTAGGAAGCTACCAGCGCCCGTCACACACCTTTAAACGGCAGCGGCGGGTGAAAAGTTTGTTACTGACAAAGTTATGAATTGCAAGTCTGCATCATTATTCAAACCCACGAGGTTTAGTGCCTCGGTATCTTGCCAGTCGCCACCCGCATCCGGAGATAAAGTTACTTCCAGACCTACCATGGAGTGTACTAGGTATTTTAATTAAATATTAGGACGGTATTTAACATGTCAGTTAGTTTTATTGACTGGGAACTTTCCACATTACGGCAAAGAAAGGTCGAGCCAATGGAACGTTTGAGGTAATAATCCCAGGAGGGATGTGGCTGGTTCATATACCGGAACAGGGCGTCGACTATGAAATCTGTCACGGATAGTCGAGTGGAAGGGCGACCGCAAGGTTGGCAACCCTGCTTAGGTAATCACCAGCGAGTAAGCGTGCCTGGTTCGAATCATGGAGTCGCGGATGTACTCGTGCGAGTAATCCACGATCGCTACAACGCGTTAAGCAATGGAAGTGACACTTGAGGGAAGCAATTCTGCAGAGACACTTCCACTCTGTGATGGCGGTACCAGATGACACCTTCTCGTTACAGGGAAGCCAACCGTTTGGTTGCACAACCACTATATCTTCTTTTTTTTCGGTTTTTTTTCTTGCCTCCCTCGAAGCCAAGTGCAACTTAAGATTGATCTGAAAGTCGTGTGACTACTGCATAATCATCTGAAAAGTTTCAAGAGGCAATCAATTTAATCGATAGTATTTACACCAGAACTGCCTTAGGAGTATTCCACGGCTTATTGAAAACTTACTCTGTAAATAAAAACATTGAAAGAATCGATTGGCGCCGAAATTGTTTATTATAATATAATATTCTAGCTAATACAGGCAACACTAATAATATCAGGTTTCATAGATTATTAAAGAGGAACCACCTCATTCGTAGGAATATTGCTTAATCGACGATTGCTATCACGAGGTTTGGTTGTAACTCCACTGGCGTGAGGTTTCTTGGCATTCTGGGGTGGGTCAAACTGTGCAAACTCGACACCGCCCGCGAAAAACTTCCCGGGCTGATATGGGTCCGGTCCAAAAAAAATTAATGGGCAGCAGCGCAATTAGACACAAGCTTGTATTTTTTTTATATTTCTTTTTCCCTCCATTTTTTCGAAAGGACAATAAAAGTTTTCTGAGCCGAGAGGGAGACACTCGAGAACATTTATACGATGCCTGGAATAAAACGCCGTGTTGAATCCGGCGACGATCACGGTGGGAAACGAGCCAAAGTAAAGGATGCGGCTGCTTCGACAGAGACGAAAAGTGCCAAAAAGACCTATACTCCTCCATCCTTCAAAAAGAAGGGCATTACCATTGGAGCGCGAAAGTTGAACAAGAAGAAAAAGGCTGCAAAAGAACGCGCAAAAGAACAAGCGAAAGAACGCGAAAAAAAGGACAAGAAGAAACACCGTGACGAGGATGAGGAGCCCGATTCGGAAGAAGACTCTGACGTCTCCGAAGATTCGGACGTAGATATGGATGATAGTGGAGAGGACGAAGATGGGGATGAGGAGAGTGCAACGGAGGAAACTGGAAAAGAGGAGAAGTCTGTTGCAAAGAGTAATGGATCTAAGGCGAACGGAGTTGAAAAGAGTACGGCACCCTATCTTTCCCTCTTCTTTCAATTGCAATGACTGTTCTGACACTTTTAATTTACTTGTTAGGCACATCTTCTCGCGAAGCGCACGCCAAGCAAAAAGCCATAACGCAGGAACGCAAGGCGGCAAAGCCAAACGCGGATTTGATCGCTCGATCGAAAAAGATCTGGGAACGATTGCGCCTCAAAACGAACATTTCCAAGGAAGAACGACAACAATTGCTTGCTGAGTTGTACGAAATTATCACCGGACGAGTGAGCGATTTCGTCTTCAAACATGATGCAGTACGGGTCATTCAGACGGCATTGAAATATTCCACTATAGAACAACGGAAGCAGATTGCGCGGGAGCTTAAAGGGCGCTATCGGTCCGTAGCTGAGAGTCGATATGGAAAGTTCTTGCTCGGAAAGATACTGGTACACGGTGATACGGAAGTCAGAGATATGATAATCCCTGAGTTCTACGGAAACGTCAAACGACTAATGAGACACCCGGAGGCGTCTTGGATTCTCGACGACATCTACCGGACCGTCGCTACCAAAGAACAAAAGGCCAATTTACTGCGAGAATGGTACGGCCCAGAGTTTACCATCTTCAAGGAAGAGAGCGGATCCGTGCCTTCGGCAGATTTGTCGCAGATCTTGGCTGAAAACCCTGAGAAGAAAGCGCCCATCTTGCACAATCTGTATGAACTCATCAACCAATTGGTGCAGAAAAAGACTACTGGATTCACCATGTTGCATGATGCTATGCTGCAATACTTTTTGAACGTGACGCCGGGTAGTTTTGAAGCCAACGAATTCATTGAACTGATCAAAGGAGACGAAGAGGGTGACCTTGCCAAGAATATGGCGTTTACGAAATCGGGAGCAAGGTTGATGTGCCTTTGCCTGGCCTACTCTTCTGCCAAGGACCGCAAGGTGTTGCTACGGTTTTACCGTGAGACCATTAAGATGATGGCAAGCGACGTCCACGGGCACATGGTCTTATTGACTGCGTTTGAGGTCATCGATGACACCAAACTTACTTCCAAGATCATATTTCCTGAGCTCTTGAATCAAGATCTCGCTGAGTCGGCCCGCCATGACGAGCTGCTGCAACAGGTGAATGATCTCACAGCACGAATTCCTGTGCTCTACTTGTTTGCGGGAGACAAGGTCAAGTGGCTGCTCACAGGCGCCGATCAAGAGATCCTGAAGGAAATTCGTGAGATCAGAACTCAGACTTCGAAGAAGGAGCCGTCTATTCGGCGCCAGGAGCTCATCAAAGCGGCAAGCCCGACTCTGCTCGAATTTATTGCTTCGCGGGCAGAGGCTCTCATGGAAACCAGCTTTGGATGCCAATTTATTACGGAAGTGCTCTTTGATGCCGACGGAGACAAGTCCGCTGCGTTGACTGCTGTTGCAGTTGCCGCCAAATCCAAGCCCGAGGTCAAGGATTCTCCTTTCATCGGGCGGATGCTGAAGTCGCTTGTTCAGGGTGGCAGGTTCAACAATCAAGAAAAAGTGGTCGAGAAAGTGAATCCACCACTTCGGTTTCACTCTTTACTCTACGACAACATCAAAGATGACATTATGACCTGGACGGTTGGGTCCCACCCGTTTGTGATCGTGGCACTGGTGGAGTCGGACGACTTCGACAAGAAAGAGGAGTTGCTGAAGACATTGAAGAAGAACAAGAAAGCCCTGGAGCAGGCAGCCGCACCAGCAAAAGAAGCCTCCGGCGATGGAAAGAAGAAACCTGGTCCTACGAGCAGCGGAGCCAAGCTCTTACTGGAGAAACTCCAATAAATGACCTCCATTGTGCGGAATTATTGAAATCTTTGTTATTGTATGCCTGCCGATTGGATTCTTGGTTCATTCTTCTTCGATGTATGCATTCCGTATTCTTGTCTAGAACTAACTCTTTGCATTTCTTTTTTTTGTCGGCGTCCGCCTATGTACATTGTAAATAGACAGAAATCAAATGACGGACATGTTGCCTATGGATCTTTGGGGGAAAAGAATTGCGTACTGCATCATAGACACAGGACTGATTCTATTGCTCGCTCAGCGGCCCCTCTATCAGTCTATCATAGCAAAGGTAATCACTTCTATGCCATCCGCGTCACTGTCGAAGATGGGGGCCAAAGAGCAAAAAACGGCCATGTGGCATGGCAATCAGAGATGGCTAAAAAGGCGCATAACAACTTAGAACTCCGTACTAGGCCCAGACAAATGGCCCGCCGGTGGGGGCTGTATGGAGTATTCGCTAAATTAATATGGACGGAGTTACTGTTAGTTTACCTATTATCAGGCCTTGAGAGACAAGACAAATATTATCAGAGAATGCCAATCACAGCAACTGTTGTGAACTGCCCATGATCTGATCTCACCCAAGTTTATCAATATTCTCCATTTCTAGATGTGGATGGACAATTGGAAATGAAATAATCACAGCAAATGCCATCTGTTCGCTTTCCATACCAATGGAGGGCTTTCAAAGCCTTCAAATCAGCTAGCTCGTCTGGTATAGCTTGACCGAGTTGATCAGAAAGTACGACTCAGTAAAGGCACTGGGGTTTGCGGCAACATAAGCCTCGCAGGTGCTGACTCCTGTGGTCTGGGGGCAGTGGGACCAGTCGGTCCAGCCTTGTCCACCAGCATTCGAGCCACAGAAGTCGATATTGAAAATCTGCATTTCTTGTCAGTCACATTATGGCTGATTGAATTAGTATTTCAGAGGAAACCCACAATCGTCTGGTCAATAAAATTCTGAGAAATGCTGCACCCAGACTGGGATTCGAAATCCATCAAGGGCTCACCCCACGACGACGGATTGGGGCTTCCAGACGTGATATCGGCTGGGATTGAGTCCCGTGGGAACAACCACACCTTGAGAGCGTCCTCAAGATAAAGTACGTACAAGCCCCCTCCATTGGCGTTGAATCCGCTGCCGTACGAAGCGGAGTCACCACTCACGCCGCATCCCCCGGGGCTGCTGTCGAGATTGCAATCCGTGCGGAGCCCCGTACCGGTCTGGTTACCGCCGGTTAGAGTACACTGGGCACTGGTATGCAAGCTGATGTCGTTATAGTCCTGGTCGTTGATGCCTTCGATAATGTCTATTTCCCCGTACGGGTTGCCCTGGTTGTTGATCGTCCAGCTGCAAAAAAGCAGAAGTGTCAAGGTTGGCGCATGATCTAACTATAAATGCAGAATACAGTAACATACTAGGCAGGCCATGTGCCGCAGGTGTTGTTCGGGATATGCGCCAGATCTGCAATGAGAAGACCATTGTTGAAGGTCTGGGAGCTTTCGAGTCGAACGCTCTTACGACCGGCGCCAGACGCGCTCAGGACGGTGGTATCGTCCACGCCGAGATATATTTGATTGTTGACTTTTCGAGCAAGACCGGCGGCTGTCGCGTCGTCGGCAGAGACATATTGAACGAATCCCTTTGTGGGATCACTGTCCTATTTCAGCTGCGTTGTCAGAAATGGACCTCACAATATATACTATTACATTAGAATGTTTGACATTCGAGAAGATAACCTACTGTGAAGAACGTAAATCCGTCGAAGAAATTACTGGCATCGTAATTCTGCTTGAGGATATACTCTGCACTTCCTGAGGTCGCCAGGACCAATAGTATAGCAGTCGTCGCTGAAAGGAATCTATCCATTCGGTCTTATATAGGAGATAGCACAATAAATATCAAATATATACACCAAAAAACACTTGGGGGAAAAAAACTGTTTTGACAATTAGAGGCACTCAGAACTATTCCAAGTTCTGATCCATTTATTCTATATATTCTACGAAATGGGTGCTACTAGAACAGATCTAATTTCCAGGATTGAGATCCATCCATGGAAGGACGACACGATGACACCCTCTCTCCAAAAAAAAAGGTTATCTGTCGTGTCAAACGACTGGTAATGTCACATTAATATAGAAGAGAGTTATTAGAAAGGCTAGAAGGTGCTTAGATAGTTCCTCAGATCTCCATTCAAGTTTCTGTATTCTCTGCGGCTAGCAATAATATTAATATTGTGATTACCATTTTCAAGGGTAGTACCATGACGGTCCATTCGTGGCGTTTTTGCAACAGTGGTATGAACCCTCCTTTTGGGGTGTAATAGACCGCATTATAGTTAGAGTTGGAGGGCATCGTCCACGGCCCCCAAAGGCCCCTATCTGTAGTATAGTTGCGTAGTGGCTGGCACTTGCAAGAAACGCTACCTATTTTTTTTCTATCGAATTTAGGCAGCAGTCAGTCATCTAATCAGTTCAGCCTGCAGATAATAAATTTTGCTATATCTATAAAGTATGCATACAGCCCGTCATGTTTGGAAATGATGAAATGATCTGCGTCAGCCTGAATTCTTCAGATGTTCCATCCTGGAGGAGTGGCAGCAGAGAAAAAAAAAGAACTGAATGTAACCTTAACTTCTATCTAACAATCGTTCTCCACTTCTATTTCATCTTTATTGTTATTACTATTATTGTATACGCTGGTAGCCCTACAGTTCTTCTCTAGTCTGTTTTCTGATCTGTTTTCTGTAATCAGGTCCTTGGCAAGCTTGGACTGTGATAACAGTAGTTTGAAGTTCAGCCAACCCTTTTGGAGTAGTCTCTAACGTAGGTCCTGAGATCATAGACAATAGACAGCAACATACGCTAGAGTCTCTTAGGCTTATAATTTGCCCATCCATAGTTGGACTACATAGAGCTCTCTGTCTGGTATAGACCCTAATACAGATTGATCACTCCTAGAACCTTTTGAGGTAGTTGATTACCTCAGCATGGTCTTAGAAGCTTCTTCCTATACTATGTTTTTGTCTACCTAGAGATAGATCCCTGGTCAGGTTTAAGCTTCAACGGAAGCTACTCCATTCCTATTTCTTGAATAATTCTTCATGTAGACTGCTATCCTTGAGCTTTCTCATGGCAGTATAAATGCCAGACTCTATAGACTAAATAGGACGAGCCTAGAGAGCACCAGAAAGCACCTATTTATCCTAGATAGTCTCTAGTTGGCAGGTTATCCCCGCCTAAGGGAGATCATCATAGTATACTCCGTATAGAGCATCGGTATAGTAACAGACTGTATTTTTTATCTAAGGCACGGAGTCAGGGGTAATGTTAACAGCGGTTAACGGCTAAAGTCCGCTGCCCCGCAATGGCGAGATTATGTCAGATTTGCCCCTGGGGCCTGGAATTCCTGAAGAGCCAATGAGGGATCCTGGTGGCTATTGCAATTGCGCTGCAAGTCATCTAAATTCCCGACGAATTTGCAGACTCTCTGGGTTAGAAGCCTGGGAACCCTTGCAACGTCTTGTCCTGTGCCAATTTATCCATGTTTCCCACTAACTTAAACAAGTGAGTTTTAGCGCACACGGTTTGTGTGGAGATCGGCGCCAGCAGATCCCTGCCGCTCTTGGCTGTGGGAGGCAGTTGAGGACATTCAGGGACAAGATGAGCGCGCAGACCCGGCAGCGTGTTTGTCGCTGGTTCCTGGCGTACGTGTTAAATCGATCGCCAACCTTCGCGCTCCCGCAAACTCCAAGGTCACTCTTCCCACTGTCTCCAAGTCCCAGAATCCCCTGAACCGCTATAGCGAACCTCCTCTCAGCCTCCCTTGATGATGCGCCTTACTATGGCCTGATCGCGAAATCCGCGCACAGACTCCTCCCCCTTGCGAAAAGCCCCCAATTCGATTCCTCGCCGATCGCCCTGTATTTCTGCCCGTCGACAGAGATTGAACGCGGCTCCAAGGCGTGTGGAAAGGCGTGATCCTGCCTGGATCTCATTGTTTTGCCTCCCTGTTCGCTGCTCTTTCGCGTGAATCCCCGCCCCCCTCGTTCCCATCACGATGACCCCCCATCAAAATGTTCCGCCAGTTCCTGCAGGCAGATTCGACAATGACCAGTCCAGACAGCAAGATGGCGACAATCACTCTCAGCAGCAAGACTTGCCTGAGGTACCTCCGTCACCGACCTTGACCAACCCAGATATGATCCTACCGGAAGAGGGAGAGCGCGAGTCGTCCACGCCGTCTCCACCATTCCGGTTGCCGTCTCTGTCAGATATGCAATTTGGTCAACCGCACGCGAGTGGTTTTCGAAGTGCCCTCAATTATGGCGGAGCAACGCCCAGTACACAAATTGGGGTAGCCGTTTCGACGCCCAGTCGACCTCCGCGCAGCGCCTGGACATACGAGGGTCATGCGCCCAGCCGCCCCTTATCAGATATAGGAGAGGAGGATATTCAGTCATCTCCGCCTCGTTCGAGGGGCTCGGACTGGAATTCCGGCGCCGAGAACGGCCAAGGGAGGAACGCTGAAGAATCAGAAACCGGCAGCACCAGATCAAGTTCGACGATTAGCGCGAGAAGTGGTCAGGGGAGATGGGATGGATATGAAAGTCGCAGCACCGAGAGTAACCGCGATGAGCAAAGTGGATCAAACGAAGACCCTGCTATTCAGGATAGTGTGGAAGCAGCGAGGGCAAAGGCAGGCGCAGCATTGGTCTATGGTGCTTCCAACGATGATGACAGTTCGTCTGCAATTCTGAGCAGCGAGGCGGAGAGGATTTTGGAAAATGCGAAAAAGAGATTGACTGTATGTTGTGGAAAATCGGTTTTATCCACGGTCAGCAGCTGACGCAGATACAGCTCATGGAAGGTAATCTTACAAGAGCCCGTTCATCGATTCGCCTTACTCCCTCTCCTTCTCCGTCCGGTTTGCTTCCTCTCCGGACCGGAGAGCTCTACAAATCGATATCTCAAACGGATCGGAGGAGCTCGATCCTTCGACCCCGCCAGGTCTATAACTCGACACAGGATGCGGGTAGCAATTATCATTCGAGGGTCTACAGCGAGACTCACCTGCCGTCGACCGTTAACAATCAAGGTCCACCGATACAACAGTCTCGTTCTCTAAGTGCGCTGGGATCCACAAGCGCGTCCAGTTACGAGGCAGATGATGGCTCGTTTCATTATAACACCTCCAGAAGGAGTCCCCTGACTATTCGACCATCATCTGGCTTTTATCACCCAAAGCTCGATTCGCTCAGGGAAGACAGGCGCAAATCGAACTCAAAGGATTCCTCGCTTAGGACGTCGTCGAGACAGGGCATGTCAGCCAGCAACCACGCCCCTAAGATAACCACGATGGAAGAATTTAATTCTGTCTATCCCTCCGAGGGCCCACCGTCGCGCGCTCAGTCACAGCTGCAAGTGCGTGATCTCCGAGACCAAGCGGAAGGCCTGAAAACCAAGATCTCCATGTTAAAGATAAAGACGCAAGAGGACAATCTTCGCCGGCGAAGTTTGCAGAGCTTACGCACACCGAGCCCGTTCACCGCAGCCGAGCAATGGATGACCACTGATCTGGAATTTCGGGATAGTAGTAGTAGCAACTCGAATTCGAATTCTGGACAGGGTTGGAGTCCGAAACAAGCAGAGGAGGAGGAGAAGGAAAAGGAGGAGTCCTCACAAACGCGCGAGGATGAACATTCCACCGACCCAGCGCCGTCTCCTGAGAAGGATGTGGCGCGTGAGACCACCCGAGAATCAGGTGACGATAACGACGACTTCAATTCTGTTGTCGACAGTCATTACGAGGACGCTGAGGAGGGTGAATATGGCAATAATGAAATGGACGGGTCTTCAGGTTCAGAGATAGACCGTGAGGCACTCAATGAGATTTTGAATGAGCCCTTGGACGACGAGGATGATGAGAACGAAACATACGAGGATCTCCCGCTGAAAGCGACGCCTCATGAAGAGCGCGAAGATGCATTCGATTACGAGAATTTCTATCTCCACAGCGCCCTTGGAAGCTTCTCACAAGATAAAATGCGGCGACGTTCGAGTTTTAGCTCGAACGACTCGGTAGAAACCACGCGGCCTTTCCCCTCATCGACGGATAACTCTCGACCTGGGATACATTCGCGTACGAACAGTACCGACTCTATTTCCACGGCAGCGACTTTCGCCACAGCCACGGAGGGAGATTATTCTGACGACGAGCAAAACGCTGAAGATGAGATCGACCTGGCGCTCAATTGGCCTCAAGTTCCCAGAAACGGTACGTTCACATCCAACCAAGATAGATTTCTGATGGCTGATCCATATCTACCAGGCGTATATACCCAGCAGCAGAAGCGTCGATCACGAAACTTGACAGTGAGTCCTATGAAGGCGTCCGGAATTCTGACGCCGCCTGGATCGGGCATTCGAGAGACGTCTGGGTCCGTTACGCCGGTCTCAGCCTTCCTGTCAGCTAATCCCGGCTCGGGGACCTCCTCTGGATTGAATAATGACGACACGCAGCTGTTGGAGCAAGTCTTCAAGAGCCTTGGAAAAGTTTGTTCGGAGTTGCAGGATCTGACAGCGCCTGGGGTTGATGCGGATCCGAAGACTATACGCACGCTACGGAGGCGACTGGACGCTGCCAGGCGTGTCCTGGATGGCCAGCTTGATGCGTGATATGCTGGCGATGCGTAGACGGTCTTTTTTTTTCTCCCTCTCACTCTTTACTCCCGCAGAGTCGTGACTGTTTTTGATACCCCCGATATTTTGATTGATGTTCTGGTCTGCGCTGCAAATAGTATTTTTGTCTCGGACAAGTTGGGTTCATGCCTTGGTTTTCGTCATGGTGGTATGCAATAATAATGTACCCAGAGACTGAGAGACTGAAGTGAGTCAAGTAGTCTGAAGCAACGGTGATCAGTCACGATGTTATTGATTATTCTATCTGGCTCTGAGTAGTATCTAGTGAATAATATGCGCCAGTATGCTGGTACCTATTAATAACTATTGCCAGGTACCTGGATAGCTTAACTCGTTTTAGCGCGGAAACTGCCAAGCGGAGAACTCCGTACGCCTGCACCTTAGCTAGGACCACGTCGAAGCTTCGTTCAATTCACCATTAACTCGATCTTCATACCGTGTGAACCTCATCGTTCTCTCCTCCATATCATGATGGATTGAAATTTGACAAATGATCAATGTCAGTACCAGGAACTATTCCTTGGCAAAGATTCAGTCAGCGATTATTAACTTTATGGAGTATTCGCAAGCTACGGATTCCTGCAGAAAAGAAGAGCCCCACCAGACTTCCCAGCTGCTGCCGAGTTACCTACCTTGGTACAGGACCTACATCCCTACGGAGTACATGCATACATACCTCATACATACGTCCTAGGACGTACAGTACGGCGTTGACGAACCAAACAAAATCCATCAATCAGCGATCAATCAATAACGCTGAATCAATTCACACACCGCCTACTACCGACTAATTCAACTAGATACATCATAATCCGTGAGACAACGAACAGGGAAAAAGAAGAGGGGAAACGAAACGGGGGAAAAAAAGAAGGGTCAAATTCAGTCAGCATTCAACCGAAAGAGAATCGATTTTTAGGGACATCGGAACCAGAAACCAGAGACGTTTCACAAGAATTCTCTACAAACAACAACAACAACCACAATAATAATAATAATAATGGCATCGATATCATCACCAACACCAGGCACCACCACCACGGCCAGCAACATCAATTTCCCAACCACACCTGCTGCAACATCATCTCCATTTGCCACGACTACTGCTCCTACTGCTACTACTACTGCTGCTGGTACTACCACCGCTGCAGGACCTTCTACTACTACTCCTTCAGTATTCAACCAACCCCCCAGACGCCTCCTCATCTTCCACGAGACGAGGAACCCGCACAACACCGCTGAGACGGTCTACGTCGCCGTCAACGCGCAAGGTCTGCCCATCTGCGGGCCTGCTGCTGCGCCCGAGTTTTCGGCCTCGTCGCGGACGGCCGGGTCGGGCTCGGTGCTGGATCTGCCGTTAAGGGTGATAAAGGCGTTTACGGAGATTTTTAATAATCCGCGGTACAAGAATTGGTACGTATAAGATAAATCATCCGTAGGATTGGATGCAGTTTTTTTTTATCTGAGTGTTTTTTTTTACGTTCGATCTTATAACGATGTTAATTAATGCCATTGCTGTGTCGATCTACCAGGGCTATTGTCAGCGCGGGCCCGTATCATGACCCGTCTGAAGAAGGGAGGTTCTACGCCGTGGTTCTGGAGCAGGTGCGAGACCAGGCGCAGGGGCCGGTGAAAGGTTGAATTCGATACCGTCATACATGCTGCAGCAGCAGCTGGTGATGATGATGATGATGATAAGGTGGTAGTGACTGTGTTTGTTTCTATAATGTGGCACGGTGGTTAGTGATGATATTGGTTGTAATTTCGATTCTTGCAAGTTTTATCCATCCTTGTTACTATTATTATTGTGTTTACTTATCTAGTTAGTAAGTACTCCGTACATCTATCTATCTATCTATACCAATCTGCTTCTATGTTAATTATTATACTATCATATTTCATATATATTGCCCAATAATTCCTCTTCAAATTCGATTTATTTTGATACATACTGTAATGTACATTACATCAAACAAACTATCTATTATCAATCAATAAGGCAAGAAAAGTTGTATTGTAACCTCCCTTAGCCCTTGGATTAGATTGGACTGGATTGGATTAGGTAACTGACCGAACTGAACTGAAGGCACCGAAAGAAACAAAGAAACAAACTCGTTGAAAAGTACATACAGTACACTCATTACATGCCCATCCTCCCAAAGATAGCCAAACCAACCTTAATCCAGGTGTGTTCGTTCTTGTTTTTCGTTTTTCTGTGCGCCTGATAATATGATGTACATACACCACAAAAAGACCAAGCAAGTGCCGCCATTCGCCACCGGGAGGAGAAGTGTTTGATTATTCATTAAAAAAATAAGAGAAAAAGAAAAAGAAAAACCTCCATGAATACAGGCAATTACCCTAGTTAGTTAGACAAGAAGTGAAAAGAAAAAAAAAGAGGAGTGAAGTGTCTGAAACCCTGAAGAAATCTAGACCATCCATCCCAGGTTGAATAGACTCTCCCGCCGATAAAAAAAAGAATTCATTTCCTGGCCTACTTGGCTCACAGTAACTTTTTGATTTTGTTCTTTTTTTTTCTTCCCTTTTTGTTTCATCATATCGTCAGGTTGAGAGAAAAGTGGAAAATGGGTTGTAAGAATGGAAAGAGAAATCCTGTCATATCGAATCCCAATAGGTAGGCAACCTAGGTGTAAACAGTGGCCGCCTGCAGTAGTTTTGCTCCGTACTTGAGCTCGAGTGACCGAGAATCGTTCGGATCGAACTCTGCCGCTTGGCGTTGTTCCAGGAATTGGGCTGCCATTCGAGTTAGTGACACCGCCAGAGAAAGTCGTATAGTTCCACACTTACGTGTAACCTGAATCGTATCAAACCAGCGAATTGCGTTTTCATCACTGCCGTCGATAGCCTTCAGTATGCCAGTATCTGGCCGAAGAGTCGTCTTCGGAGGCAGCGCCCGCATCTTCAACAGCATGTGTAGAATGTCCGAGAAACGGTCTCCTTGACTCGCATAGTACGGGGGGCGCTTATCCAGAGGCCACTGGACCAAGAAACGTCAGCAAGTTGCTAATATCATATTCTGCCTGTCCGGCTTACCCGCTGCGCGTAATTCTCGTTGTCCCAGGTACGGAACAACCAGCAAGTCCGCTCAACACAGTTCAAGAGAATCAGAGCTACCAGGAAAGTTTCGAAATATCCACTCTGCTGGCGTTGAAGTAGACGTCGTTCAAGGTCGTTCATGACCGATTTGCTCAGTTGAGAAGTGCGCTTTTCCGCTGCCGCTCGCAGCTGGCTGCAGAGCAGACCATACGTTTCGGGGTTTGTCGAGGAATCAATTGGAAGTCGGCCTTCATCAGATGATGAAGCCAGCGTATTGATAGAGGTAGGTGGAAGAGTGGGATTGGAAAAGGTTCGCCACTGCAGCTCGACATCCACTAGGATATGGGTTGCCAGCCACAGCTCGAGGACACGCTCCAGAAGGACGTCCTGGAAACATATTCAGTTAAAATCGTAATTCCTTTTTGGCGACAAACAAATAACTCACCTTCTTCTGTTGACTCAGTTCGTGAGCTAGATTCAAGGTTGGCTTCATGAATGGAGACGGTTCGTGTTCATAGAAAGTAGGCGCCATCTTTTTGATGTACATCTCCAGCTTTCCAGGGAGGTCATCTGCATCACCATCGAGCAGATACAGCTCCTGAGTAGGGCCCTGGAACTGGCCATCTTCCACCAGTGCCTGAAGCTGGGGGTCGAGCGTGGACATAACAGGTTTGTGGCCGACAAGCGCGCTAAAAGTGACATACACCGAGCTTTCCTCGAAATGAGTCGCCTCCACGCGACCTGCGTAGTGCTCGAAATTGACCTGATTCTTGATACTGTTCACGTCGTGATACGCAAGGGTTGCATGCAGCCCTGTGAACGCATTAGTATGAGGACCCACCTAGCATAGAATGGAATGAAAATATCTTACCTGCAGTGTAGAGTTCAAACTCCTCAGCAAGGCGAGTGCGAATACATGGCTGTTTCCAGAGTCGTGCGCTCTCAACACTAGCACATGTGCTGCAGGGGCTGTCGCCAGAACACTGAAAAAGAAGTTAGTCTCCTGCCATGCAAACGATAAGGATGCTATGATATCAATACGTACAGGCTTCTTGAGCATACGGCAACGAATGCAGGCCCCCCGTTTACGGACCTCCTGGACCTCCTTCCTGCGAGCGGCTGAAAACCGTCCGCGGACCTTGGGCTTTGTCGGTTTTGTAGCATTCCCAAAATCGTTGACAAACCCCTTTGCTTGAGAGTTCGGGTTCATTGCGATAGGACGTGGATATGAGACCGCTCGCTGCGCAGCCGAAGTCAAGGTTGGATCATGCTCCTGCAGGCTATCGAAGAGCAACTGCTCCGAACTCGAGAGCTGCTGCGTTGGCCATGCCGGTGCAGCTCTCGGGAGGCCATCAGCACCCGGAGAACCCGTTTCGTGTTCCATCGATAGGCCTTGGGGAACCATTTCGCTTGCTGAGGCAGCAATCATGGAAAGCTGCGACGACTGACGGGCATTTGGGGTCGAGGAATCCGCTGACAGAGAGGCATCAGGCAACGCCGGAGAGATCGATGAGGCCTGGTCACCGGAGGTTTGATTCTGAGTCGGAGCAACGGACGCAGCACTGGAGACGGCTATCAAAGTTTCAGTTAGTATACAGGCTCGCGAACATGAGCAGGAGAATCTCGCCAATCACTTACCGCCTGCGTTCGCTCCATTCTCATCCCCATTATTCTCGGGTTGATTCTCCTGAGTTTGGAATACCTCCGCCTCGAGAGCAGGGTCCACGACAACGGTCTTGCCTCCAACAGTCACGGCCTGCGTGTAGGCAGGACCACCACGCTTGCTCTGATCCGAGGCACCGACCTGCCTCGACGCCTCGGCCAAGACATTGAGTCCATCGAAATTCTGTCTCGTAGTATATGGCAAGTCCACCGTCTTTCCCTTTTGAGCGCCTGCGAGGGCAGCAGCTTTATTGGGGTCATTGTCGGTGAGGTCGGGGAGCTCGTGTAATCGCAACAAGACGCGCTGTCGGTCTCGCAGAGGGATTGCCTGGCACTTTTTCACCAGGTGGTTCGTCAAGCTGTCAATGCGACCTTTGGGGAACTTCTCGCCGCACGCTTTGCACGTGTGCTGGTAACGGTTACTGGCATCCTCGAGTTTCTGTCCGCGTATGAAAAACTCGAGGATGAGCTGGTTGGGCTTGCGACCCATTGTCGTAGCAGGTTCCTCGGCGCGTCACGCACGACGGACAATGGGAACGATGGTCAACCAACGAGATTGAAGATGCACACAGCACACTGGTGTGCTTGAGAGATGCTGCAGGAACAGAGGATAGCTAGGTTGAGACGCGACAATACACCGTGGAGGGGTGGGTAATGGGTGATCACAATGGAAGAACAGACGTGTTAGTAAGGTGGCAAATGCCAAAAACAGATGCAGAAAAGAGGCCAGAACGGGAGGAGGGCAGACTGGAAGCGACTTTGACAGCAGTCTGCAAGCGCACTCTTTTTTGCAGCTCGCGATCAAATTGTCGCTGGATGGCGATCAAGGCGGGCAGATTCAATATGCACGATGCAAAAGCAACGGCAAAAAGTCGCCTGGGTTGAGGGCGGTCTGATGGTTTTGGCCCAGCCTCTGCGGGAGACGCCGCCCTAATGCTCTCCGCCTCGCCGTGACTGGTCTGCGGCCGGGACTTGCCGGCTCTCACCGCAAAGAGGCGGTGATCGGAATGGGAATGCGGCCTGCACCGCCTTCATGATCGCCTACAGAGTGACAGTCTGACAGTCACGCACTCTGGCAGCCTTATGCTGAGCTGGTCTTTTTTTATATTCACAAATTAGTTCCTATAATATTATTTTTGTTTCATCGCCAACTTCTTTGGGATGCGTTTCAGCATAGTCGAAAAACAATCTAAATTCGCAGGTTCCATACCGATTTCAGCCAATCAGAGAGGTCTGCAGCAGCGGCGCAGTATGTATGTATGATGTATGTAGGGTCACACGAGGTCCTGCACGCATCTTCAGGCTGTCAGCAGTGGATTTCTGTCAAACAATCTTGACAGCACATAGTTGCCACCTAATCTCCATTCCTACTGGCCTTTTCTTGTGGTATGCCCATTGTGAAGAGAGCATTAATGTCCAATTACGGGGCAATGCTTAGCCAAGACAGATGGAAAAGAGATGCCTAGATGGAGTCAGACGAAGAGACCCAATTACACTTAGGGTCCCACTAGCTACTGGAGAACAAGGATAAGCAAAAGGGAAAAAAAAATAAGAAAATTAAAGAATTTTTTTAAAAAAAGGATTGCCGGTGCTTGTTTGGGAGAAAATAGAATACATATTAAGGTATATCTGCTCTCTGTCCTAGTAAGCAGAAGTTTTTATAATACAGGAACATAAGCAAGCTGCTTTGAACCAGGCAATTGAAAGCTGACAGAGTCAGGCATCTTGGCAGCTACAAGACAACATTATCGGAACACAGTACATAATGTAATTATAGATTCTACTCTACTCGCTGTCTCTCCCTCCTGCCTTCCAGAAATGATCCATGTCTGGGTCCAAGCTGTCTTAGCCTAGGTTTCATAACTGGCGACAAGGTTGAGGACGATACAAAAACTAAAGCTGGTGAAGCATGCAGCGCTAAAATATCCGTTAACTAATATACTAGCCGACCTGATACAACAGAGGATCGCATTTATACCATGTCTTTTGTGTCGCATAGGTGATGATCGCACAGCATTAAATCCGCATGACCTTGAGCCAGGTGCCTGCAGTGCCAGTCTGTAGACTGGGTTGAACAAAACCGCCAGTCAAAATTTGAATCGTACTGTACAGTACAATGCTGACTGTGTGAGAAAATGGAACACATGTGTTGTATAACGTTGCACAGGTGGAATGTGATTCCTTGAACAACAAAGTGGTTACGTGGGCTGTCAACCTGTCTGCTACTGGCCTCATCGAGCCCGAGAAAAGAAATGAATGCAATGCAGACCAGTTTACTATTGTTGTCTATAACTCGAAAGCATACTACTAGAACGTCAGCAAATCCGATGTTCTGGGGGCCGCCAAGGGACTCCAAGAATTTCAAAGATTCTCCTTTCATCGCGCCCTTCAACAAGACATCCAGGATTCGCCTTGACGCGATTCGGGCCCCGCAGCACGTCCTTGTAAAGGCCATGTTGATTCAGGCACATTCCCTTTTTACTCGCCAGAAGTCTCATGCTGCGGTTGAAGATATCATTCCCCGTGAAGTAGAGCAATGCAGCCCCGATTTCATCTCCAGGAACGAAGAGAAGATCAATCCTTCGCCAAATATCACTGCCAGGCAAAGCGGACACACCATGCCATTTGCTACCATCGCTTCGGGAACTCGTGGCAAGGCTGGCTTTGAGAAATCCCTGATCAAAGAGTCTTGGGATGACAGTGTCCATCATGATGGAGCGAATCGACTCCATAGTTGCACCAGGTTTAGTAATGAGGACATCTATGTCCCCGGAATCAGCAGCCCCGCGTCGGTACGAGCCAGCTATAATAGCCTCCATATCCGCATCCACCCCTTGGACTGCTTCTCGAACAATATTGCCATGCGCTTCTACTTCTGCACGAGGAATACGCTGCTGGAAATCGTCGTAGCGCTCGATTCCTATCCGCTGGTTACTCGTCAGATCCGCTTTGGTCCTCAGGTCCTCCAGAGTCCTGTAGCCCATCGCAATCCATCGAGACGCCTGTGTAAAACCGGCACCGTAGACACCAAGGAATAATTGTAGAGCTTTTTCTTCACTGGTAAGATTTGTGTTTTCTAATCGACGCAAGCGATCCGTGCAAACGATTTCCTCGATCTTATCAGCTAGCCGCTCTCCGATGCCAGCGATATTGAGGGCCTGTGCCTTTGTCGAAATCTTCATCTGTTGCTTTCGAAGCGCACTTATCGCCTTACGATAGGCGATTGTGCGCCAGTGGTCTGATGTCCGGCTGTAGTAGTCTAACATCTGCTGAAGAATCTCTATAGTCCTCGCATTCGGATTGGAAGAGTCAGTGTTACCATCATGCTTTTGCATACAAGCAAAACTTTTCTGCCATTCCGGGATTTTGTGATCCGATTTCATGAGCTCCGAGTCGGGGGTCTCTGACGAGACCAAGCTCGTTTCTAAGAGAGCATCTTCATCGTCTGACGCTTCCAACGGCTTCTCTTGTTATCAGCTAAAGTCTTTCCAAGAGATATCGCACTACATACCAAGTTCCAAGCTGCTTTGACTTTTTCCATTAATTCATCTAAGATGTCTGGGGCAGTGTCCGGTCTCGGTTGATCGGAGGTCTCCCCCTCCGGCTGGAGTTTTGAGGCTTCACCCACAGGTTGAGCAACATGAGCTTGTCCTGAACTGTCTTCTTCCTGAGTAGGGGTTGGCGAACGTTGCCCGCGTCTTCTGGAGGGTTTTTAAAGGCAAGGAAGCCTCTGATGCTGGATCTGGTAAAGCAGGGGAATCATCTGTCGCAACTCCTGGAGCACCGTTCACGCGGAAACGAGCATGTGAAACACTAAGAATAGACCGAAACTTGAGACAATCCGACGGATAGTCTTGATTGACTAAAGCGATGTTGGGCTTCAGTCGCCGTCAGTTATGCACTCAGTATGCCTCTTCAAATAAGACGTACCGGAAATTGATCAACCTTCAAGACCTTAAGAACATCTTGAAAGAGTATATCTTTGTCAACAATGACGTGTGTGACGTCTGCCTCCCAATTCTGTGCCCAAAGAGCACCGTACTCTTGGGCTTTCTGGATCCGCATCCTTCGAGCCGGCGCAACATCGTTGTTAGGGACAAAAACTAATGGACCAGGAAGTCAGTACTAAAATCAGTTCTCGGAGGTGGGTAACATACAGAATTTGAGTCCTTTGAAGATTTGCTGCGATTCTGGCACGGTCTTGAGAGAATAAGCTCGTCTCTTCTTTGATGTGACGCGTTCCTTTTGACCTCTGAGGTTACTAGACTGCCATGACCTTTTCATCTCGCAGTTGTCGTTTTGTTTGTCACTCAGCTTCCCCAATGGCGTCTCTTTGACTATTCTTGTTTCATTTGCGCCGATTCTGGCCAGCGAGGGTCGAGGAGAAGCTGACTCGATCCGGGAGAGACGTCCTGGGGTAACAAGAGCTGCAGGAGCTCGAGTAGTAGAAATAGTATAACTCCTTCTCTCCCGAGCTGTTTTCATGACCTGAGAAAGACTGTCCGCAACATCCTCGCCATCACTTAGGTTATCCAATTTATCCAACTCTCTGAAGAAAATCTCCTTGTTCCCTGCCATTTCTGCCACTTCGCGCCGAGTAGAAATAATACATTACCCGTGACAGAAGTTGAAGCCATGAGGAAGCGGGGATATTACTTCACGGATGCCTGGAGAACAAGAATGAATCATCGAACGGACACATAGATCTTTGGAAAAGGCGAACAATGAATGGAAGGTAGGCGGGGTAACACGTCTCCATGATCCAGACGCGAGTTCTGTTCCGCGAAATCGGCGCCAAGTCACGTTACCAATTATTCGCAGCCAGTCTCTATCCAATCATTTCCCGTCAATGTCCAGTCAATTATGTCCCTATTTGGAAACGTCGACGGAGGAAAGCTAAGGCTTCCACTGATTACCCCCAATCCAAGCTGTTAGCATCAGGCTATAGCGTCATCACGATGTGGAAATATTCATCCTTTCCCTATTTACTGTCAGCGGAGTCTACTTTTCCCCTTTTACTGAAAGATAGTCGCTGCTTAAGTTGTCAATTCCGCGGAGTCGGTGGTGCGATATCATTTCCCCGTCGGTACGCTAGCAACAGCAATGATGTGAAGAAAACGACCGCGAGTTCGGAGTCCTCAAAGAAGAGCCCAGAGCAAGAACAACAGAAAACGGCCTCAGGCGCTTCCAGTGATGGCGAGGAGTTTACTCCCCTTATGCTCGACCGACCGATCGGTCTCCTTTACCCTCCTCAAGAAGGACAAAATACAGGCGTTGATACGCGCACGCTGAGACAACGGCGGGATGATTTTGTCAATTATGAGAAACACCTCCAGCGGCGCAAGGAATTGTATGACCCCATGTCGATAACAAAGAAAAGCAAGATCCGTGAATCCAGTAGCGGCTGACCAGCTGATCAAAATTCCGAGCGCCACAGGACAAGACAAGTCGCAAAGCCGTACTTCCGAGACTGGTCTAACCTTCGTTACCATGAAGGCAAGACATTCCGGTCGAACCCTCGACTCTTCAAACGGGACAAGGCACTGTATTTTCCCAACATGTATGGGATTACCCTGGCGTCGCCGAGAGAACCACAAAACACGACAACTACTCTCCGCGGCAAGGTCTCCGTCGTGAGTTTGTTCTCGAGCTTGTGGGCGGAGCAGCAGGTGGCGACGTTTACAGGGCGAGAACAGAATCCAGGGCTATACGATGCACTTGGGAACGATACTTCCCTGGCGCAAAAAGTGGACATCAATCTGGAGGAGAACGCAATGAAGGCATGGCTGGTACGGATGTTCATGTGGAGGATGAGACGGAAATTGCCTGCAGAGCAGCATCAAAGATATTTCCTCGTCCGCAAAGGCCTAACAGACGGTTTGAAGGAGGCTATCGGAATGATGAACAGTAAGGTCGGATATGTCTATCTTCTGGATGATGACTGTCGGATCCGGTGGGCCGGTAGCGGTCCTGCCGAAAAGTCGGAGGTCGAGGCGTTGAACAACGGAATTAGGAAGCTGATTGAAGAGAAGAGAAAACGCGTGGAATCTGACCTTCCAGTCTCTGAGTGGGAAAGCGTGAAAAAGAAGGATGAAGCGGCAAGTACCAAGCCAAGAGTTGTGATGACGAAGTAATACCTGCATTGCAAGAACGTTGACAGAACAGACCTATGGCTAAAAGCGTGGACAACGGTAGAGGAAGCTTTCTACCAAACGATGATAATGAGCAGGAAGTATTGGGAATCCCGGCCCTTTTAAGCCTCGTCCTGTGTTTGGGCTTCAGAGCCTTTGCTATGATGTCTGGAGGACAAAAGTCCTGTGAATATCAACAAAGAAGTAGGCATCTTGGAGTTTTGTAATTATATGTACAGTACATATAGTATACCACACAAAAAGCAGACATTGTTGGATTGACTGTCCCCAACACAACATCATCGAATCCCGAAATACATGGCAAAATAACTCCTTAAACGCCATATCCATGCCAGCGTAGTTGCTTTCCCACACGCGTGGAAGTTAAAAAGAAACAAGGAGACGAAGAACCGAAGCATAATATTAATTTCCCAGACCCCTCATCACCGGAAGAACAGTAACATCAGAAAACAGAACCCAATGAAAACGCCGAGGATAATACCATCACGTCTCCGTTTGGCTCCGATTTTACCGATTAAACTATTGACGCCGGGCATCTGGGCCGCAGCGCCAATGATGCGCCGATTGATACTGGCCAGGGTCTCGCGCTGCAACCCGAAATTCTCGTTGACGGCATACGCCTGGCTCAGCACGCGGTCCATCATATTATGACTGTTATCGAGACGGCCACGCTCCTCGAGCATGTAGTCGGCCTCCGCAGCGCCCGGGTTGGCGGCGGACCGATATGCGTCGATGTCAGAGCGAACGTTGCTGAGCAAGTTCACGCGATCCCGGGTCTCTGCGATCGCAGACGAGAGACGCTGGAACTCGCGACGATGATCAAGAAGCACCTCGCGATGGCGGGAGAGGTTATTCTGTTTGAGGGCGGATGAGGTGAGGGTTGCCTCGGAGTCGAGAAGGCGGGAGAGCTGTGAGATTAGAGCTTCGCGCTGTTCGATGAAAAGCGGTCAGTCTCATTTTTTCCTTCTTGCTTATCGTAAGCAGGTTGTCACACCTTCTCAAGAAGGTCCTTGATCTGCCCTTCAAGCCGTTGCTCCTCCTCGGAGGGCTTCGGTGGTAACCGAGACATGGACGCATATTGCGAGTAGCTGTGGAAGAGACTTTCCGTCTAGATAACAGCGGAACATTCCATGACCAGTTAGCGATGCCACGATCAGACAGTGAGAAACGAGAAGGAAAAGCCCTTTACCTGAGTCTCTAAGGAACGAGCCTGTTGGCGGAGCTGAGTCCATCCAGTGCCTGTGGAGGTGGCCATCTGTACGGGACGAGGTCGACAGATCGAAACGACAAATAAAGGAGTATATTTCTGGAAATCTCAATTATCGCTGAACGGAATAGGGTATCTTCGGATCGATATCATTCAAGGTCATCATCAGATTCAATAGTTTACTGGCCAGGCAACCCCATTCATGCTCTCCCGTCGCTCCCCAACGTTACGCCTAAACTTAACTAGCCTCCGGCGGTGACGAGGACAGTGTCCAGATTTAGAAATGGGAGCCGCACCAGCCACAGTATTGCACACGTGACTTTTACCGATTTGCTTCCTATCTGTGGCTTGTTTGTGGGTTCACCCTTCCCGCTTAACTCAGCTTAGCGCAGGACGGCCGCACCGTCTCGCACAGGCAAAAAACCCTAGTCCCACAACTCCCCAAAATTGACGGTCCTATCTTCAATCCTCCAAGTCGACGACCTCACGACAACGACTCGAAGCCGCCCATCATGGTACGTTTTTTCGATTCTGTGGAATCTGACCTGCGCAGATCAGGGAGATTGTGCTGACGGTACTTTTTGTTTTGTTCTACAGTCGACTGCCAAGGTCAAGACCGGTCAGCTCTGGGGAAAGAGCAAGGACGAGCTCATCAAGCAGCTCGAGGAGCTGAAGACCGAGCTGAACCAGCTCCGTGTCCAGAAGATCGCTGGCGGTGCTGCCTCTAAGCTCACCAGAATGTGCGTTCAATCCTCGAATACCCCGCCCTGAACCCGATGATAAGCCATGCCCGGTTGAAGAGGAGGGAAAACGAAGAAAGAGGAGGAAAGGAACAGAAATTGGAAAAGAACAAGGAAATGTGGAACAAGAGATTGGGAAAGAAAGAGAAGGAAGAGAAAGGATTTATCTAATTGCGGGCAGAACATGGAAAAAAGAGGCAATGAGAGAAGAAAAATGCTGACCATGGAATCTTTGTATCTTTTTACAGCCACGATCTCCGCAAGTCGATCGCCCGTGTTCTCACCGTCATCAACGCCAACCAGCGCGCCCAGCTGCGTCTCTTCTACAAGGGCAAGAAGTACCTGCCTCTCGACCTCCGGCCCAAGCTCACCCGCGCCATGCGCCGACGACTCACCCGCCACGAGGCCTCGCTGGTGACGGAGAAGCAGCGCAAGAAGCAGATCCACTTCCCTCAGCGGAAATACGCCGTCAAGGTAGAACCCCTTTCTGTCAATTTCGAATTTCGGACCTAGCTAATTTCGTTTTTTTTTTGTCTCAGGCTTAAATGAGGTCATGACGTGTCTTGTTGGTGTGTGGGGGGGTGAAGAAGAGCGGATAGATACCGGTTGTTTTCAGTTTTAAACAAAACCAATATCGGCCTCACCTCAAACGTTCCGTGGGATTTCTCTTTTTTTTCATCATCTTGGGTCGATCATAAAAACGGATAACGGGAAATGTATCTTAGGAAATGCGAATATTATCACATTTCCACCCATATCAGCATTGAAAAAAAACTAAATTTTGACATGACAGCACGACAGCAATTTTTTTTAAAGATGTCTCTTCACCTTTATCCGGAAAAAAAACCGATAAGATGAAATGGGGACTAGCTCTGAAGGAAGTATGCCAAGTAGCGACAGATACCTGGGAGGAGGAAAGATTCTTATTCAAACTAAAGTTCATTACAGTGAAGAAAATCCCCCAGAAAGGAAGCCAAATGCCGATATCGAAGACACATCGTCCATCACTTGCCTAAGTATCCCAAGCCTAAAATAAAGAAAAGACAGAATTCGTAAGGTTATATAAAGCATATAGTAGACTGTAGACCTAGACACACGTCCATAGTTTCCTTTTTCTTTAATTTCCACTGCTAACTAGGTCGATGCTCCGAATACTTGCCCAGTGCCGTTTGCTTCAGCGTTCTCCCCGCGCGCTGAGTTATGGCTCGGCAGAGTCTGGCTGGAGGGAGTCGAGCTCGTGCCCGACTCGAGGGTCCACATTCCTCCACACAGACAGGATCGGATAAGCTGCAGCTTTGCGATCAATCGGTACGACAAAAACGACCGTGGCGTCGTCACGTCGCCCGAGATTTCGCAGCAGCGGGTACAACGACGTCGAGGTTGGCCGTGCTGGGCTCTCTCTCTCGCTCCGTTGCCATCCGGCTCGGTGGAACTGGTCCTGGAGTGGAAGGACCGGAGTGGCAGCTTTTTCAAGACATCGACCTCCTGGGTACGTCGATAGAACTCCGTGCGGCGATCGTTGCAGAAGCCCAGCCAACTGTAATCACCCAGGTAGATGGCCATCCGATTGATATCGGGCTTGAGCGAAGGGACCTTCTGTCGCAGCAAAGTCGCCACGGCCGGGATCAGAACAGCGGGTATACGCGAGTTCACCAAAAGCTCTTTCTCCGGGGCCGGACGTTCATTGTCTCCAAACCCAGCGCCCTGGTAAGCATGCCGTACTGCTGAGTCTACGCCCGCCAGGAATTTCTCATATACGTCGATACGAATCGGCGATGCGTCAATCGTTTGGTAGAGTTCTGTATAGTAAACACGAGCTTCTCCCGACAGAGGTGTGGTCGTGTAGCCAGCATACACGCCCCGTAGTCCGCGACAGATAAAGCGCAGGAATGCACGGGACATACTGGACAGCAGAAGAATGAGGGAAAGTGAATTCGTCGATTTCACTGAGCAAAACGTTTAGTCTCACTGCTCCCCTAGCACGAAATATGAGTACCTGTTACGGATAAAATCTTACCTTTTTGCGCAAATGCTTCCTGATCAGAAAATACGGGCTCGAACTCTTCGGCTAGTTCGAACAGCTCATCGAGAATATAATAGGAGAAATCAAGCGCCCATTTGGTGTTTCCGAGGACCATTCTCAGAACGTCTTGTCACACAGTTGTCAGTAACGCTCCCATTGGATAAAATGACAGAAACCCTTGAATCATACCGGGATCATGAGGCTCGGTCTCCTTGGGCCCTTTGTTGTACTGGAAAAAGTAGGCAAAAAGGACCGAGGCATGTCGTAAGTGAAGAATCGCCCAAGATACTGAGGATGGCAGGCTACGAGGAGTATGGTAATTCTTGAAGCCAAGAGCAGCTTGTAAGCTAAGACAGCGTGGGATATATGGATGGTTCATGAGCTTGTCCTGCTCCACTGTGAAATTGCAATTGATGGGCAACGCGCGGTATACTTCGTTGATGAAGGCATTTTGGGCATCTGCAGTTCAAAGTCAGCTTCAAACCACACTAGAAAATGCCACATTCGGGACTCTCAAAACTGACCAGGAGTGAGTTGCCGCAGAAGGATCATTAAGATGTCATCTGTATTTATATCGCTTCCACAGCCACGACAGAACGCCAATGCCAAGGCAGCAACAGCAGCGGAAAATTTATCTGTCAAGCCCATTAGTTCAATCGGTGGAAGGCAAAGATAGGTAATTCAACTCATACTTTCATCGTAAAGACCTTCTTCTGTACAAAATGAGTGTTCCATCATTCTCAATCGCACTTGCCACTCTCCGTCCAGCACAACAGCAAGGCAGCTGTTTGGTGAGAAACTGACATGAACACCTGAGGTGGGTCAGAAACTTAATAATTCTAGGAGGGATCCGGGAATAACTGCGAACCTGAAGCATCAAGAGGATAATGGAATCCTGCCTGAGCCATGCTGGTGACCGTGTTGGTATCGTCAACTCCGTTGAAGCTGACCATAGTCTTTGGATCAAAAAAGGATATTGAACTGTCATCGTAGGTCACTGCAAGGACGTTGCCAAATTCGAGGTGGTCAACGGAGACTACATATCTATCAGAGTAGATGTCTTCGAGCCGTCGAAGTTCGACTTTTGGCTAACATTATTGTCAGAACAACCTAGATTTCGGGAAACCGCGGTGGTTTCAAGGATAGGGGGAATTGACTGATCTACCTTT